TTACTACCGATTTATTAAAGCGTACAATCCAAAAGTTATCAATTATTAGAAAGAATCAAGTTATAATCTTTCAATCATGTGTTAAATCAGCCCCCCTTAATTAAAGAATTAAAAAAGTTATAAATATTTAAAAAAAAATATTATAAATTAAATTAAAAAAGTTGTTTATTTTAAAAAAAAGTAAAGAATAAAAATATTAAAAAGTTTTTATTATAAAAGAGTTTAAAAAAGAATACTATAAAAGTATTAAAAATATAAAGTTTATCCAATATGAGTCCGTGAAAAATTAAAAAGAATCCCGTCCAAAATGACGTTGCTTAACCCCCAATTATTAAAAGTTTATTAAAGAAATCAAGAAAAGTTATTATCAATTAGAAGTTTATTATTATTATTATCAAGAGTTTTATTATATCAAGTTATTATTATTATTAAGAAAAAGAAGTTTATTATGTCTACTACAATCAATTACAATATGAACAATATTGAATCTACAAGTACATTATTTGAAATGTTTGAATCTATGGAATTTAATCAATCATCTGTTGCTATGTATCAATCAAATATGTTATCATCATCAGCTCCTGATTCAGGAGTTGATTCAAAACCAAGACAAATTTTAGGTGAATCTGTTTTTAATCAATTTATTAAAACTCAAGAATTAAATTCAGAATTCCCTCTTGGTTTAGAAAAAATTGAAATTCCAGAATTAAGTCCAAGTATTGGTACTATTACTCCATTACAATTACATTCATCAGTTGTTGAATCAATATTTGATCCTATAATGGAAAATCAAAGTCCAATGTTTGATGAAGTTGAATTAGATTCTGAAAATTGGAATTCATTATTTGAACCAAATGAATTGGAAATTAAACAAGAAGAAACAACACCAGAACCAAAACAAGTTTCTTCTCATTTAATTGATGAAGTTGCTTCAAAACCTATTATGAAACGTTCTTCAAGTGAAGCTGAATTAGAATTACCATCAACCAAAAAATCATCACCATCACCAAAACCTCAACCTCAATCAACTCCATCAACTTCAAATACAGATCATTTAGGTGTTGTCTCATACAACAGAAAACAACGTTCAATTCCATTATCACCAATTCAAATTGATGAATCTTTAGATCCAATTTCTCAAAAAAGAGCAAGAAATACAGAAGCTGCACGTCGTTCAAGAGCAAGAAAAATGGAAAGAATGAATCAATTGGAGGATAAAGTTGAAATTTTAGTTTCAAAGAATTCTCAATTGGAGAATGAAGTTTTAAGATTAAGAAGTTTATTACAACAATCTGGTCAATCTTTCTGAAGTTTATCTCTCTTGTTGTGTTGCTGTGCTTTGTGTTAATTTGTTTTTGTTTATTAATTATTGTTTGAAAGTAAAAATCATTTAAAAAGTCAAAATTATTCAATTCTATTATTATTAAAAAAAGCTAAAAAAAAATTATATCATAAAAAACTCTATATAAAAATAAAAATAAAAATTTATAAAAAACTTAGATTGATGTTGTAGTTCTTTGTCTTGTTGTCTTGTTCTTGGTTTTATAGATTTTTGAATTTTGGTATGATTTTTGATAGGGTATAAGATTTCGCGAATATATGATTGGTATAGATCTAGATCTAGCTATTTTTATACTAACATAATATCTAGATCGACAATATGTGATATCAGCTTATAATTCAAAGATATTCTATACACATGGTGATCATATATTAATTAATTGGAGTCTGTTATAACCAGCCTTTGTGTTAGCTATAGCTGTATCAAATAGTTTAAATGGCTCTAAGATCACCATATTGACATAGATCTCAGTTTGGTATGTATAGGATATATAGATTTCATTCATGATTTATATAATTACAAGCTTACTTCATAAACTGAATTAGAAATATAATACATACATTCATTCATAACTAATATAATATACAACATCAAAATCATGTTATGATTCATTTTTAATACCATTTTTAATACCATTTTTATCATCATCAATCATTAAAATTTCTTTATCATCTTGTTCTTCAATTATCTTTACCCTTTCATCAAATTTTGAAATCAATTCATCCATTTTAAAACCAATGATTCTTTGTGGATAATTATCTTTTATACACCGCTTGGTTTTCAAATCACCATTTTGATGAAGTTGAAATTGTTTATGTATCCATTTTTGTAATGCCTTAGCTTGAATTAATTCTAAATTTATACTAGGTTTATCACCAAGTTTTATATCATCATCACTTTGAATAAACGCTAAGCAGGTAAACCACATTAATTTATCAAAATCTGGGAATTTAAATTTTTTATCAACACCTGTCCTGAATTCAACATCAATAATTTTGAATTGTTCAACCAAGTTAAAACTTGTTAGAAAATTCCCCCCAATGACTATTGAATCCTCTGGTGTGAAAACACCATGTATCCAACCAGATGGGATAATCAACACCTCCCCCTGACATAATTCAACTTTTATACCACCTTCAAGTCCTAAATTTCCCAAGAATTCATTTTGTAATTTATCATCATTTAACCAATTGACATATTTCTTTAGGTTTAAATCTGTAGGAGGGAAAAAGATAAATTGTTTCGAGCCTTTCAAAATAGTATAATAAACTGAAGTACCTGCAAAATCTAAATGAAAATCAGTATAAGAATTCTTAATACCCATAAGACAATATTTTGAAACTTTTGGTTTTGGAAGGTCTGTTTCCTGGGGCCATACAAGGTCAACTAAATCAACTGAATCAACAAATTTAGGTCTTTGGATTTGTTGACCTATTTCACAATGACTGATTTCTAAACTTAGGACGTTTAAGATTCTTTCACGATCTTGAGGTGATGTGTTTTGGAAATAATCTATCCATTCAACTAAAGACCAACTTGGTGATATGGAATTTTGGGTTAAGACATCCATTATTTCAATTGGGTAATCTTCACCAAGTTGATTAATCAATAAATTTAATGAAAATTCATGTGGGATGTATAATCCTGTATCATCCTTCTCTGAAGCTATAATTTTCACAGGGTTTAGAAATCCATGATCACCGCCTTTTGATAATAATTCTGAACCTTTAATAACTTGAACTTCAGTATCATTTTTCCAATTTTTAAATTCTTGAATATGTGGATGTTCTTCTAAATTTATTCTATCAACATCACCTTTATCCAATGCAACATAATCAATTTTGCGTTTCTGTCTTTTACTTATTCTTTTCCATAAACTTGGTCCATAAATTTGAGAACAATTAACACAATGATAAGTTGAAATTTTTAAAGAATCTGAAATTGATAAATTTATACAATGATTATGAAACCATGTTAAACATTTTGAACATTGAATCCAATTTATACGTGATGGTATGGGTTTTTGATAATTGGGACATTCTGGACATTCTTCATCAGTCATATTCCTGGGATTGATTTGGTAATAGTCATTAATATATATAAACCTATTAGTATAAATTCTGTGATAAATATCAGTTCATTATTTCGGTGTTTATTATGGGTATTAAATATAGATTCGCGGGAATATTCAACATCCAAACACCATTTGATATTCGCGAATGTCCTTTCAATTTTTTGACCACCAGAAAATGAAAAAATCAATATATCAATATTGGAAAGATAGTAAATAATCAGAGTATTATAAGGAACCAGGATATCAATAGATCATGTTTAAGAATATAATATCCAAACGTGCTTTTAGCACTTCAAGATGTCTATTGAATGATAGTACAACACCAAAGACCACATTTAAAAAATCATCAGGTAGTGAATTTTTAGGAAATACATTAGAAACTTTAACTATACCAGAAACTCCAAGAACTCATATTCATCCAAGATTTATTAAAAATTTCCAAGCAACAGGGACATATGATCCTTTTGATTTTTCAATGGCAAGATTACATTTAGATAAAAAATTAGAACAAGAAGAAATTAAACCAAATGGATTAGATAAAAAATTTATTAATCCATTAAATTTATATACAAATCCAAGATATTTATCCAAGTATATTAGTTCAACAGGTAAAATTTTACATCAAGATGTTACAAAATTATCAAGAAAAAATCAAAAAAGAGTTACTGTTGCTATTAAAAGATCTATTAATGCTGGATTATTATCATCTGTACATAAAGATGTTTATTATTTAACACATCGTCATGGATTATAGAACACATAAATAGTAAAATCATGTATATATTATAATAAAGAAGTATCAGGACTAATCAATTCAATATAAACATCAGTACCTAATCCATAGATACTTTGTAATTCTAAATTCCCATCAAATAATTCAACATAAGCTTTAGTTAAAGGTAATCCATACCCCATCCCGGCAATATTTTCAACATTTTCACCAGGCATAACATTATTACCCATTCCAACATCTTGTTCATGTTTATCCACTGTGGTAAAACTATAATCAAATACATTTGATTCAACTTCTGGTGATATACCACCACCATCATCACGAAATCTTATACCTAATGAATAACGACCTGCACCAAGAGAGTTTTTAACAATGGTTATTTTGATTGGTTTATCTCCATTACCAGATTCTATATTTGCTCTTATTGAATTTTTTAAAATTTCTGTAAAAATATATTCAAGATGAATTCCAATATATGGGAATTCAACATCTTCACCAAAATCAAATTGAATTGGAACTGTCTTATAATATTTTATGAAAGCCATATCATTAACCAAGCCAGCATATAATTTAACTAAATCTGAAATTTTAATCTTTTTATTCAAAACACCTAAATGATCTTCAGGTTTATTTATTAAATTAATATAATTATTTGTTATAGTTTCCATATTAATCTTATCATAAAAATGTTTATTCAGGAACTGAACAATTGATTCTTTAGGGAAGAATGTGGAAACTTCTGTAAAACCTTTTGATAATGATGGTATAGCATTTTTATGAATTTCAGAATATTCCAATAAAGAATTATGAATCTTATTAAAATCATTATGATAAGGATCTAATTCTAATAAAATTCTTAAAGATTTTAAATATAATTCATAAGTTTCAGAAATATGTGGATTTAAAACAACAAGATAAGGTAATTCTCTAAAAGCTTGTAATCTTTTGGTATTAAATATAGTTAAATAATTTATTGTTGCTATTGCATTTGTTGATATATCCTTTTTGGAAATGTTTATAAGGGAATCCAATGTTAATTTTGGGATTTTTTTTTGGGAATAATCAGTTATAAGTTTTTCTAATGAAGATCTAATATTATATTCTTGTTCGAATGATAATGATTGACTTTGTCCTGTAGTAGTACCATGAGCTTTATTTGATAATGGTTTTATTAATGTTGTTTTGGGTATTTGAATTGATAGACTTCTAGCTAATGGTCTTACTCTTGTGAACATTATGCTATTATTCCTTTATTGAGCCTGCTATAATTGTATTTGAATCTGTCTATAATATGTTATCATTCCAATATTTTGATATCTTTATGAATCACAATTTAACTTAGTTGAGTAACTAAAATTCGCGAACCCATACCTCCTGATTATGTAAACAATGAGTAACCACCATTAGTTTTGAAGTACGTATTAATTCTCTGTTACTGATTATTTCACTTCTACAAGTAATAATTTCAAAATAAACCACATTAAATTAATTAAATTATAATGAGAAAGAACAATAAAAACTAAAAACAAATATCTATAATACAAGAAAAAGGTCTATAGGTTCTTTTTTAACGACCAAAATATTTAATTTCTAAAGGACGAACAATATTGAAACCAATAAATGCAAATCCAAAAGCTAATTCAAATCCAATATCACCACCTGGTAATGAAGAATCAGCATTAATCAATTTAGCAATTGGTCCAACACCCCAATTTTGATCAATACCTAAATAAGTACCCAATACACCAAAAAGGAACCCCACGATAGCAGCAATACCAATTGGATATCTTGATTTATCATTATATCCTTCGATATCATAACCTTTAAAACCCTTCTTATAAAAAAAATGTTCAGACAATGTCATTGCTTGATAAATAGCTAAATAATAACCAATCATATTCATAAAATTTTCCATAACATCTTCAAATTTATAATAACCTGGAATACAAATTGCTAAAGTTAAGAAATTACCAACTATAGTCCATACAATTCTTGGAACTTTTGCAAAACCTGACCAGAATGCTTGGGTTGAAAGGGCAATAGTATACATATTTGGAATGTTATTTGCCACTGTGGAAAGGGCAAGGATAACTGCACAAAATTGACCAAATCCACCAAGGGAATCAACTGCAAGGATGGCAAACATTAACCCACCATTTTGATGTTTTTCATAATATTCAGCCCAAACATCAGATTTTTGAATACCTGTAATTGCAGCTGCACCAATAATCATTGTAAATAATAAAGGAGTGATTAATCCAATAACTAACCCCCAGAAAATTTTCCATTTTGGATAATCTTTTCTCATGAAAACGGTATAATCTGCCGCGTAAGTTGTCCAACCAGTGGCGAACCCAAAAATTGCACCACCAAAACTTAAGACAGCACCAGCAGTAGCTTCACCTGAATGAAATTCACCAGCATCAAAATTACCCGAGATTTTAATTCTTGCAATGAATACAAAAAACACAACAACATTTGGGATCCATGACCATTTTTCATAAAAATGAATAACATTATAACCAAACATTGAAACAACAATAGTCATAATAACCAAGATCAAGCAACCAGCCCATGGTGGTAATTCATGAGGTTGATTAACCATATTTAATAATTGTGCAGAAACCATGATATTAACAGCACCCCAACCTATACAAGCAATAGCAGTAATGAATGCAAATAATCTTGAACCATAATCACCAACAAGGAAACGAGATAAAATCATTTGTCTAAGACCAAATTCTGGTCCAAACATTGAAAAAAATGCAACTGGTATTAAACCTAACATGTTGAAAAAGATGATTGTAAGGACAGATTCCCAGAATGAAAGACCCATTTTTGCACCAAGCATACCTAAAGCCATTGCAGCAATAACCATATTTGCACTAAACCACATTGAAGCAGCAGTTAAGACAGTTTCCTTGAGGTTTCTTTCATGTTCTTCAATTCTTTCAATACCTTTTGTTTCAGCACGAATTAAATGACTTATTGAATTTATGAATGAAAGTTTCTTGGATGTTGTTGTGTTTTGGAAACCTTCACTTTGTTCACCAAAATATAATTCTTCATCTTTGTTTGATGATGAACCTTTTTCTAGGTCTGATAATTTTATATCATATTCTTTTGTATGATCTTTTGAAGAAGACATATTGATATCAACTGTTTACAAAACAATTGAAAGCGATTTAAACAATGTAAGAGATTATCGATTGATTAAAGAATATAAAACAGGAATTTCAATTACAATTATATTTAAATTCAAGTTTTGACATCACCAAATTACTTTTTTAAAGATAAGAAGAATTAAAAATTTTTTCAACGGGTATAAAACATCGCGTTTCTTTTTCTCGATAAAATTGCCGTTTGGTGGGAGGTCTAGGCAGAGCTGGGCAGAGCTGGGCAGAGGATTACAAGGAGGAGTTAAAGAATTTAGACAGGAGTTGATTATTTAGGCAGAGAGAGTAATATAAGTAATACAAGTATCGTATCAGACCGATAATGATTTAATGATTTACCTATCAAGAGAAGATAATAAAGTGGTTGAGGAGGTTGAAGAGGTCCGAGGGAAGGATGATTGTATTGTTTGTTGTATTGTTGTATTCTTAATTCGTTGTTAGCTCACTAGTCATTGGATCATATCTTAATGCCTTGAATACTCCTGTGTGAATATGTGTTGAATTAATTTATGCTGGTTCAATTGATTATTGGATATTGACTTCGGATATTGAACTATTGAACTATAGGATCAGTATAGTATAGTAGTAGTTGTTAGTAGTTGTTAGTTATCTATTATTCTATTATTGTGTCAATGGTGATCTAACGGTTATTGTAACAGTCTATTGTTTTAATTGTGTGTTTGTTGTGTGATTTACTATGTGTTTATTCATAATTTATTAATTGATTCTGACTTCGCTTAATTGATTGATTGATTGAAACGCGATAATTGGTAATAGAGTCAAATTAATCAAATTGTGTCAATTAAAGTAAATTAGTGTACAACCGTTTAAACCTCGTTTATCTTAACGGTTGACACAAACATCAACTGATTATACGTATAAACTATCAACTATCAACTAGTATAATAATAGTATAATGTTTTATTAAATGGTTTATTTAGTTGATATTTTTGATTACCTAATTATCACGTGACTGGTCCTTTATCTTTTACGCGCTTAATTTAAATTTAATTTAATATACAATGGCAAAATAAAAGTAAACAAGTGGTTATTAAAGGATTCACATTCAATTGAACTAACCAAGGAGTATATCTCAATATGCCCACTGGTCATGATCCTACGCGTATCTACAAGACGTGAGTATTCCATCAACATAGTATCATAATTGGTCTAATTCATAGGGTATACATGGGGTATCCATAGGGTACCTTGTATCCTTATCTATTGATCATAGTACTAACAATCCCATAGTCCAATAACTCCAAAAAAAGGTTTAAAATTAGGTGCTAGTGCTACATGGTCCAAATTAAAATATCAATCTCATCAATATACTTCTAAAATCACTCAAAATTCAATTAATCAATCATTAACTGATAATGACTCCAAATTTATTGAATTTGGTATTAATGGAGAAATTTTCATTGTTTATAAAAATTCAAACATAATTGAAGTTTGGGATTGGAAACATAATGTTATTGAATTAAATGAATTAGACCAGAAGAATATTGAAACGATTGATTCAAATGATGTTTTATATTTAGTTGCTTCAAATATGGATTCCAAAGGTATTATAATAAATATAACACCAATAAAATGTGATCAATTAACAAATACTTATACTGTTTTAATAACTTCAATCATTTCAAATGAAACTAATTTTACTATAAAGACATTTGGACAAATTTTCCAAGAAGATTTTAAGGAAATTCAACTGATTTTACCTCCATTAGTTTATGGGATGAATCCATATACTATTAAAAATTCTGAAAATTTTATTGGAATTGCAACAAATCAAGGAAGTTTAACTATATTTGATTTAAAAAGGAATCATCCATTACCTTTGGAACTGAATTGTTCAATTATAAATGATCAATGTATGTTTTCTATTGCAGGTAGGATCTTGGCATATGTACCAAATTTAAATCAAACAAGTAACTCAATTGATTTAGGTGCTAAAGAATTGGAAATTCCAATAAATTTCACAAATGGAATTGATGAAATGGATTATTATTCCAAGTTATTAAATAATTTATCAATAAAAACTATTGATGGATTAATTTCATTATCAGATTTTAAAAACCTACAAAAAAATTTCCAATCAACTATATCAAAAGGTGGGATAACTCAAAATTTTAAACTTATATTATCAAACTTATTATCCCAGGGGACTGGTGGTTCTCAATATATAATTTTTTATGACCTATTAGAAGAAAAACAAATTGGATATTTCAAACCACCAAATGGTATATCCCAACTCTCCTTATCATCATATAATTCTCAATTAATAACAATCTCCTCCCGTGGTGATGAAATTTCAAATTGGGATATTTCTCAAGCCCCTAGGGAAATTCATTTAATTGATTTAAAAATTCGTGGGAAAACAAGTTCAATTGTAACTAATATAAATTGGTCAAATTTTAATAATTTCCAAATCATAACTAAAAAAACTGGTTCTTTACATAATTTATCAACTTCAATTGATCCACAAACCAAAGAACATGAAGATTGGATCTTATCCAATCTTGGGTTGGAAAAGGTTATTAATTTAAATAATTCAAATCAATGGTTATTAGGTCTCAAACCCCAGGACTCAATAATTTATTTGATAGATTCTCATAACCAAGGTTCAATAAATTTTGAATTTAAATTACCCTCACAGGGAATCTCAAAAGCATTATTACCAAATCATATTAAATTATCCATAATAAATGAAAAAATCATCCGTGTTGAAGAACAAGACTCTCAGGAGTTAGATCCCCTTTCACAAATTGAAATTGAATCAAGTCTTACCCTGGAACCATTCAATAATTCAAAAAGGATAAACATGGGTCATTATCAAATAAAACCAACCCCAAAGGAATTCCTTGATTCCAAAACCCAGTATATCTTAGGAAGTGAAGATATTGATGAATTGGATGTTTCAAAAGGTGTTGTGGAAAATTTTAAAAAAATTTTTAAAATTATGGGGAATCCTATTGGGTACGAAAGGGTTTTTGATGATAAGAATGGGGAAGTTGTTTTTGATAAAAGTTTTGATGGAGAGGAGGATGATACTATTGATTGTGGAAGTGATGGGAATGGAGGTGGGAATGGGAATGGGGTTGATGGGTTGAATGAAGCATTGAATGATGTTTTGGTTTTAGATGGGAAGGAATGAAGATGTTTAGAGCTTAATTATTGTTTTTGATTTATGTTTATTTGCTTTTGTTTGTTTTTGCTAGGTTATTTATTTTCTAGGTTATCAGGGTTTGGTTTTTTATATATAGCTAGGGTTTTGCGGTTTTACTTATTTTAGTTATTTTAAGGTTTATTTTAAGGTCTCTATATATTACAATTATTATAGAAAAATAATAAAAAAACATTTTGTTTATTTGTTTTGAATGATTTGTTATTGGATCTATTCATGTAGCTTCTGGTAGGTTTGTTCAGAGGGGAAGTAATTATCAAATGTTTATAGATTATATGTACTTTGGAAGACTTAAGTAGAATTTGAGTTTCTTGATCTAGAGTTATATGAATAACTTAGTTTTGAAAAAAAGTACCATATCGACAAGATCAATTACAGAAATTTAAGCTATACGTTCTTTTTAGGTTCAATTAATTAAATTTAGTTCATTAGGATTATCGCTGATCTTTTTATTTGAATTTTCCATCATGTGGGGCAAGGGTGTTGCACTAAGGATATAAATACAAGTGAAAACCCCTGATTTTTTTAATCATAGTAATCTATTATAAAAGAGATTACAAAAATCTTGTTTGTGATCTTGTGCTCATTTATTAGGTAGATCTATGATGTCCAAATTACTATCTGTATTATTATAACTCTAGATTCCACTTTATTGAGATATTGTTATCTTGTGAATACTGATGAGTTCATTGAGTCAACTGTTATGACCAAAGCCCTATTGATATCATCTTCTGGCTTGAAAGATTTACGTGAAGCAGTGCAATGCATTTTGTGATATGAAAGTAAAGTTGATTCTTATCCCTTATTTCTAGTAATTGCAGATTGATTCAAAGATATTAAATTGACTATTAACTAATTTGTTCATGCTTTGATCAGCTTGAAATTGTTAATAAGTTATAAATTTATATGGTTATGTTAAGATTCATTATTTAATATTGAGCTGGATAAGTTATATTGATGTGTTTCTTATATACATGACCATTATTATAATTCTGAAATAGATTTTAATAATGTAGAACGACGTAGATTACTTCTTATATCATAGTACTACAAAGTAATTATAGACGTCAATAATTTTAGAAAAACAAAGTTCAAGGAATTATATGAATAATTTGTAAAGTATTGTATGGATTCAATTACTTCAACAAAATAATCCATATTCCTTGATTAAATTTAATATATTCATCTTGTTCTATGTACTTTGATAGATTGATCCCTTGGTACAACTAAAACAATAAAATATATAGTGCACATTAGTACTACAGCTTATCATGAATTAATATCACTATAAACATGTGGAAATGACATTTTATATGATCAATATAGTTGGATTTTGTAACATCAGTTGCAAGTGATAACGCCAGTGTTGTTAGACGATTAAGACTAATACTAGTTGGAAAAATTACATAATGGAAATGAGTTTATGAAAGAAATGAAAAAAATCAATTTTTGAATTTTTATGCGTCCATTGAAACTTCGCGAATAAGCATCCTTTTAAGAAAATATTTTAAATTTATCGTACTTAGACTTCACATTATTGAACAACTAGACTTTTAACTCTATGTGAAATGAATTGTTGATCTGAATAATTGTTGATCTGAATCGCTCATCTGTTAATTCTGGCTCTAAAAACCATAACGTCCCGGTCTTCTGTTAATTTGTTGTTCTGGCTCGTATTGCACATACTGTCTGATTTATCATATTCTAAGAGCAGTAACTCATATTCTGGTATTGTTAATATTATTATCACTCATGATTCCATGATATATTATTAGACGGGTTGATTCAAGTTATCATTTATAGCTTGTTTTAATCACTCATATATTAGGATATGATGTTTTAATACATATAAGAGATTGTTTAAGATTATTCATTTGATATTGGGCTGGAAAAGTTATATCAATTTTCTTCTTATACAAATCTTGTTTTATTTTCAAGTCAATCAATTAATTTAGTTTGTAGATTATAGTGGTCAGTCGACATAAATAACTACAATTCAATACTATGAAACTTAAATGAAAAATGACGTTCAAGTAATAATGAAAAGTTTGTAAAGTATTGTATTCAATTTCAACTGTAACTGAAAACATCTTCATATTAACTTGATCATGTATATTGAATCATCATGAACTAGCTAGTACTAATTATAATCTTTAAGGATTCATGAGGTGATAACCAACATCAGAATTGGATACTTAGCTGTTAACGTTCCTCTTATAATAACTTATACATGCATGGATAAATATTCAACATCACGAGTCCATGTTCTCATTTATATCTTCAAATTTCTCCTTTTCAGTAGCAATATCCATTAGTTAAATTATTAAACAAAAGCATACGCCAAAGAAAAAATGCACGGTTCAAAAGTAAAAATCAATCACTATATTATACGTTGATGTATAGTAAAATAGTAGTATTGGTATCACAGAAATAAGGAGTTAATATCAACAGTGCTTAAATATTTAATAACTTTTGAAACAAAGGTATAAAGTTTTTAATAGAGCCACATATTGGGGAACTCACGAAGTACTTCAGTCAGAAAACTTCATAAAAGACATCAATAAATCATAGTTACTCTTTATAAGATTAAATATATCTACATTATACCCTTCCAAATATTAAAATATAGAGAAATAAGTCATTAATATCAAGATTTGAATATACATAAAGTAATTGTTTGACCTATGGTCATCAACTTTAATTAAATATATCAACTTTATCAACTTTAATTGATCTTGCCATCTTTGTATCCATGAGATTAACTCCAATATGTATACGTTTATGTATCATAATATATCAATCATCCATGAAACATTCAGCTAGCAGAATTTAAAAGGTAATCTTTGATGCTCAAGACTATCCCAAATCAAATCTTATTGAAAAAGTAGTCCAACAAAACTTTCTCTTTAAAATCTTTAGAATTGCTGCTGAGAACCCTTGACAAACGTAAAGATGTGTGACTAACCTTACATTGTAAGCTCACAAATGCACGATGATCAGTAAGTATCTTAACTTCATTATGTTGATTGAATATGACTAGTTTTGAAATTTTAATTATGAAGAGAGACATTCGCGAATTCGCGAACCCTTTTTCAAGAAATTGAGAAAGTCGCGTTGTCATTGACAACAACAAACCCATAGTATCAATATCAACTCCCCAGATATAATACAACAAATCATTATCTAGAATCAATTGATCATTTGTTTTATTGTTCAGGTGCTATATATCTACTCATATCCCTTAAAAAATCATCAAATTACCCGTTTTTCATAAATCATAAACTAAACATAATGGCTTACTCTGATCAAACTGTTGCTCAATTAAAAGAAGAATTAACTTCAAGACAATTATCAACTTCTGGTGTTAAAAAAGATTTGATTCAAAGATTAGAAGAAAATGATGCTTCTAAAGAAACCACTGAACCAGTTGTTGAAGAATCAAAAGATGAACCAAAAGATGAATTATTAGAAGAAGTTGAACCAGAACAACAAGAAGAATCAAAAGAAGAATCCAAAGAAGAACAAAAGGAAGAATCATCTACAACTGAACAAAAAGGAGAAGAAGAAAAACCAAAATCTATTAAAGAATTCACACCAGAAGAACGTAAAAATTTAGCAATTGAATTTTTAAATAAAAAAATTTCAAGAGCAAAAAAATTTGGTAGTGAAGAATCAGAAATTGAATCAATCAAGAAAGATTTAGCTCGTATAGAAAAATATGGTGTTGAATTAGGTACTTCAATTGCTAAAGAAATTGGTTTAACTTCAAGACCTTTACATGATGGTCCAAGAAAAAGATTCCATGGTAGAGGTAGAGGTGGTAATAGAGGTTTTAGATCAAGAGGTCGTTTCAGAGGTCGTCGTGACTAGAAATATAATTGATTTTTTATTAACTAAGAAGATATTGGGGAAGGGGGTTTATTTCTGAATTCTATATAGAGATTAGTGTATAGCATGAAAAACTGTAATATATAAATACTTACGATTTTATTTTAAAGAATATTGATACATGATATGATAATGAGCTCGTATACCTTGAGTGTCTTCTAAGCTTACAGGTTCAAAGGGAATGTGGGTAGTTACCATGGATATTAATTTTCAAAGGAATTTCATAATGTATTTATACTCCAAAAATCTCCATGGTTACAAATTTTGGTGAAATGGTGAAGTGCAAAAGGGTAAAGTCGACAAGTGACAAGTCATTTATTTTATTCATTTGCTTGGTTTTAATGATTAACCAATGCTCATCAATGTTGAAACTTTTGATTGATCAGATGTAAATACTAAAGAGGTAGCATAGTTGTACAAGTTTCAAGACTCGGGTTACTATATAAAGTTTTAGTTCATAAAGATTGAACTAAATATGGAATTAAGTACAGTTGAAGTGGAGTTTGAGGATCAATAATAATTACTATCCTATCCAAACATTGAAATGATTTGAGAAGCCTTATATGTGTACTTTATGATCACACTTTAAAGTAGTACGTCTTTAGTACCCTCATCAACTCTATGAATCAACACACCTTCTTCTTTCGGGAAAACCTTTGATTTGGTTCAAAGGAGTTTATTTTGTGACCTGTCTAATATGTACATTTCATTGTTTGTATTTATTTTTGATGTATGATTATCAATTCTTTTGAAACATGATCTAAGGATTCAAGGATTTCTTTGTCTAAGCAATCTTTATGTCCCTTGAGGATCCCGAGACTATATATACAAAGCTCATGATATGATAAGGCTTCTTTTTGATGTATATTTTTAATGCGCATGAATATGAACTAATTCATATCACTTCGTATTTCAAAAATCACATTGATGGACTCTTAAGTTATATCTAGTATAGTAAATTCAAGGTTATATCATTTAATTTAACCGCTTTAAATTTGACAGATATACTTTTCGCAAATTTGCACTTATACTAAATCTTAAAATTACTTAAAATGGATAGTTTTACGTGTTAATTTCTGAAATTTTTAATCTCAATCGCGATTTTCCCATAATTTGGTGGTTTTTAAGTTTTTGATTACCAAAATTCGTACTGTAATTTGCATTTTATCGCATGATTGGCGTAAAAATTCTTAAATTTATTTTGGAAATGTGTGATATTTTTATCTTTTTGACGTTCCTGAAACGAAAATGGATCAAATTTATATGGAAATAACCATAAAGATAAATAGATAAAGTGCAAAGGGTCTGACACACTCTTTTGAATAGTGGCTCAGATTGTTCTTTAGTGATCTGGGTTAAAACTTAATTGGCTATGTTGTGGTGATTCCATCTTTTGACCAGTCGTATTCCAGATTCCAGATCAGAATTGTGCTTAGCGACCGTTGCGTGTAGTTATCCCTGATTTATCTATCCCTTTGGGAAATGGATTTGAAATCTTTAACATTCTTTGTTCATTCTCGTTTGGGCTCTTGAACTTGTGAGCTTGTGAACTTCTGGACAAGATATCTTTTGATCTTTGGACTAGTAAGACAGACATTTGACCCACTGGTGATCAGATCTTCTGTCTGGCTCTTGAAAGGACAAACTGATCTAAACACAATCAGATCTCAAATTTTAAGGAACCAAAAAAGAAAATTCATAAGATTGATTTGATCCAAATTTACTTGTTTGATTCTTACTAAATCAAGGCTCATTTTTAAAAATATTCAACATACCTTAATAAGATCACCGCAAAAACCATCAAGAATTTTAGCAAAAATCCTTTACAACTACAAATTATCACACTGTCTGTCTGTCTGTCACTCTTATATCAATATAGACTATACATTTTCACAAAATTAAGGATCATTAACTGGTATATGGTCAAATGAGCTGCCATCCAGAACCTTATATCCTAGAATTATATCCAGGCAATGAGGACAATGGATGTGATTCTACAGACTCAAAGAATGTGGGTTCAAATGTTCAATCATCAACAATAAATGAAGAAGATGAAGATGAAAATCAAGATCAAACCCAATACCAACAAGATGAAACCTATAAAGATCACAAGAAAATATATTCAATTCATATCTATAATTTACCACCTTGGATCAAATGGAGAGATTTAAAATCTTTATTGATTAGTTATGTTCAAGATACTGAAATTTTACATATTCAAATATGGCAAACTGTTGTTACAAATGCTTTAGTCTCATTAACTTCACAAGATGCTTCAATTGATATCTATAACAATTTAAACAATTTTGAATGGAATGGATTCATATTAACTGTGGGGATTGAAGATATTGATGAAATCACTGCTAAAATTAATTCGAATATTCAACAATTACCTTCAAATCAATATCATGGTTATCCTCCTTATCCTCCTCAATATTTAGCACCACCTCAACATCAACAATCTGTGTATCCTCAAAATATCCCACCTCAACCTCCACAAAGTTCAAATTCAACTTTTTCACCACCTCCATATTATAATTTCATACCAATTTATCCAGGAAATCAAGGTCCTCCATTACCAGCTCCACCTCCAGGTACTACAATCCCATCACAACCACCAACAGGAATCCCACCAACAGGAATCCCACCAACTGCAAATTCATTACCACCACCAACAAGTGCACCTCATATTCCACATGTTCCTCAACAAATCCCACAAATCCCACCACCACCAGGTCCTTTCCAACATCCATATTTATCACCACCTCAACAACATCAATTACCTTTCAATTTACAATTCCCACCTCATACACCAATTTCAAGACCTTCTTCTAAAACACGTCATCCTTCATTATCAATATCATCACCATATTATACAAATTCTCAGCTATATCCTAATCAACAAAATTTTTATGGTTCAGTGGGGCATCATACAAGATCTCAATCTGCTTCATTTAGTTCATATAGTTATAATACATCATCTCAATCACCAAAAATCCCATCAAGACAAATCAATTTAAAACAATTGAATTATCATGATATCACAGATATTAATGATTTACCAGCTGATAAAACAAGATTATTCATAGGTAATATCCCATTTGAATCCGATTGGAGAGATTTAAAAGATTTCCTTAGAAGATTTGGTGATTCAATCATACGTGTTGAAATTCCAAGAAATGATTCAGGTTCAAAAGGTTTTGGTATTGCTACTTTTGAAAATGAATTTGATGCTTTAAGAGTTATTGAAATGTGTAATGGTTCAATGTTTCAAGGTAGACCATTAACTGTTAGGTATGATAAATTTCCAAGGGTTAAGAATCCTTTAAGTTCTTCTTCAACTTCAAGATTAGCTTCACCAGGAAAGACTGCGATTGATATTAATGAACAATCTGGTGGTGGTATTACCGGTGGATTGGATAAAGAAAATATCATACCTGAAGAACATAGTGCAGAGATTAGTTTTGATGATGGAGAATTTGCTACTGAAGCAAGAAATCTTGTTGAATCATTAAATTTGAATTCATTAAAGTAATCAACAATATTTTAAACCATACCAATGTCTTAATCAAGTCCTTTTTCTATCAATATCATTTCATAATTTCCCTTTTTCAAATTTGTCATTTATTTTTAAATCCATTCATTTTTCTTTCCTTTTATATTTAATAGTTCTTAGCATGTGTGTTTTTATCCATCATTTTTATCCTCATTTCAAGCTTTTTATTCATATAACAATTCCTTAATTTTTATACACCATTCAACAAGAAGATCATCCTTCATCATCTACACCAATTTTCTCTCCAACACAATCATCTCATCTTTCCAAAAAGAGTCAAAAGAAGCAGTCATCCTCCTCCAAGAAAAGTACAAAATCATTATATATCATCAAAGCTAAAGAAACAAAAAAGCTATCATTTATCTTTTATCCAAAACAGCTTACAACAACAATAACAAACGTTGTCTTAATTTTTTAATAAGTTTCATATCATATCATTTCATCTTATATTATTATATATAATTCCTCTTTAATTTTTAATAACATGCTTAATTTTTATACTATATGAACTAGATAGTAGATAGTAGATAGTAGAGCTGATACTCTGTTTTTTGACCATTAAATGCTTCTTTATGTAAGGTTATGCTTGGAGTCCCTCGTAATTGGTGGTTATCATCACGTGGAATTGTTGAGATCCGGGATTTTGTATAGATTCAAGCAAAACTACGATTAAAATTTAGATCTGTTTAGAATAGAATTGGTGATTGATAAAGAGATATTGTTACAGTGTTGATATATAGTACATGAAACAATACAATCGTCAAAACGTTATAATTTAAATCAATATTAATAAAACTAACTAAAAGCAAATGAAAAAAAAGTAATGAAAATAAACACCATATGACCATATGATTCATTTCCAAATTGAAATAATTGATCAAAAACACCGTTTGATTCTCTATAATATATTTTATATAATATTCTATAAGTTTCCTATTAAAAACCACTTTAATTGTAAGTATGTAATGTATAAAAATTTGACATGATATTGACATGATATTCATAACAGAGAATTAATCTCTAATAAATCTTTTGAATTACCTTTAATTTCAATAATTAATTTTAAATCATTTGATGAATCTTGTTTAAATAATTTTTCTAATTTTTCATCATTTGATATAATTTCATTATTTGTAAAATTTTTTAATGATAATAATGATGTATTTTTTTCAATTTTAAATGCAATTTTACCATTTTCTAAAATTTCTAATAAAGTTGGTGGTGCTGTACTTATTGGTTTAAAGATAAAATTTAAATTTTTATCACCATATGATAATTGAACATTTTTTGTTACTTCTTTATCAGCTTCTTTTGGTATAACACTTAAAGTTGGTGCAACTAATGATTCATTTGTAATTTTTTGAACTTGAGTTGCAACTAAAGGATATTGATTCAGTATAACTTCATGGAAAATTTCTGCTAAATCATAACAAGTTGAATCAAATCCAAAATCTTTAACTATACCACCTAATAATTTTGCCAGTAATTGAGATGTTTGGAAATCTGAAAGTATAATTAATTCTTGTGTAGTAACACCTAAAGATTTTAAAATCTTGGAAATTGTAATTGTGGAAGTAATTTGTTGATAAAGATAATTTATTGAATCATTTGACAGATCTTGAAAAAATCTTTCCAATACAAAAGCTGCTGAAGCACTTATTATTGAATTTCCTAAATTAATTAAATTATCAATATGTAAATCTGGATCATTATTTGATATTGATGCACAAGTCTTGGATTTTTGTATTGATTGTAATAATTTATTTTTATTAAAAGGAGATATTGTTATTTGTGGTATTGATTTAATTGGAGGCAGTTGTAAAATATTATTTGTTGGATTAGGGGATGTTTGATGAGAGTCTGAAGGAGTTGTATCAGTTGTTGTATTTGTTGTATTTGAAGCATTAGATCCAGTAGCATTAGCTAACAGAGTATTCACCCCCATAGTATTTTGAATATGATTTTGATGTTGTAATTCATGTTGTTCTTGTAATTTTTCATTCAGTATAAAACGATCATTATGAATTCTTGATCTTGAAGATCTTTTCCTATTTCTTCGAACAGATTGAACAGCGGCACGAACTAATTTATCAAAATCCATCAGAGTATCTTGTGGGAAGCCAAATTCAGTTCTTAATAAATTAGCAATTTGTTTTATAGCATCATCTTGTTCTGAAGCTTTTCTATAACTCAGATTAAATTTATCAATTAATTCTAATCTTCTATTACTAAATTCTTTCCATTTCTTATCATCATTGAATCCCAAATGATTTCTTATAGCCTGAGTTATCCCCTGTCCACCAGAGCCACTACCACTACCACCACTACCAGAACTCAATGGTCTTTGTGGTTGTTGATTTTGTTGTATTTGTTCATCCTGACTAGTATTCATAGATCCATTAGGACTAACCGCATGGATTTGATTTGAACTAGAACCAACCGAACCAGTGTAAAAAGCATCATTCATGTTGCCAAACAGCGTCTCTCTTGTCTAATTCCACTATATCCCTTAATAAATTCTTTCAAAGTAATTAACACCTGGTCATTAAACTGATTAATAGCTGGAGTTTGAATCAATTTACCGCTGATTTTCTGGTGGGATGATGTTTTTAATCACAAACAAAAAGGACACCTGAACACCAATCTAATAAAGACAATATTATAGCAATTATAAGGGAAGATTACAAAGACAACAAAAGAGATAAGAGACAGTGGATTGAGATCAATTGAGATCAATTTAGTGATTATTATAAAGGTTGACAAGTGGATACTCATGTAATTGAAGTGCTTGATTTATACTTGTTCGGTGAAGCATGGATCATCGACAATCGTTGTTTTCCATAACGAGTAAAGAGAGCCCATTGTTTAATTATCGTACTATCGTATACACAGAGATTAATACATACTCAATATAGTATATGCTCTAACCAAAATTGTGTATATACAGTCAACTGCTTTCTCATCTACTTCAACAATGTCTCAAGTCTCAACTTCCAAGTTCCAAGAGATGAAATAGATATTCATCGGCATAAAGTACCCCGGATAACTAGGATTAACTGTAGTATAATATATGTTAATTAATAAAGTATATAATGATAGAAGATACCAATGATATATTCAGCATCTACTCACACTCCTAGTATCATAAGATAATTCATCGTGTCAGTTTTATTCTAACCATTGGAATGGTGATCTTATTCTTGATGTATCTCGTAATATTGTGGATTTCGCGTGGGGTACTATTAGATCTGATACGACATTAATCATGTTGAGTAGTATCTGGTTACCAGGTTCAATGGAATGGTATTGATAAATATAATTCTTCATATTATCGATCATTCTTTGATACTTTGGATATACTAAACTAGTTGGTCCTTGTATAATATCATGAAGATCACATAAATCTAAACTTGTAGTCTTTAAGATGAATAACTATAGTCGCTATGTTAAACTACAATAAATTTCAATTCTGAAAAGATTAGAAGATTCATATATCAAATCATATCTAGTATATCTTCTTTAAGCTAACTAGAATACTTAATTGTCAATGAATCATTAATGTTATATCAATTTGATATCTGATCTTTGATGTCTGATTTTGATACATCATTTTGATTCTTAATATCATGATATGTTTTAAATTTAGTAATTTCCACTGAAACATTAGATGGAATAGAAGATGGGCCGCGTAGAAATTTAAAGACCAACCAATACATGGTATATCCATTTATTTATCACAAAACACTCCTTAACTTACTACTATAATTATTTATCAATTAGTATATTTTCAATCCAATATCATCAAAATTTCAAAGATATTAAGTATCATATAAGATTAATACTTACTCATATTTAAGACAACAATTTAAAACAACATTAATTGTTACCACATCAAAAGCATTGGAATAGATGCTAAAACATCAAAGTAGTTGAATCCAAAATCCAAAAAAAAGGGATTTCTTAGCTTTTATATAATTTTCAAAATCAAAAATCGCGAATTATGTAAAATTTATTTGATGAAATTTTGACGACCTCCTTGTTTGGAAATTAAGAGTTTGGATCCAAAGCGTATCGTTGTTTTATTGTTTTCATCTTTAAACTTGACGATTTTTTATTCTTCTGTTTCCAATGGGGTATTTAAGAATGCTTTGTTATAATCTATGAAGAACTCATGTTAGTTTGTTATATACAGAGATCCGATTTATGATCATGTTTTTGTCTGACTGTTGGAACTTGGTACCAATAACTTTTAACCATGATTGAAATTAAGAAATATTGTTGATTGAGTTAAACTAAAATTACCTTTCAAGTCATTTGAATTTGGAATTTGAAAAAAGTTTATAGAGGCTCAGATATCAAATAAAGGGTACACGGTACACGTCTTTCAAACATTGTGAATTGACAACTCTTTGCAAATGATGATTTTTCTGTTTATGGATTGGAAAAGTTCATTTCGAAATCATTACTTTTGAAAGATTAATAATTAATATATTTTTGCAGATTTCAAGTCAAACATTGTAGATTTGTAAATTATAGCTTTGGTGGCTAGCATATTATTTAGTTATTATACCGCGTATATAAAGTAATCAAGCTTCACACAGTTTGGGATTCATAATATATAGATACTTTATATATCATGATATTATATTCATAAACTACCATCGCCAAACTAAATAAAGCTACAAAATCAATGTGACATTGAAAACTGTTAAACTCATGTATAAATCATAATATCTAGTTTGATCATCAAGATCCACTAAAGTGCTTATAGACTTATGGTGAATATATGTGAATTTCCATGAATACTCTTTAAATTTGAACAATCACGAAAACTATCAGCAGGAATTCATTGGTTAATTATATCAAAGAACCATTAATAGATGACACATAAAGTGCAGCATCAATATCTTCATATTAATTGAACCATTTCCAAACTTAAATATCAAATACCCTAAACTTAATGCATGCTTTTCTAGAAAACATAGGAAAGAAACTAATATAATCAATTATCGAGTTTTAATGGAGAAAGGAAAAAGTATTGAAATTTAGGGAGGTTTATATAAAAATTATAAAAGTTTCGCGTTCTTGAAAAAAAAATTATAAATCTTTGTTCCAGGGTGAAGAAACAAATTTTATCAATATACTGTTATAAATCCAAAAAGGTTTACCATTCCTCTTCTGCTTGATATTTTAGGGATCAATTAGCTAGGTATATCCACTTGAATTAAATCAGTTTAAAAATGAACTGCTCCTATTATCCTATTATTGATATTGGTCCATAATGATTTTGACTTCTACAAATAAAAACATTTCCACAAGTTGTTTATGACGTTTTGTGTTTACTTTATGGTATATGATGATGTTTTAACATGATGATCATCTACCCAATACTAGAGTTGTTCCAAAAATTCTGATCGGTCATTATTGGATGCGTTAAATGTTAAATGATATCAATTTATACAAAACTAATTAAACCATATCTCAAAGTATGATCTTCTTGTTCATGGATTGCAAAAGTTCATTTCGAGATCAATACTCTTGAGATAATACAAATTTTTTTGCATGAGGTGTTCATATTGTAGATATGTAAATCATTCTGAAGTGTATAAAAAGTAATCGACTTAATTATTTGCATAAATATGTATATACAGAAACATTTGGTTCATACAGGGAGAAAATAACTATATAATAAGTATCAATGAAAACGTCCACATGTGACAATGAACATTTTAAAAAAATGATAAGCTCATATATATAAATCATAATATCTAGCCTGATCTTCAAGATCTACTAAAATATTCATAGATCCATATTGAGCTTCTGGATTGCAATGATATGAATCTGTTAAAATATCAAATCTTTAAACAATAATCATTTAATCATAAAATTTTCACACCATTGAAATTGTAACCAGATTCAGGTAAAATATACAATGAAGAAGACACTATCCTGGATACCCATAACTCTTAAATTCAGTCAGAAAACGTGAAGCCAAACTTATATTAGACATTATCTGCAAACTAAATTATATTATTGGGGATCCATACCAAAATGACATATCAAACAACCCTATTGTTATAGAACAAGAAGGAAAATAGAAAATGAAGAAAGGAGAAATTTAGGGAGGTTTATATAATAGTCCAAAAATTCGCGAATTTTTGTTGAAGTTTAAAAAAAATTTAATGGACAACGTCGATTAACTTGATCAAATACATATGACATATGACAATGCTTGAAAAAATGTTCTGACTTTTTACAATTATAACAGGTCCGCAATGCTATTGATATTTTTAATTTCATTGTATAACTGGGTACAAATGATCCGTCTATGGCACCTATACGTCGGGTTTGAAATACAGTGGCAATAGAATTGTTCGAATTTACAATTTAGCTATTAGCTGTTCTTGTTTGAATTTGTTAGTTTGGTTGATATAGTATGATAATATCTTATAGAGCATTATTTTGATTTGGTACAATTTGATGAATTAGATATCATCATATTCAAATTCAATCAACATATAATATCTCGGAGTTTGATCTTTCTTGTTTATGGATTGCAAAAGTTCATTTCGAGATCATTACTTCTGAGATAATACACATATTTTGACCAACAGAAGTACTATATATTGTAGACATTTTATAAATCACGAGTATATGATAATTCATAGACGTACTAATGAATCACTTTAATATCGGTGCTAATTGGATTATATACTACAATATTTTAGCATATAATTGAAAAAGTAACACATTGATTCAAACTTCAAATAGTTCTTGCTATATAAACACAAAACTAATTTGACATATCATGAGGTGTTGTGTGTATTGATTTGTTATTATATTAGTTCATAGTATTGTAGCTTTGATTAAAATCAACATTCAACAATGAAACTAAATATAAATCAATTTTTCAAGGATGAACCATAATTGCACATATGATAACAAACTCAGAAAATAAATATACATGGAGACTATTCATTAGAATGCTAATGATCATCAAAACAATTTGAGGATGCTGTCAAACATATGTAGTGACAATTTTGTAAATAAAATCATGAGCTTTTCAAAAAATTTGATGTGTTGTACAATTTTCAGATCTTGGTGACTAATACACACTAGTATTGATTAGTCATTATAATATTAATTGAATGTTAAACAATAAACTTCTCTCTATACCAATGTTACTATTGAAAAATTTTCATATTAAGTAATTCTTGTTTATACTAACCAATTTGGCTTAGTATGTTCGAATACGAATAACACACACGTCTTCTCTTAATCAGTGTTCAATAGTTGGCACATTTGACTCATCATACAAGATAACATGAATACTTATCAATGAATAATATAGTCTTATGTGATAACACCTCTATTATATTCAGTCATCTCTATATGTATAATGTCAGAGAAGTCAGTCATAGTATGACCATGAATCAAACCTTTAACTGTTCTTTTATGCATCTCGTAATATTATATGAATTTCGCGTGGGGTGCTATTAGATCTGATACAACAAGAAACATGATGAATATTAATTATCAATTTCAATTATCTAACAGATTCAATAAGAAAGTGAAATCTATTCCGCTTTGTAAATTATGACATTGACTGCTGACTTGTATCAAGATCAATTTAAATCTTGTAGTTACTTATAAAATCAGTCGCTATGTTGAACTACAATCCATTTCAATTCTGAAAAGATTAAAAGATTCATATATCAAATTATATCTAGTTTGTTTCTAGAAGTTAACTAGAATGCTAATTTGTCAATGAATCTTGAATATTATAGCTATTTGATACCTTATCTTAATATCTGATCTTGATATTGTGATATGTTTTGGATCAAAAGATTAGCATTGAAACTTGGGATCACATAATTGTAAAGTGCATATCCAGACAATTGGTCAAGTGATACGTCCAGTAGACGTCTCATGAATGTCAAGGAAACTTTTCAACTTAAGTTATCAGTTAGTATACTCAAATCATCAGCAAAATTTTCAAAGATAAATATCATACAGTGTCAATTCCAATTCATGCCAGAGTAGGGGCTCATAGAAACCTGACGTCGTGATTGCAAGTTTGGACGACACCAATAAAATGGATATTCGAGGTAAAAAGCCCATATGAATTGGATAAAATTAAAACAAGTGATAAAAACTATGAACCAAAAAAATTTCTTAGCTTTTATACAATTTTCAAAAAATCGCGAATATCAATTAAGATTGTTGACCTCCTTATTTAGAAAAATTAATCTAAGTTTGAACTCTTCTTTTATGATATCTATTTTATCAGAATTATAAAATATCATTGATATACATCATTCGTGCCTTTGGTTTGTTATTTTTTATCGTGAATCGCCAGAACCATCTTAATGGTATTTATTTTATTACATCATTTATGCTACAGCTTCAAATATTGTGAAGCAAGTTCGTTTCCCTCCATCTGAATCAGCTTGGTTGTTTTTCATGTTGACTATATACCTATTTTACAGAATTATTTAAAAGTGAAACTACTTTGATTATCTCATTTAGTTAATTAGAAAAAATGTTTACTTGAAAAGGTTCACTTGTTCTTCTTTAAATACTAGATAATATCAGCATTAAGAACACTGAATTAACATCTTCAAAGTATGATATTTCTTGTTTATGGATTGAAAAAGTTCATGTCGAAATCAATACTTTTGAAAGATTCAATATATTTTTTGCATATATCTAATTCAAATCAAATTGGTTTACGTTGTAGATCTGTAAGTTATATATATAACTTTGTCAGCTCAGCCAGCATATCATTTAGTTATTATAGTACAGCGTATTCCAAAGTAATCAAGCTTGATCACACAATATTAGATCATAATAATCATAAGATACCGTCGTCGATCTATATAATGCTACAAATCAATGAACTTTATGGAAAAATAATCAATTCATGTATATATCATAATATCTAGCCTGATCTTTAAGATCTACTAAAGTACTTATAGATCTATAATGAGTCTGTATTATAACAATCAATCATAGTATAAGATCATAAATGTCAATTGAGTATGATCATAAATATATAATAACAATTGACCTAAAAGTTCACTAATATACTAAAAGTGAAATAAATCTTTTGAAACAGAATCTAGCAAATAGGTTTACCATAACTGAAATCATCAAAAAAGCAGCTAGAGCTTTCAATATACTATCCGAATTTAATAAGACTAGATTAATTAAGTTGAAATTCTAGAAATCATAAGCTGGAAAGGGGGAAAAGGGAATTAATTCAGGGATTAATATAGGGAGCTTTATATAAAAATTTCAAAAATTTCGCGCAGCTTTCGAAATGTCCAGCTAAAATTTAATCCAAGATCAATTCTTCTAAACTCTTTAATACTGCACAATTTATGAGTTATACACAGCGTTTCGTTCTTTTGTTCTCACCAGAAATTTTTCAAATACTCTGCTCGATTGACAGCAAGAGTGATTTATAAAACTCATTTTTTGAAGCTCTAGTTATCAATATTCTAGTTCATGATGTCTTTCTATTAAATGAACTTTTTTAAGGGGTTGAGAATTGATACGTATTATAATTTGAATATGTTGGATAAGAAATTATATTGAAAACTATATGATTGTACTATATTGTCAAAGTATGATTTTTTTGTTTATGGATTGATAAAGTTCATTTCGAGATCAATACTCTTGAGATAATACATATTTTTTTTGCATGAGGTGTTCATATTGTAGAGATGTAAGTTATACGTTACGGTCATTTTAAAGTGTATATAAAGTAATCGACATACTCTCATATATCAATACACCGGATAACAAATTACATGCAGGCAGTTTGAATAACTAAATCAACTACAAATATTAATAAAATTCAAGAAAAAATGTTAAAGTCATGTATATAAATCATAATATCTAGCCTGATCTTTAAGATCTACTAAAATATATAGTAAGGTTATATAATGAGTTTTTGTCTATGAATATAATACACTCATTTGTGAAAGTATCAATTCTTTGAAAAAATATCATAAGAACTATAATTATTTTATAATGGAATTACTAGTTAATGGAATGAAATTATAAAGACTAAATGAAAGCTGATACGATTCATACTCAAAACCATGCGTCCTGACCATGACATAGCATGTCTTATCCAAGACAAAATCAATGATATAAAGGAATTCAAAAAGTCTACCAACTTTATGAAAGTAGAACAAGAAGAAAAATAGAAATGAAGAAAGGAGAAATTTAGGGAGCTTTATATAATAGTCCAAAAATTCGCGAATTTTTGTTGAAGTTAAAAAAAAATTTTAATGGACAACTTCGATTAATTTAATTAAATGCATATGACAATGTGTCCAATATTATTTATCTTTTGTTCTGGCTGATGAATTCAGCTACGAAGGTTCCATCTATTGCTCCAGTGCATCGTGTTTCAAATACAGTGGGTATAGAAGTACTCGATCATTTACAAATTTAGCTATTAGCTGTTCATGTTTAAATTTGTTGGTTTGGTTGATCTACTTTCTTATAAAGCATTTTATTGAATTGGAACTATTAATTAATGAATTAGATATCATAATCAAATTAAATCAACATATATATCTCAGAGTATGATCTTTCTTGTTTATGGATTGCAAAAATTCATTTCGAAATCATTACTTCTGAGATAATACACATATTTTGACCAACAAAATTACTCAACGTTGTAGTCTTTTAAATCACGATTATATGATAATTCATAGTACTGATGTACTGATGAACCACTTTAATATCGATGCTTAGAATCGGGTTGTGTACTACAATATTATAACATATAATTGAAAACTTAATTCATTAATTCAAACAACTCAAATAGTTTTTGATATAAACATAAGACTTATTTAGTATAATTAATGAGGTATTATGTATTGATTGGTTTTTATAATAGTTCATAGTATTGTAGTTTTGATAAAAATCAACATTCATGACTTGATGAAACTAATTATATAAATCAATATTTTGTCATAGACCAAACTTCAAAAATGTGATAAGAGATCTAAAGTTATATGTGACGTCCTCAAATCTTGATTATAAAGTAGATTTCCTGACTGAATCAAATTATTTTCAAAAAATTGCTTAATATATAAGTACCCTATTTTGGAATAAAAAAGCAGCAGCTCAAATCAATAAACACTATTTCATAATAAAATACACGATTCATCACTGAAACAATTTTGATATATGAACTGTTTGTAGTTTGTAGTTTAAAGAAAATCTTTTATTCGAAAATAAATTCTGATTACTAATACACAATGGTATTGATTAGTCATACACTTAACTGAATACCCATCACTCAAAGCAATGAACTTAACTCATTATGATTCTTATTCAGTAATACTAGTCTATGATAACTATTTATGTTCTCTATTCTCATATTATAGAAGTAATATACACGTCTTTTCTTGATTATTTGGTTGATTACAACACTCGAGTTAGTCATATACAAGATAACATGGATAACTATTATCTAGCTATCCTACTACAATCAATACTCTATGAGTCCATGTATCCAGTGATATCACATCTTTTATAATCAATCATGACTTGAGGTATCACAGCTATGACACATACATAACTATAAACAAGTATTCCATCGTACCATATACTACGTAGTACGTACTACCATACACACTAAACTCCATAAAAGAATCTTCCGCAACCCATTTCCCCAGATTTTAGTAGCCAAATACCATCAAATACCACCAATAACCAATTGCGATGTCGGTTAATTCAATTACAAGTCTAAATTATTTAATTTAAAAGGAAATATGGAAGTGATTACCCTCTGCTTATGAAATCTGGGGTAAATTTTTTATACCGTCGACGATTTTTTCGATTTCAAGTCATATACAAATTAAAAAAACCAGTGAAATGAGAATATTTTAAAGAAGATCAATACAATTACAGTAAATCATGGGGTTGATTATCTATTGATGGTTTAGTGAACTATCATTGTATCAATAAGCTAGTTCATTTTGACCTGTTTCCCTTTGATTTCAGTGATTTTGATGATTTCATGATTTCAGTTGCGCCCACTTTACCGAGTATTATATCGGGCAAAGGGTCAAACCAACTTCAACAAAATTTAAAGCATAGTTTACAAAGATATGACATTGATCATTACAAGAAAATAACCTGTAAAGGCCCGTGCATCCGATCATCAAGGTACCATAATGGATAAAATACCATAAAACCATGATTTATATATTTTATGGATTGATATATAAATACTGATTCAATTCCACTTTGTTTCTGGGTTTGTTAATATCAAATTTATCATACATCATCAATTATATTGACTTATTCAATTCAATAAAGATGGCTTATTCAAAAATTAATATTCAACAAGAAGATCAAGACTTCAAAAAAGAAGTTGAAGAAATTAAAAAATGGTGGTCACAACCTCGTTGGAACAAAACAAAAAGAATTTATCAACCTGAAGATATTGCAACAAAAAGATCATCATTAAAAATTGATTATCCATCATCTGTTCAAGCTAAAAAATTATATAAATTATTAGAAGAACATGATGCTAATAAAACTGCTTCATTCACTTTTGGTGCATTAGATCCAATTCATGTTGCTCAAATGGCTAAATATTTAGATACAATTTATGTTTCAGGTTGGCAATCATCTTCAACTGCTTCAACTTCAAATGAACCATCACCAGATTTAGCTGATTATCCTTATGATACTGTTCCAAATAAAGTTGAACATTTATGGTTTGCTCAATTATTTCATGATAGAAAACAACGTGAAGAAAGATTAAATTTATCTGTTGAAGAAAGATCAAAATTACCTTATACTGATTTCTTAAGACCAATTATTGCAGATGCTGATACTGGTCATGGTGGTATTACTGCGATTATTAAATTAACAAAATTATTTGTTGAACGTGGTGCTGCAGGTATTCATATTGAAGATCAAGCTCCAGGTACCAAGAAATGTGGTCATATGGCTGGTAAAGTTTTAGTCCCAATTCAAGAACATATTAATCGTTTAGTTGCTATTAGAGCTTCTGCTGATATTTTGGGTTCTGATTTAATTGTTGTTGCAAGAACTGATTCTGAAGCTGCAACTTTAATTACTTCAACTATTGATCATAGAGATCATTATTTTATTGTTGGTGCTACTAATCCTGATGTTGGTGATTTAGCTCAATTACAATATGAAGCTGAATCTAAAGGTATTTATGGTGCTGAATTACAAGCTATTGAAGATGAATGGACCAAAAAAGCTGGTTTAAAATTATTCCATGAAGCTGTTATTGATGAAATTAATGATGGATTTTATCCAAATAAACAAGAATTAATTAAACAATTTACATCAAAAGTTAATCCATTATCACAAACTTCCAATAAAGAAGCTCGTGTTTTGGCTAAGAAAATTTTAGGTAAAGATATTTATTTCAATTGGGATGCACCAAAAGTTCGTGAAGGTTATTATCGTTATATTGGTGGTACTCAATGTGCAGTTAATCGTGGTCGTTCATATGCTCCATATGCTGATATGATTTGGATGGAATCAAAATTACCAGATTATGAACAAGCTGTTGAATTTGCAACTGGTGTTAAATCATTATATCCAGATCAATGGTTAGCTTATAATTTATCACCATCTTTCAATTGGAATAAAGCTATGAGTCCAGAAGATCAAGAAACTTATATTAAAAAATTAGCAAAATTAGGTTATATTTGGCAATTTATTACTCTTGCAGGTTTACATACAACTGCATTAGCTGTTGATAATTTCTCTAGAGATTATGCTAAAATTGGTATGAGAGCTTATGGACAAAATGTTCAAAAACCTGAAATTGAAACTGGTGTTGAAGTTGTTAAACATCAAAAATGGTCTGGTGCTGAATATATTGATAATTTATTAAAGACTGTTACTGGTGGTATTAGTTCAACTGCTGCTATGGGTGCTGGTGTTACTGAAGATCAATTTAAAGATAAACATTAAATTTGATTAGAAACCTTTATATATATATACTTTTATATTACTCATTGCTGGTTACAATGTGTTTAAATATTTATGATTAATTTATATTGAAAATGTTTGTAGTGATGATTAAAGCTAGTAATAACATATAAGGTATTATTCTATACCTTCCAGAGTAAATCATATGAACTTAAATGCAAATCATACTCCTAATTAAGAATAGAGTTTGAATCAAGTTCTGATCATTGCTTCTTTAGTAAACTTTATGAAGTTTGACAGAAAATTTGGTTCAATATAAATATCAATAAATATCCCTTAAACATTCTTCAAACTTTCAAAACTAAATGGAGAAAAGAACAACAGAACAACAGAACAAGAAGATCATCATGATATAAACAGAACACCACACATCCGATCAATCAATCAATCAATCATGACTTCAAGCCTACAAAAAAGAAAAATCGCCAGCGAAACCAGCAAAAAATAAAGATATCGACACCTGCAGGACTCGAACCTGCGCGGGAAAATCCCAAAAGATGGCCTTGATGTTGATCAAGAAGATCAAACTATTCAAGTCTTTCGCCTTAACCACTCGGCCAAAGTGCCTTTTTCTTGAAGTTGGTTGTGATGGTTGTTGGCCTGGATTTGTGAAATTGGGGGGTTTTAGTGAAATTTTGTGGAATCCTGGTGGGTTTTTGGGGGTTTTGAAAGTTGGAGTGTAATATTTGAGTCTTGAGGTGTATGTAGAGTATTTTTTTAGGTTGAGATTCGTAGTTTTAATTTTGGTTTTTTTCGATTTCAAGAATATAATGTATTTAATAAATTTTATTTTTGATTTAAAAAACAATATTTTTTAAAACTTGAATTTTGAAAAACATGAATTTAATGAATCTGACTATTGTGATGGAAATAGAATACTCTGTTCAATATAATTAACCAATTTTCTAGTCAATAAATTCCTACCTTAATGATAAATTTGAATTAAGTTTTATAAGTTGATAATTTGAGATCTCGGGGTTACTCGGCACATTCGAAAAGTATATACACTTGTACAGCTGATCTTAATTAATTTCTTCTCATGATATTGACTATATATAAACATGGCCAAATTTACAATTAAATTGATTGTATAGTCACATTAAGACAGCTTATTATATTACCACTCAAATTGTATTAGCTATTACGTATTATATCAATAACCTTATCTCTAATAAATTGATCACTTGTTAATAACTTACTGTTTGATTGATTTTCATCAATTGTCATAAAAGTTTATCAACAAGCTCAAATTTAATGAGAAATCATTCAAGAACTGGTATGATAAGTAGCCCTAGTTGAACTAAATCACATTGGAGATTAAACCAAGTACTTATAATAGCTTTGATCTCTACAATTGTTTCCTATCTTCAATATATATCCATAGTTTTTAAATGTAGCGCTATAAATCAAAGACAATTGAAGATGGATTTAATAAAATAACAGAAGTACCGCCATGTCAAAATTTGGCTTTAAGAACCGTTTCTTCATTGTCTTTTGATGATTTTCAAACTCAAGTATTCAAGCTTTTGATTTTTTGTTATTAAATAGTTCAAAAATTCATATTTTAGATATCCTTTGTATAAGAAATAAGTAATGAAATTATAAAAAACTACATAGAAAAGGTAAGTTTCATGACCTGAAGATGTAATATGTGTGTAAAAGTATACAGATTATGAAACCTTCATTAATTATTGATTTTGAAACATAGCTAGACGTTCATTTGATATACACATTAGCAAATGATTACCGGTTATTATTCAATGCTTAATTCTTTTGAATCAAACCTTCTATATATCATAATAAAAAGGAAAAGAAAGCTTATATATAGAGATAATACATGATGCAGAAGATTTTTTTTTCATTAAAATTGGCATAAATATAATATACAAATAAACTTTTTTAGGGTAGAAGCTAAACAAAAAACACAAATAAAGAAATAAACAATCATTAAAAGACGCTTCTTGAAATTTGAGATTCTTATTGATCACCTCTTAAAGCTCTTATAACAGAAGGACGTCTCATCATATGTTTAGTCCATTTATAAACTTCAGGAAATTCATTTTTAATATCAATTCCAATTCTATCAACAACATTATTCCATGGTACAAATGCTAAATCTGCTATAGTAATTCTTTCACCAACTAACCAAACTGGATAATCGAAAAATCTTGAAGTTGATAAAGGAGTAGTACCAGCACTATAAGCTGCTGCATTCTCGGTATCTAATTCCATAATTAAAGCTTCTCTTCTTTCAGCTAATGCCATTTCAACAACTCCATAAACTCTTCTAACTTCATCAGTATAACGTTCCACGGCTGATGGAACTTGTTGAGAATGGAAATATCTAAAATGTAAAGCTTGTCCAATCATTGGTGCATGTCCTGATGTTTGGAAAAAAACCCAACTTGTAATTTGTGCTTGTTCACCTAAATTATCAGTCCATAATGAACATTCACCAAAATCTTTAAGGTATTTTGATACAAGATATAAAATAATTGAACCTGATTCCCATAATGCTAGGTTTTCATTATTATGATCAATTAAAGCAGGTACTCTTGCATTTGGATTTATTGAAACAAATTCTGGAGCTCTTTGTTCACCATTATTAAAATCAAGGAAAATTGTATTATAATCTAAATTTAATTCACTTAATACTATAGCAACTTTAAATCCATTTGGTGCAGATCTATGACTAAATAATGTAAAACCTTCTAATGGTTGATTTTTAAAAAATTTTGTTATTCTTGATTCTGAATTTGATGTTAAATTTTGACTTAATAAAGAACCTTGTATATTTGGTGGTTGATTTTGTGAATGAATTGAACCTTGTGGAATTGATTGATTTCTTTGTTCTTGGGCTAAGTTGACATTTCTTAATGCACTTGATAGATTGGAAATTGCAGGTTCTCTTTGACTCATTGTTTGTGGTGTATGTGGTGTATTTATTATTATGCTAAAATATGGGGGAAGATCTTTTGATAAATTATGGATATGATTCTGGTTTTTTTTGTATCTTCAACGAGTGGTTGTTTTGATTATTATTTTATATCCAATAATTTGAAAGTATATTAAATAAATGAAATGGAACTATTTCTTCTTATTATGAATTTTTCTTCAATCAATGTGTACTATATTTCACTTTCCAATATTTGAAGAAAACACTATTAAATCTCTTGATACTTTTCCGAACAATCCCAATATCTTATCTTCTTTACAAACAATAAATACTCCAATTGATGAAACGACTAAATATAATATAATAGATCTAATTAAATTTTATTTCTTTTCATAAATAATCAAAATTATGATTTTTTATTGTTCAACACTTTTTAATTACTTTTAACTATGGGTCTTTTTTTTTTTCAGCGAAAGGTTTAAAAAGTGCACCGGTGGGGCCAGCACCGTGGGTCACTTTAGCTTCACGTGGAACTGTGGTTGGGAGTCTGCCTAGAGGTGTCTGCCTAGAAGTCTGCCTAGGGAGAAGATGTCCACCTAAGTGGTGGGTAGACACTGGGAGGACTTCTGCCCAGTGAGCCCATGAGAGCTAGGCAGATAGGCAGAACACCACCAGTGGGAATTCAGTGGGAACAGCGGAACAGGCTTAAATTTTTTAATTGTGGAGTTGAAATTAAATGACGCCTACGGCGATTTTGAACAAATTTGAATAAAATAAACAAAATTTCAAAACAGCCAATGAAAATTGAGTAGGTAGATTTAAAGGTGTAATTAAAAGAATATACAATATATTCCATCATCAATCAAATATAAACCAAAAAAAAATAATAGGTTTATTAACTCTTTTCTTAAAGAATCATCAATTTGCCAGCGAAATCATCAAAAAAATTAGATATCGACACCTGCAGGACTCGAACCTGCGCGGGAAAATCCCAAAAGATAACCTTGTAATATTGAAAATCCGGAGATACTTCTATTCAAGTCTTTCGCCTTAACCACTCGGCCAAAGTGCCTAACTTGGAATTTTTGATACCGCTGAAACTTTGGGAGATGCTCTCGGTAGGGTTACCCCCTAAATTTGTCGGCCCAAAATTCGCGGATTTTTGAGTTAGATTACTGGTTTTATTTGGTTGTATTGATTATGTAGTATACGTCTACTCGTATAAGTTTATATATGACATTCCATTGAATTTAGTTATCAACCAATTGATATAAGAACAAATATAGATTACTGGTCAGATTCATTAGAACATATAGTACTATACACCAATTCAACTCAAATCACACACACAAAAACACAATGACAAATTCTACAATTATAGAACCAACTTATTTTACACCAGGTATTTTATCAACATTAATTGTTTCATTAGTATTAATTTGGATTTTAGTTATTGCTATATCATGGATAGCTTCATTAGATATTAGTTATGGTGCTTTAGAAAAGAAAGTTGATGGTAATAAAAAGACACAATAGGTGGTGCTAGGTGAGAGGTATTAGTGAGAGGTGAGAGGTTTATGTATAATAGATGTTAATATAATTTATTACAGATTTAATTCAAATGCATTTTATTTTATTGGTTATCTTTTATTTATATTAGTATACATAAGGAATAATTTTATATGGAACTGCTTTTTCATATTCATCCCAAGATTTCCCATATTTTTCTTTACATTTAATTTCATCTCTTGATTGTCTATGTAATAATAATGAAGCAAAATATAAGATATAATAATAAGTGAAAGGAGTTATAAATCCAGTTGATAATGACCAACTTAGGGCATGAATCCAATCACCAAAATAATTTATATGTTGACTTAATCCCCACCATCCATCACATAATAATTTTGTTGATCTTTGGGTTTGAATTGAATTTAAATGTGATAATTTACCTTGACGGAAATTTGATTTTTGATTATTTGATGATTTAAATATATAGAATCCTGTAAAACTAATTAAAAGAACCACTGTTGAGAAAATTTCACCTAATTCAATTGGTTCAACCGCCAAGTATCTTGATTGTAATGAATAAGAAAATGGAACTAATGATAAATCACCAAATGATAACATGAAACCAAATCCATCCGTTGTAATATCCATCATTGTTAAACAACCATCTTCATTTAAAACACCATCAAATACATAAATAGCTTGTAAAACATTAACTAAAATCATTGAATCTGTAATATACCCTAGTTTTAACCATTGTTGATGTAAACAACTTAGGTTAATTAATAACCATAATAACATACCAGGTCTTAATTCACAAAATAATTTTATATCCCATGAACCAATTCTTGGATTTAATTCACGTCCAATAAACCAATCATATATTGGATTTCCTGTATTACCACCAATTGCTAAGATTCTTTCATTGGTTCCTTTCCCATTTGGTTTTCTTAAAGGTTGGAATGAAATTATATAAACAAAAGTTGCCAAAAGAGCAGAGAAAATTGTGGTTATGATAGTTAATTCTAATATATTTTGATATAAAAATTGTAATTCTGGTAATTCACCTTGAGTTAACCAAAATCTTGTTAATAAGGTAATAATTAAAATCAAGCTTATAGAAACCCCATTAATCAAATAAGTTAGCTTAGTACCATCTCTTAATTCAACCCCTTGCTTATGATAACCTGGTAATGATAAATCTAAAATCATTAATCCAAAAAACCAAAGTAAATAAAAACTCCAAACTTTTGAATCTAGGATCATATCCCATAATGGTCTTTCTAATGTAAAGACTTGGGTAAGATCGATTGATAAACCTTTTGTATGATAATGTTCATTTGATAATTGATATAAGAAGACTAATAAAATTGGTAGACCTAATGAAATTGATAATACACCTGGTAGACCATTAAATTCTTTATGTTTTGTTTTGGGGTTTAATTCAGACATTATGGAACCTTGTTTTCAATCACCAATAGCAATATACTTTGAAGATGTAAAGACCAAGGAAATATAAAATCAATTGATGGATTTGTATCTTTTTTATATTCTTCAATAATGTTTTCGTTTATTCGTTTGTTTATATTGAATTTGAACGAAAATGTTAAAGTGGTAGGGACCAAATTGACCATATTGTACGAAATATCAAATGGTGATTACAAAGATTATTAAACGAAAGATGGAATTGATCTGATTAGGGAAAGTCGATGATGATATTGTTGAGAAGAAGGTTTATTTGAGTTTTAAATAATGGGATTTGGTAAGGAATTGTGTGATGCTTTGTGATTTCTCATAGTTAGTTTGATCTTTTGGTGATGTTTTTATATTTTTCACGCGAATTTTAATTGATAAAGAAAGACATGAGAACAACGAATAGGTAATAAAGACAACAACTAAAGGAACTAAAAAGACAAAGAACAAATAATAAACAATGGCTGTTGATATTCCAAAGTGAGTGATAAGTCAATAACATTAAAGGTTTCACAATACTAACTTCCCATCAGATCCGTTATACAGAAACTTGTATTCTTCACAGGTGCAATGGTGTTATTCCCATTAATAACATTCTTTATAGCTCAATATTTATTCAGTGAGTAACAAATCAATTAACTATGTCTATTGATGACTTACTAACAACTGCTTCTAGGTAACAATGCTATAATATCTGGTGGTCTTGCTGCTCTTGTGGCTAATGTTGTATTGATTGGTTATATTATTGTTGCATTTACTGAAGATATTAAACTTGAACCAATTACTAAAGAAGATGATATTAAATTGGATTGAGAGATGTCAGAGGGGGTGAAAGGGATGGTGTATATTCATTAATGATATTTATATGGGTTTGTTACTGGGATTGTAGTTTATTGTTGTTGTTTTTTAGGTATTTGATGTTATAAAGAGGATATGAATTATACTAAAAGTACAATAAGACATGGAATATCAAGCTATAGATATACCACAATATAATAATCTGTAACTTATATATTATATCACTATTTAATCAATCATAATCAATTATAAACAATTATAAACTACTCAAGTTTTCAATCTTTGTATCACGTATATCATAAGATCTGACTAATCGAATTTGGTGATTTTCAAAGAAAAATTTAAACCAAACTCTTCCTTACCACCATTACTTCCTTCCAGTTATCAAGTTCTTTGAACCACTTTTGATAAAAGCATATTCTTCTTGTGAAAATTGGAAATGTCCTATTTTTTTATTAGACTTACACTAGAAGAAATAGTATAAAAATGATCATCATAAAGTTTACTAGCAATATTTAGTTGAAAAGTTGAATGATTGGCTTTGTTTTGTATCTCTGTATCAGATGGGATTAACTATAATTATATGATGATATATCTAATGATTGAACTTTCCACAAAAGCTACAATATCATTTAGACTCATATATATTCATCCATTTAGACAATATGAAGTTCAGTTTTAATGTATTGTGTATATTGACTAGTACATACTGATTAATTCATGTTGGTTATAATTTTCTTGATTATACGTGACGTACAAAGAATATTATACTGATATTATAACTAGAGTAGATCATACAGAATATGAACTAAATATCACAATTATATGATCTCTATAATTGTACTTTATTGAATATTCATGTATTACCAATTTCTGACTAATCATCTCTCAATTCTTTTTGAATTTTTCAACAACAAATTGTTAACTAAAAACTTTTTGAATATACTGATTGTATAATCACTGCATTAATATATTAATATAACTAAGTTTTGAGCCTCTGGGACTTTTGAATGATGTTTTTTCCCATTGATTTGTTGATAGTTGCGGCTCGTGTGTCTCTAATTTCAGAGAAGAATTATTAAAAAATGCCATGTTCATTAATATTGAAATATCTTCCATCTTCCATCATGAATCCAGAGTTGCTGATGCTGTTCAGATTTGTAAGAAAATTGTATATATTTCTTGTTCAGAAATATTCTTGAGATAAGTTCTGGGCTTAAAATTGGATGATTATAAAACTTAGTTAATGGTTGAACATTTATCTACAATACCATTATAGTTATGTGATACATTCCAGACAGAATTTCATGGATATAGCTGAGATTGAAAAGATCCAATTGATCAAGCTAGTTTAAATTCATGTTTGATTATATTTTGATATTGATCACCTATTGTAGCTAGCTTGGATCTTGAATCGATAGGATAATATTGTCTGATTATAGTATAAATTTGAAGACAACAGTACTTCATAAAGGAATTCACAAAGCAATGTATATGATACAATTCGAATGAATGATCCTTTTTTAACTTCTTTTTCATCGTTATTGAAACATCGTTGTGTTCTCATTCCTTAACGTCTTATAAGAGAACTCATGGTACGAATGAACAGTACTAAATATACCCATATATCTACAAAGATCTCATATACACAAAGGGGTTAGTATACCACTTCTTTAGCTTTCATTCGATATAATATATATTGATCATTGATAGTGTATACCATAATATCTGACTAATCGAAGTTTTGTCTTTCCAGACGTTTCACACAATTTTTTTTTGAATGCCAGCTTTCAAGTTTGTTTATTACTATATTGATATAATGCTAGAACAACTTCTAACAGCTCAAGATCTTTCTTGGTGTCCCAAGTCACATTGCGTGGAATATTACGCTCCCAGAATCATGTCATCAATTTCTGAAGAATTGTACTATAAGCTTGTTTTCGTATGATCTATAGTAGTGTGGGGTTTTTGAATGCAAGAACTAAGAGGATAATTATATGATAAGATTTAATGATTGAACTTTTGTATTAATATGCAGAACTACAATATCATTTAGACTCATATATATTCATCCATATATAACAATATGAAGCTGTTCAGATCTTTTATATATACAGCTGATATAATTCATATGTTGATTATTTTCTAGTGGTCCAAGTATTGTAGAGTGCAAATTAATTATAATATAATATTTATATAATCCAACTATAAAATATCTATAATATATAATATAATATACACTAGTAGTTCATATGTAATCACTTCTTCATATTATATAATATGGCCTCTTAATATGAGTTTAAATAGGTTTAATATCTTAAAATATTACTAATACCTGACAAATCGTCAACTTTTTTTCAAATTTTTCAATAATCTTCTTTTCAAATTTAGACAACAAGTATAAACATTTTAGCGCTAGTTTTTATACATCTAGGCCATGCTCCAAAAGCGTCAATTGGAAGGTTATTGAGCTTTCCATAGCTGTGTTCTCTAAACTTGAATCTTATGGAATTTGTTAACTGCTACACATGGGATCATATGTATAAATGTCAGCGTATTTTGTTGGTCTCGCTTCTGAGTCATTATTGAAATAATTTTGACTAAGAACATTTTAAGAAGGGTGATTATAATAACTGATTTCAATGGTTGAAACATCTGTCTACAATACCATTATAGCTATACATAATACATTCCCAATTAATGGACATTCATGGATATACTTGTGAATTTGTGATTGATGAGATCTAATTCAAACAAGTTTCATTCATGTTTTTATTTTTGATTTTGATATATACATTTATGTAGCCAGTTTGAATCGATAGTAATGAAATATTAACATATGTTATTCAAATAGATCTTCTTTTCAATGATTTTGATCGTTATTGAAACATCATTATACTTTCATTCCTCAACTATGAGAGATCTTAGTTAATAGCATTTGATCGGCTTAACAAATATACTCATATCTCTACACCTATTTCACATAAAAACTTAGAAGAAGGTTCTCTATAACCTCTGGGGTTAGAGGCGTAATATCTTTTAATAACACCTCCCAATTAGCTTAAGATATAGAAACTCCACTTCTTTAAATACTATATAATTGATCATGATAGTGTATACCGTAAGATCTGACTAATCCGATTCATGTTTTTCACTTTCCATAATTTATTTCGAGAATTGAAATAATATTGTAGACCCCTGAAATTTATGCTTTGAGTACATGGTTTTACATCAAGAGTATTATAATAAGTTTTGCACTAAAGTTCTTTCTATATATGTTATTTTTGTTAATTATTTCATAATGTTCTATTGATTGGATACATGAATAACACAAAGTTTTGATCCAACTTATAATTTGAAACTTTCTGTTTGTTGTGGGCATATTTGATATGGGTAATTCAATCTAGTCAATTTTAAACGTGCTAAATGGTGTGAAATGGTAATTATATGATGAAATTTAATGATTGAACTTTTAATAAATAAAGCTACAATATCATTTAAAGTCATATTTTTATCCAATGTTCAGACAATATGAAGTTCAGTTTCAATGTATTGTGTATTAACTAGTACTATACTGATTAATTCATGTTGATTATTTTCTTATTTTGAGTGTAGAACATATATATAAGCTATAAATTTGCAATATAATCGGAGCTAGTTCATGTTTATATATTCGAGCACAAGTTGTATTAATATCTGACGCGTATAATTGATATCTAGTATTGATATTACTAACATCTGACTAATTTTTTTTTTTCAACGCGTTAATAAATTTCAATTTTCAATAAATTTCATTCAACATCGACATCTAATTTTTTTTGACGTCTTTAGTAAGATTTCTTGCCAATTCCATGAGCATTGCTTAAGTGATTGAATAGCCGATTTGTGACTCCTGAAGTTTGGATGAATTAAACTCTAAACATATACTGCAGTTGCTCAATTTTTTAATTTGTTGGTTATTTTAAATAATGTGTCAACTTTGCAAAGTGATATCTTATATACAATACGGATGATTATATAACTATATTTAATGGTTGAAAATTACCCTACAATACCATTATAGTTTTATAATACACTCTCAGATATACAACTTCATGGATATAGCTGGAAATTGATGAGATTCACATTCCAAACTAGCTTTAATTCATGTTGATTATTATTTTTGATATTATATTAGTATTGGTGTAGACTTCATATACAATAATTGTTTGATTAGCTGCTAGATCTTATCAACAGTACGGTTCAATATCGCTTATAAATTTGAACTGTTAAAGCGTCTTAGCTTTAAAATTATACCTTAAATTCTTAGACTCTGATATTAAGTAATTTATAAAAAGCTGTACTGATGTTATATTGTATAAAAATAAGAAACTTTTAACCTTATTCAGATCATTGAATATCATTTTTAACTTATAATAGCTTCCATATAATTACAATTGTGTAATACCTGGTTCCTTATATACTGAAGTGACGTTGATTATATTTAATTATACCATAATGTCTGACTAATCGAAGTTTTGTTTTTCATATTTCACGTCTTAAATTTTTTATCTTGCAAATTTCAAACTCTTTCAACTATATGATTTCTGGTTTATGATTATATGTTTGACTATACACTTTCGTTAGAAATGTTGCTCTGAAGTAGAATTTTTTTTTGTTCTCTTCAATAGCCTGAAACTCTTTACATTTGTTCAATATTTTATTTTCGAATGGCATCCATCCATAACTAAAGTGTTCCAGTGCTTTTTACCAGATTTAATAGAGTATTGTGGTTCAACTCTAGTTGAAAATTGATATAAATTATATGATGGAATTTAATGATTGAACCTTTTATAACAAAGCTACAATATCATTTAAAGTCGTGTACATTTATCCATTTAGACAATATGAAGTTCAGTTTTGATTGATTGTACAAATTTTAGTTCTAGACTGATATAAAATTCATGTTGAATATTCTTTTCTTGATTGTTCATGTAGAGTATTATGATCACTAGAATATATTACTCGATATAACTACATCATCTAGATTTGAGTTGAAAGCTAGATCTAAATATTAACTTCATTATAGACTTGCATTACCAATTAATGACTAATCACACGATCCCAGTTGATCTCAACGTTTTTTTGACAAAATTTTTAATTAATTAACAACAACGTCTAAAACAATATTCTAAATTCTAATTTTGAAAATTAATAACGTTTCATTAATGTTTTATATTGCTCTCCTTTTAAAGAATTGTGTGATTGGCCTTTGAGTCTACTTTTCCCAAAGTGAGCTATCCTAAACGTTGCACGTCCATCTCATGGATTTTGTACTGCTGCTCAGGGAGCGAAATTTTGGTTACTCTGCTTCAAATTTTTTTTTTAATGAGCTAAGTTTCAAAATAGGATACATATGGATGATTATATAACTTATATTTAATGGTTGAAACATTGTCTACAATACCATTATAGTTATATAATACATCACACAAGGACTTCGTGGATACGTTAGTTGAGATTGCAAAATATCTACTTCAAACTTATAGTATAGTTTATATTCATGATTATATTTACTTTTTAATTTTGAAATACATTTATGACGTAGCCAGTTTGAACCAACAGTGATGAAATAGTAGCATATATATTATTAGAATGAATCTGCTCATTAATTTCAACGATATATATTATCTTGAATATTTTTATTTGGAAGATCTTTGTTTTTTCAACTATATATGGCCTGGTAGCTACGTGAATTAGTAATATTTGATCGATCTAATTACAAATATCCCCGTACGTATCTCTAAAATTATATCTCATATACAAACTATTAACAGAAAGCTCTTGAGTCTCTAGCATGTTCCTTAGACAACGAGACAATAATCCACTTCTTTAGCTTTTGATCGAATAGTGTATCCCATGTAATATCTGACTAATCGATTATTTTGATTTTGATTGTAATACATAAAAAAAAAAATGATTTTTTCACAACAAACTTCCACAACAAGTGCTCAACAAAGGACCAAACTTCTCATGATTGTGCTTGAGCATCCCATACAGCTATAAATACAAACAGAATTGTAGCAACTTGACTGTGTCTTTTTGAATTATGCATATGTGGTTGGTCAATTGTTAGCAAGATAATAATCCATGTCGTTTGTGCTTTGCCTCTGATAATAGTGATCTATATGCATATAACGTTCATACTAAAGAGGATAATTATATGATTAGATACAATGATTGAACCTTTTATAACTAGGCTACAATATCATTTAGATTCCTATATTTATATCCATTTAGACAATATGAAGTTCAGTTTTGATTGATTGTACAAATTATATTCTGATCTAGTATACAGCTTATAAATTCATATTGTTGACTATTTTCTTGATTACATGTAGAATACTATGATCATTAACAAAATACATCTAGTAATTAATACATTATTCGATATAACAATGATCTTTGAGTTAAAATAGATCTAATATTAACTAATTCATTATTATATACTACACTGCAGGACGTATTACCAAATACTTACTAATCAGATCCCAGTTGATCTCAACGTTTTTCAAATCTAATTGACGTAAATTTTTAAACAACAACAACTAAAATATTTAATCTTGTAATTATTATAAATTAGCTGTGAAATTTTTGATTTTTTTGCTGATCTTTGCAAAAATTATATGTTTGACTACTTTTGTTTCGACTTTTCTTAAAGTTACCTTTCAAGTATCCTGAACTTTGCATCATACTCTCATAGGATGTTTTCTGGGACTGAGAAGAAAGAGCAAAGCTTTGATTGATTTCTCTGTTTTAAAATGAAATATTTCTAAATCATACACATGGATGATTATAATAACTTACTAGGTGGTTGAACATTTGTCTACAATACCACTATAGTTATATATAATTTACATCCTACACAAGAACATCATGGGTATCATAGTTGAGATTGAAAAGATCTACTTCTATACGTCTAGTTTCAATTCATGTTGATTATTTTGATTTGATATGTAGAACTCCCTTTCCATTATGAAAAGACCGAGTCTTCACTCTTATAATTCTTTGTCCCTATGCAATATCTATTACTGATGATTAAATCCTTATTTATGTATATGATTGACAAATATTTGATATATTCTAGCTTTATTGGTATACTGATTACATAATCAAATTTGTTAATACCTGAAAAATCATATACCATGTAATCTTTTATACTCAATTACTTTCAACATCAGCCAAGGACAACCACCACCACAACCAACCAACCACATCTCATCACAATGGTTCAACAACTAAGTCTTTTCTCATCAATTTCCAAATCCCAATATGAACTCACAAAAACTTCAATTGAAACATTAACAGGTTTTAAATCTTTAACATATCAAAACATAAATTTAATATCATCACCTAAAATAATAACAAAATATGAACCAAATAGTAAAAACGCCCAGTATGAACAATACAAGATAAATTTAAAAGCTCCATTTAAACCAGAATTACATAGAAATGATTACAAAGATTGGATATTATCAATAATGGATATTCCAAGTGCAGGTAAACGAAAAATTAATACTCAATCTATATTAGAATCAAATATTCAAATTTTGGATAAAGAAAGTAATATTGATAAATATCTTGATGATTTAGGTTATAAAGTTGATACTGAATATGTTATCAAGGGGGAAAGGTTTTTTTATGTAAATAATATTACAATTGAAATTTTTCAAATCCTAGTCAAAACAGAAACAACACAAGAGACTGAAGTTAAAGAAAAGGGGGATTGGGAACCAATTGATCCAAATTTTTATATCATAAAGGCATTTATAAATGTGGAAAAGGCAACTGATATTGAAAATTTACAAAAATCAAGTAATCATTTATTAAATTTAAAGAATGAATTAACAGGATTAGTTGAATTAGATATAAGTGATAGAAATTCAATGGATTCAAGGATTGGATTGAGAAAGTGAATACTATACTACAATAAATTCATGTTACTTTTATGGATTATTAATATACAGAGTTTAAATGAAAGCCTAGAAGGTTTACTTCTTTTCATTTAATTTATTTAATTTTGATTTATTTTTTTCAATTTTTCTTCTTTTTTGACGTAATTCTTCTTGTCTTTGATCTTTTAAATCATTTGAATATTTCATTTTTTTATATAATTTACGTTGTTTATTAGTCATCATAATTAATTTTAATTCTTTTTCTTCATCTTCTTTTGATTTTGGAGTTTGAGTTTTTCTCTTTTTAACAGAAGCTGGATCTTCTTTAACATCACTATATTTAATACCTTTAGCTTCTAATTCTAATTCTTTTTGAGCTTTTAATTCTTCAGCAGCATCTTCATCTTCTTCATCATCAACTTCAATGTCTTCATTGACTTCATCAGCTTCTTCATCATCATCAACTTCAACATCTTCATCTTCTTCTTCACTTTCATCTTCTTCTTCACCTTCAACCAAAGTTTCTTCTGGATTATAATTACCAGAATCACCCCATGGTGAAAGATGTGGAGGTAAAGTTTCACCAGGTAAATAAGAATTTATTGGTAATAATTTTGATTTATTTATAGAATCAAATACCCATTGAGGTTGAACATAAGTTCTACCTTGAACTTTCCCATTGATTTTAGGTCTATCAACAATTTGATGAGTAATTTTATCTAATGGTAATCCACTAACATCTTCATTTTTAAGTTTCAATTCATCGAGTGATAATTCACTTATGATGGACCCACCACATGATAATATAATAAATTCCAAGATATCTAATGGAACTTCACGACTTATGAAAAATACAAAACCTTGGAATAATTGTGATGTTTCATTATCAAATTTTGATGGTTGAATTAATAAATCACCTGAATTTTTATTCTTATCTTGAAATTCATCTAGATCAATTTGTTCAACATCTGAATTATCTTCTTCATCTTCAACTTCTTTATCATCTTTTTTAGAATCAGCTTTTAATGCAGCTTTTAAAAATTCTTTTGAAATTTGTTGACCTTCTTGATCTTTACCAGATTCATCAACTTTAGGTAAGATTGAATTTTCTAAATTATTAGATTCCAAAATATAAGCAGAAAGACCACCAATACCTTTTAATTTTGCATCATCTAATTTTGGTGGATAAATCAATCCAACATCAGTATATAATTTAAACAAAACAAAATGTAATAAAGTTGAATAAAATTCCAAAAATGTCAACATGATTCTAAAATCAATATCACTTGGAATATTTTGTGGGAATTTGAAAGGGACTAACCATCTGATTTCAACACCTTTAACTTTAGCTTCATAATAAACCCCCTTAATAGAAACAAATACTTTAGTTAATGCACGTTCTCTTGAAACATAAGCTAACCATTGATTACAAATATTATTTGCATCTTTTGTCACTCTAGAGGAAATTTTATCAGTTGCAGGCATGATAGAAAATAAGAATAACATATTTAAAGCATCATCAATATCTCTTAAGGCATCTGGGAAAGTTGGATAACGTTCTTTAATAACATGATCTAATTTATATTTTGGTCTATTTGATTCTAATTTTTTAGCATCACCAACTTCACCTCTACCTAAAGCTTTATTTAATTTCTTGGAAAAGGTTTTATGTTCTCTAAATTTTGCTAAAACAGGTTCATGTAATAAATATTGAATATCCTTAGAATAATAAAAAGTAACTGGAGCTGTTGAACCTTTATTTGCCTTCTTCTTATTTCTTGGTTCTCTTGGGAATATACCTTTAAAAATACATAAACGACGGAAATCTGCTAATGAAACTTGTAGTTTCTTGACTGCTTGAGTTCTGGTGATGAAGTTTTTGGCATTACCTCTGACGTTTCTCTTCTTGACTCTCATTATGACCACCTTGTTCTATGTCTTTTAAATCAGTAGTTTATTAAGTATTTAATGAGATGAGCTTCTAAAAATTTTTTTAAGTAAATGAAAAATTAAAAAAAAAAAAAAAAAATCAAAATTTGGTTCGCGCAGAATTTTCAAATTTAAGATCTTATAAAAATGAATGGAAATCCTTGAAATTTTGAGCTTTTGAACAACTTTGACAACGAAAAGAAGAAGTTGGTGATGTTTAGACTGGGATATAAGTCAGTAATTAGAAATATACAAGGGATACGGTATCTCAGTACCAAACCAACCATAGGTCAACCATTCAAATCCCAACAAGAATTAAGCAATTATCTATCAAATCCACAATCAAATTGGTCAATACAAGAATTATTATCCAATGCAGGTCCAGAAATCATTTCTAAAAGAGCAGATGGGATAACAAGGAAAACAGTTGACAAGATGTTGAAATTATCAGGATTACAAGCTAACCCTGAAGAATATGATGAATTAATCCAAATTTTAAAATCTCAAGTTATGTTTATTGATCATTTACATGCTGTTCCTGAATTGGAAGTTAAAGCAGGACAAGTTGGTAAACCCTTGGGGTTGAATGAAATATATGAACAGATTGAACAGCTTGAGGGGTCAGAGGATAAAGGAGAATTAGAAAATTGGGATCCTTTATCATTAACTAATGATTCATTAAATGGGCAATATATAATAAAAGAAGGATTAATCAAAAATAAATAATCATTTAATAAAACTCTATATACATGTTATAAAACTCTATACATATCTATGAATGTTTCTAGAATCTAAACCCCCTCATTCTTTTTTCTCTTTCTTTTTTAATCTTTTCATTTATAAACCAACCATAAATAACACCCACAATAGTCCCACCAAGATGTGCAGCATAATCAAATGAGCCCCATCTCATAACACAACCAGCTGCATTCCAAATCGTAGCACCCAAAAGGGCCATTGAAGCACCACCAGGGATTGGGAAAACAAATAATAAAATTTTAGCATTTGGTAATAAGTAAGCAAATGTTCCAAATACTGCAAATAATGCACCTGATGCACCAAGACTTGGTGCTACTATTGGGATTCTAAATAAAATTGGATATAAGATTGATGCCATTGAACTTAATAAAGCACCATTCAGGTATAAAATCATAAAATTTGAAGAACCAATCATTGAGATTAATGAAGTACCAAATGAATATAGGGCAAGCATATTCATTGCTAAATGCCATCCTTCTTGATGTGAAAATGCAGAACCTATTAATGACCATTTACTATATATGATATCTTTTTCCAAGAGGGCATAACGGGATAAAATTCTATAATTTCTTGGGATTTGCCACAAGCCGAATACCAAAAGGTTTAGACCTATTAAACCATAGATTAGGTGTTGTGGATGACGTTGAAAATGGGATAATGGAGTGTATTGGACTAAGTAAGGGATTGTTAAAGTGGAAACTGTTAGGAATATGATTGTGAATATACTTGTTGTTTTCAAAGTTTCGAAATTTTTCTTGAAATTATAATTTGATATTTTGATGAATTTTAATGAACCAGTGGTGGAAAACTGTTTGATTTGAATGGTATTACTAATTGGTTTGATTGGTTTTATTGATTTGAATAAATTTGGTAATATTGAAGATTTTAATAATGATGATTTGAAATTTGGTTTATTTAACCCATTATTAATTGTCCCAAGAAATAAATTTGATAATTTTAAAGGTTTTGAACCTAATGGTAATCTATTCCCCAAGAAGAAATGTTTCCCATAAGAACTAACAAACTTTGACATATTGATTCCTTAGTGAAAGTAGTTATAATCTAATTGGAAACATCATCATAAATTGGTTTATTATCGGTATAAAAGATTGAATTTTAAAATGGTCATTTGGGAAATACGAGGGTGAATATCATGTGATCAACATAGTCGGAATTCGCAGCAATGCAAAATTTTCGTATATTATAAATTAAAAAAAAATAATTTTAATTCAAACTTCTTAATGATTTATATATAATTTAATTATTGAAGTACAGATTTAAATTTTTTGTCAGTTCGGTATTATTGAAATTGTACATTTTTAGCTATCCGATTCACTCACCTTTGCAAGTTCAGCTGTTAATTTTGAATATTATATATTTCATTTGATAGGTAAGTATAATTTGAAGTGCAGCTGTCAACAGTATTGCAAAATTTTAGAATGATTCAATCAATATAGCCATGCTCTTTGATTCAGGATTCAGGAGATAAATGATTCAGGAGTTAATTGAATGACTATACTTATAGTTAATCTATATCATTATACCATGGAACAGTACATTCATTGGTCTTTTAAGATAGATGATTACTTGAACTATATTGGTATGATTTAATACATATTTTGAGACTATACACTACTATTTAATTGTAGTTTAATGGATAGATATATTCATTTATAAAGCATTATTTAGTTTATTGGTGGATTTTGATATACGAGGGTCTATAATCATGTGACCATAAGAGTCGGATCTCACATAACTAGTATAAGCAATCTCACAAGTAAAAATGTTCACTTTTTATTTAATTATTTGAAATTGGAGAAGTTTGTAAAGTTTAAATTAGCTGTGGATGTTATTTTGTTGAGTTTATGATTTATTTATAGTGAATTGCTCTCGTAATTTCATAATTGAGACTAGTAATACTGGAGAGCATTCCGTTATGTTGATCAATCTTGTTTACCGTTGATCGTTTCATATATAAACTAGTAGCTAGTAGTTGTTGTGGGTTAGTTCATGACCAATAAAACCATACCCAATAAGGAATAAAGCTTCTATTTATGTAATTATACTTTTGAGAAAGTGATTTGAATTTACGATGCAACCAAATGGAATTATTTTATCACGTTGTACATGGATATTGGTAGTACTTAGTTATGGAATGGGATGATCATGGATTATCAGGGGTACAATTGAACCCTTGATAAGCACATTGTCTAGTAGTCTTCAGATAGTATGAGAATAATAGGTATGAGTTGATTATAATTGATTAACAACATCTTATTATTGTAGTTACTAGCTTTATATAAATATAGGGGATTCAAGGGAATCATCGGATAATGGATAATTAATGACCCATAATCATAAGTAATTGTACATAAATCCATTCACTTAACCGGTCCGTAAAGGAAAGATTCTGTATAGTTTATAATCTATTTAATTAACATTCTTTGCATTGAAGACTATGGTATTCTTCGTTAGTCTATGGTTATTATATATTCTCATGATGATCAGGAGATGCGATTATGTGAGAAGTAGAAGTAATCTAGGATCTACAGAACCCTGAATTTTGAGAATTATACAAGAATATAACAATATACACTAATTAAACTATAACTAAATCATCTACTTTATTCTCAGTACAATATTTTATTGGAGAAAAGATGAATAACTTGTTTTCAATTGCTTATATGGTTTATGTCATCAGAGACTAGTAGAAGTAATAGCGAATTGCCAACCAATTGCCAGCCAAATAAGATAATTAAACCATGAAAAATCCCTGAATAAATATTCAAGCATAATACTACTACTAGATACTCATTTCCTATCAACATCCTTAAATAACCACTTTATAATCCCAAAACATTCAAAACAATTACAAAACTACCAAAGACTAGTCCCCATCATAGTCCCCATAGTCCCACCTTTTTTGATGTTCCTGAGACTGAGAACTTTTTAAGAAAATTGTTTTTCAAAAAAATCCGGAAATTTAATAAAAAGGACTTCTTTTTTTGCTAAAAGCATTAAAATTTGAAATCATTTAAACAATCAAGTTCATATAATTGATTATATTTCAATTTCATTTAATTGTTACTTTATAAGTGAATGGTATCATTGTTAGAACCCAGGGTTATAATATTTCCAAAAAGAGATTAGAATTTCAAAGTTATTTTGTATCGCATGTTAATATAGTATTGAATATTCTATATCAGTTATTTCATTATTTTATCATTTCTCATTTGTGTTTGTTTTGAATGAGAAATTGTTTATTCTTTATTTAATTCTCATTAGTTGCTTGCTGTGGTGTGTGCTGCTTTAGTGTTTTAGCTATTGTGTTGTATTATTCTAAGGTTTATTTATTTGTGTTAATATGACAACTTCAAGAAATACATCACCAAATCAAGGTGTATCAAATGGTGTCAATGGTCACAGTTCAACACCAATAACTGATCAACCTCAAGTCCCCCTTCCAGAAGAATTACGTTCTCAATTACCAACAAATTCAAGAACATCCTCATCAAATGGTTCTCATCATAAAAGAAATTTCCTTAAAAAAGTTTTCCATCATGAAAAAAAAGATAAAGAACAACCAAAACAAGGTAAAAGATCTTCAACTATACATAGAAGTGAAACCCATAGTCAAGAACATCGTGAAATTCCTCAAATTTCTCAACCTAAAAGATCAAATACAGCTCAACATTTAACTGATGGTTCAGTTCAGGGGAAAATTCCAACAAATAATAAAAATCCATTCTTAATATCCAAAAATAATGCATCAAGTGCTTCTATTGCCTTGTATAAAGATGATGCAAATCATGGAAATGCAGGTATTGACGTTGCAGGATCAAGAGATAAACCACCTCAACTCCCAACAACAAGTTCATCAAAAAATGGGATTTATATCCCTGCAAACCCTGAAGGAATGTCTGTTTCAAGAGCTGCTTCTTTTAATAATCGTGCTGCTTTAGGTAGTAAAGCAGGATATGGGAATCCTTATGGACAAGGAAGTAATGCTAGTACGAATCATATTTCTGGGGCAAGTACAACTGGTGGATCAATGGTTAATTCTGATGATGAACATGTTTTATTACCTATCCCTGTACAAGATCCAAATAATTATTTACCTGATGAATATAAACAACCTACAATTTCTGTTCATGATGATTATATTATCCCGGAAAAAAATACTAAGAGATTAGGTGATGGTGGTTCTTCAGTTGTTTTTATTATTACTTCGAAAAAAAATGGTAAACAATATGCTTATAAAAATTTCACAATGGTTAATCATGAAACTCCTGAAGAATTTTACAAGAGAGCTGCAAAAGAATATATCATTGCTAGAAGACTAAGTGAAAATAAACATGTTGTTGGTTGTTATCAATTGATGAAGTCTTCATCAACAACAAATATCCAACGCGGTTGGGGGTTTGTCCTTGAATTTTGTAAAGGCGGTGATTTATTTTCATTAATTTCCAGAACAGGATGGAAACAATATCCAATTGCAGAAAAATATTGTATTTTTAAACAAATCACCCGTGGATTAAAATTTATTCATTCCCAGGGGATAGTTCATCGTGATTTAAAACCTGAAAATTGTTTAGTTATGGAGGATGGTTGTATTAAATTAACTGATTTTGGTGTTGCAGAATATGGTTTACAAGATCCAAATGATTTAAATTCTCCAATTAAATTATTAACAACATATGTTGGTTCTCCACCTTATGTATCACCAGAAGTTATGGAATTGAAAGGTACACCAACAAGTGCTCCGAAGGCTGTACAATATGATGGGTTTAAATTGGATATTTGGGCTTTAGGTGTCTTATTATACTGTATGGTTCATCAAGGCAATCCTTTTGTGACTTCAAATTCTTCAGATGGTGCATATAGAGATTTTGTTTCCTCATATATTACATATTGTCAATCAAATCCACAATTTAAAACTGGTGGTGATAAAACTCATGGTCCTGGTCCTGAATTTAGATATGCTAAAGATTATTTATGTACTGGTGGGGCAAGAGTTGGTTGGAGATTATTAGATCCAAGTCCAAAAACAAGAATTTCATTAGATGCAGTTATGGAAGATCCTTGGTTTAAATCAATCGAAACTTGTATTCAAGAAGATGAAGATGATTCATCATTTGAACCTAAATTTATAATTCCAGATTCAAGAATTTCATCATTTGAATCAGGTAGTACATCACAATCAAAATCAATGTTGGATTTTTCACCACCTGAAAAAAAATCATCATTTAATCAATCTGCAACTTCATCAGGGAAATCAAGTCCTTTAGTTAAACCAAAATCTATGTTGGATTTTAATGATGTTGCACCACAATCTGAACAATTACCCCCATTAGAAGAAGTTGATCATGAAGAAACTCATTCATCACAATTAGAATTAAACATTGAACCTAAAAAAACAATCACTAATGATAAAACCGTCCCAGAAGATTCAGAAGTTTTTTATGAAGCTAGTGAAGAAAATTCCCCAAAATTATCACCAAAAAATGAACCAATCCCACAAATTCCTAATAATTCATCATATAATATTACATCAATACCCAATGGTTCTCAAAGTTCAATACCAAGAGCTGGTTCTTTTTCAAGTTTAGTTTCTAAAAATTCAAATACTAGTATTCATGGTAAAAAAAAGAGACATCATCATTTAGATATTACTAATGTTCAAAATCATGGTCATGGATCTTCTGTTAAATTAGGTATGAGATGATGGATGATGAATGATTATTACTATACAATATATTTATAATTCTTTGGTTTGGCTTTTTGGTTATTTAGTTCTTATGCATTGTCCTTGAGTGTCTTTTGTCTTTTGTCTGTGTTTTTTGTTGATATTTGGGTTTATTTTCATGATAAAAATCTCTTTTTTTTATACCTTTTTTTGGTTTTGGATTTAATAATTGTAACTTTATGGATTAATAAATATAAAAATTAATTATATAAACTTGGTTTCATTTGTAAAGTAAAAGTAATTTACTTAAAGTATTAAAATTTGTTAAGTATATGGTAAAATCTTCGCGAAAATGACCCGGTGTTGATAATTTGTATGAGAAAATCTGGTTCTTATTTTACGTATTATGGGTTTAAAATCAGATTTGATTTCAACGTTGAATAAGTGAGGAAAGAGGGAATAGTTTGGGGGATATTTGAGAACTCTTGGAGCTTTGAATATCACTATACTGGATTTTCAGTTTTGTTTTACAATTTTTAATGGTTAAGAGATCAAAATGTTTAATATAATACGGCCAGTGATAAAGACATCTAAAAATTTGGTGATACCCAATGTGAGGACACGATGTTTGATTAGAATGTTAAGTGATGGTGCCAGGCCCAGTGATCAGGGAGTTGTTTCTGCTGTGGATGATTATCAAGTACAGCTAAATAACATTTTAAATGGACCATGTTCAACTAAAAAATTATTGAAAACTATAAATCAATTTTATATTCCTCATCAATTTAGTATATTAGATTTGGCTATTCAAAAAGGGCATCATAAGGGGATAATAAACAATTTAATAAGAGATTTTTTCCATTCTTCAAGCGCAAGAGAGTTTTTGATTTTAGAAATGGCTAAAAATTCACATATAGATTTACAAAGAACAAGGAAAATTCTATTAAAATTATATCAATCAAGAGGAGGGAAACAATCAGAACTTTGGTATCCTACAATAGGGCCATTAGATTATCATAGATTTCTAATGAAAGACGAAACAAATGTTATAATTACCATCATTAATATTGCATTGAATAATAATTTAACTTCAATGGCTTTCCATACATTTATGGATCATAAAGAACGATTTGAAAAAAATTCAATATTTCAACAAGAAGTGCTCAATAGTCTTATATTGAAAAATCCATTACAAGATGAATATCAATTGAAAAATATATTGGAATTTCAAAATCATTTTAATACAAAATTTAATCAATTTCAAGCTAATCAAATAATGTCTAAAATTTCAACACCAACTACAACTCCATTATTCTTTAAGACTATATCACAATTAGTCATTGATAATTCACCATTAACTATGGAATCATATATCAATACTATATATGATCTAATATCAAGAGAAGTCTATAACAATAATCCAGAATCTTGTGCTGAGAATTGGCTCAAAATAAAAGGTTATTATTCTAATATAGCACAACATGATTTAAATATATTGGCAAGTTTAATCAGTATCTTTACCAAAAATTTAAAATACAGACCTCTTGTCGAAGAAATCATTTTACAATTACCATCAGATTTATATGGTGATCCAATATTAGTTGTTCCATTATTAGAATTTGCTACAGAGAAGAGAAGATCAGATTTAGCAAATGAAATTTGTTTAAAAATTCAACCACCAATTTCAAGAAGATTATTATCATCACTTTTAAAACTTCATATTGTGTTTGATGATACTGTTGGTACTGAAAGAATTTTCCAAGAAATTAATAAAAGTGGTGAACCTTTAACGAAAGGTGATTATCATGCTATTGTTTCTAAATTATTAAGGAAAGATGAATTCTTGAGAGCGCTGAGTATTGTTCAAAGTATACCTATTAATATTTCGGAATCTTCTTATGTGGCATTGATTAATTATATTGTTGATGATTCATTGAAGAATAAATTAGAAATTTCTGATAAGAATTTAGCAATTATTGATACGTTATTAAATAAGATGGAACAATTTAATCCAAAAAATCATGGATTTTGGGAAAGAATTTCAGGTTTATATATAAAATATCTTGCACATTCTAAAAACATTGAAAATTTACAAATTGCTAAACAAATTTATTTAAATTCAACATCTGATCCATTAGTTAAGAAATATTTATCAACAAATTATCAAAATTCAAAAGCTCATATACCAGGTTTAGAAATAACATATAATCCATTCTCTATAATTCAAAAACCAGAAAAGATAATATTAAAAATTTCCAATTCTTCACAAGTTATCATTTTGAAAACTATTGCAGATGGTGCAATTAAATTAAAAGATAAAAATTCATTAAATTTTGCCCTAGGATATTTAACTAAATTAGGCTTTACAAAACAAGATTTAATTAATGATTTTTCAAGAAAATATTCTAAAACTATATCAAATATGGGATTTAGTATTACCAAAAATCAAAGAAATAGAAATATTGAAAATCATCAATTGAATTTTATGAAGAATAGAAAATTTTTAGCACCAGTTGATAAACAAAAGAAATTGAAATGATAAACTAGCATACTATCTTTTACCCAAATGTTCACGAATTTTACACAAATATTAATGTCAATGTAAATAGTCATATAAATAATGCATCTATTAAAATATTTATGAATGTGATTTCACAATTCAAATGTGTATATATATAATGAGTGAATAAGAATAATAAGCTTATAGCTGATAAGTTAGGTCAAAGATCATTTTGGTGGTGGTAATAATAACATATCTTTCTTTGGTGGAAGTGCATTATTAAATTCTCTAACAATAATTGAACAATCAACTTCTCTACACAAGAACTTTTTCTTATTTTGTGGAACATTTTGTAATAATGTTAAACCTGAAGATCTTTCCAAGGCTTCCACTGGAACTTCAAATGATTTTAATGGTGTACTATTTGAAATTTCTTCATTTGGTAAAACAAATGCTGTAACTGATAGTGAATCATCATTTGGATTTTTCGAAGGATTTTCTGCAACGATTAATTTGAAAAAATGAGTTGGAACTGCAACATTTGGTGGGTTACCAATAACTTCATAAGAAACTCTCCATTTACCATCTGGTTGTCTTTTTGGTAAATATAAAGGACCTGTAACAATACGAACATTATTATAAACTTTTGTTAAATCACGACAGAAAAACTCTAAATGAGCCCAATAATCTCTATTGAAACCTTCACCAACTTGTGGAGAAATATTTGATAAATAAAAAGTTTCATCCATAGCTTCTTGGTTAAATTTTGCATTTGCAGCAGGTGCTTGATGACCTCTATCATACCCACTTCTGAAATAATCTTTTAATTTTGCCTTGAAAGTATCAGGAATTTTTTCATCTTCTTTAAAAACTGATTTCTTTCTATCAACTTGACCATTTGATTTGATTGACTCTGGCGTAATATGTTCTAAAACCCAATAAGGATTTCTCTTTTGTCTATCATAACAACTAATATATTCTTGTCTATTTTGTAAATCATGAATTGGACCAGGGAATCCATACTTGAAAAAACCAGCAGGGTTAACAACAGGACCTGAAACTATACCACCACTTGGTCCTTTAGCAGCCGGGACACCTCCATAACTTGTTGCACCATTTGTTGATGTTTCTGTATCAGTAGTTGATGAACTTGATCTTCCCCAGAAAAAATTTGCAATGACAGCTGAAGTACCAGCACCAATGAAACCAGATGCTAAGTATTTACTCATGATGGCAATGAGTATTCTATAATAATATAAAAGGAGTGTGAGTTGGTTGGTAATGAGTTATGGATATTACTGAGTATTTAAATTAGATCTTATTTTTTGTGACGTTTTTAAATTTTTTTTTTTTAGATTCTCGGTCATTTAAATTTTGGTTTTTTAATTAACCGGTGATCTGATTTATTTTAGAAAGACAAATTAAAGACATTTTATTGGATCAACAAGTAAATGATTTTGATCTTTAAGTACGAACTACAATATGGATTGCTTCGTAATGCCATTGAATTCATTGAGAATTGATTCCACATTATTTGGAAGCTCAGTGGGACTCATCCAATTATGGTAATGGTACGTGATTCCAATTGCTTAAGTATTTGATACTGAAATAATGAATTTAAGAGAGCCTATTGGCTGGTATAAGTGAAATATAAGGCTATAAACCGAATATTACAGAGAAGGTACTGAGAAATAGTCTGTCTGTTGTATATGAAAAGCAGGAATTAATCATGTTTGTGGGAAATACCTATATCAAAAGAAGAATAATATTATTGATTTTTTTGATTGTGAATATTCTCTTTCAAAAGAATTATAGGAATACCGCACATTCAAAGATAGATAGCTGTACAATGCGCATAAAGTGATCACGTCTCTAGATGTGTATTAGATTCTGTGATCTTTATTCAGTTCAAATGGCGTAGAAAGATATTCATTTTCAAATTGTTAATATTAAGTTACTATGTCAAATCATATTAGGGATCTTATATAATTCTATCAACTCAGTAAATAGCATCTCTAATCCTCCTCTCATCACTCTCAAATCATGATTAAGTTCTTAGCTACTTATTACCACAGTGAATTAGTGATTCAGCAATCATTAAATATTTTAAAACATTGTAGTTATAATGCGAAATTTGTTACGCGCACCTCCAAAGCCAAATTTGACACATAAAGACGTTGTTAAACTTAATTTAAATAGGTTGCATAATTCATTTTATCATTGAATATTTCAATTTAAATGCATGTTCCCACTTCAGAATGATGATTTCAAAGTACATACTTGCAAGAATAAACCAATCATCAGCTCTTGGACAGAGTAAACGTCATTTTTCAAAGTATGCTGAATGCGCTTACTGGAAAAAGTTTGATGAGATGAGAAGTACACCACAAGTACCATCATACAAATCGTATTACAAGGGCCCAGTTGTAATTAGAAAGCCAGGCCAAGATGATGCTTTCCAAAAGTTTATAGCTGTGTTCAAAAAGAAGTTAAACAGGAAATTATATCCCGAAGATACAAATGACTACAATGACCTTATAGCACGCTTTTTCATTTCCCAACCATTGTATACACAAAAGTTATTGATTGATCAATTGAATCAAAATTTGAAAAAGCGTCCAGCTTATGAAAATTTGGAAACATCTTCACTAATAGCTGAGTTTGATGACAGTGCGTTTATGGATGATATTATGGAAATGTGCCCTAAAATACAAATTGCTATGGAAGAGCCCAGAGATTGTACTCCAGTTTATAAATGGTTAGATTTGGTAGTAGAACCAAACCGTGATCAAATATGGTTGAGTATAGAAAATATCAACAGAGCACAAATTGATCTTATACTTTTTGCTAGAGTTATAAACCCTTTGTTGCATTTACTAGTAAAGATTTACGGAGAGGTTTTTTTTATTAGTCTTCAACAACCCATTCAAATAATCGATAGTGTATCTAGAGGGTTTTCACGCCCCAATTCATTAATTGAAATAGATGACCTAAGATGTTGTATACCATTCAAGTCAATATTAAAGTTACCAGATGCTGATAAGATTAACGAAGCTAACTTGTTGGAACTTAATGGAGTGGGTGAAGCACTTGAATATATGGTAAATTGTAAGAGCAGGATAGGCATTCTATCGAACTTCAAAACCACAGTGTTATTAGGTTTCATTCCAGGAAGTAAAAAGCTACATTATAAAGCTATATCTCATAAAGCTGAAAATTTAACTGTTTTAGGTGCTCTACTTACTATTTGGGCCAGAGCTTTTGAAAATAAGAACAAATATGGAAAAGTCATGGTTGGAGATCTAAACAAATGTCAAGTTAACATCATTTCTAAATTAATTGGAAAGCATAAAGTTGAAGTAGCTAAGGAGTTTAAAAATAATATTCAAGAATCTAAAGGAAATATGATGAGTAATTCAAGAAATGCAAAAACTGTGACATTTTCATTCAAACAGAAGAAGAGATTTGACAAGGTTTTCAAATGGTTTGATAATTTGAACTTTAATAAATTTGACCAACACTTTCAAACATTTGCTATGAATCCAATTGATTATAATAGATTTTTTGGTAATCAGTTTCCTAAGTTGAATAAAGATGAAGCTCAGGCTTATATTGTTGAAATTAATGCCTTAAACCTAGCAAAATACGATAGATTGGTTGTTGAGAAGCTATATGATTTCCAATTCATAGAAGATGAGATTTACAAAGAATATAATGCTATCATTCAAGAATATGAAAAGATTAAAGCTTTGACTAAAAGAAGGCCCCAAAAGATCTATCAACGAACTAATATATCAAATGGATACTTGGAAATAAAAGTCAAGGAAGAGTTTGCAATATGTGGTCCATTCATAGCACATCTCAGAAAGCCTTTGTCAAATTTCAACCACGATAAGTACAAAGCTGAACTTAGAAAACAGCTCAAACTTCTTCACAAGAACAAAATGTCTATTAAGAATAGAGCTTCATTTAGCTATGAGCACAATCCAACAAAATTGAACCCTGCTGATGTGACTATTAATTCTGAGGGTAATTACTGTTTTAAATTTCCAAATGGACTTAAATTTACACCAGAACAGGATATTGAAGAGTTGGAAGATCTGTTGAAAAACAATCCAGTACCATATTGAAGAACTTGCTTGAATGAGGTATAACATGTACTTTGCATTATAGATAATACGTACAGGCTTTGATCTTCGGTCATTCGAATTTTTGGCTTTTGAATAACCGGTGATCTGATTGTCTTATGAAAGACAAATTAAAGACATTCTTTTGGACCAACAATTATATTGGATCAACAATCATAAATGATTTTGAAACCCTTAGAGAAAAACTACAATATCGATCTATATTTTATACCACGCTTCCTTTATTGCTCTATGTACATTTTTTTTTCTTATTCAAAAGTCTTTAACTGAATTTGTCCATGATCAATAACAGATTCTTCTTCTTCAACTTCACCTTCAAATTTAACTAATTTTTCAATTCTAAATCTTTGATCTGATGATAAAATTTCATTAATAACAGTTTTGAAAACTTGTGGGTTTAATTGAATTAATGAAATTAATTTTTTGTGTAAATAACCATTATATTCTGGTGATTTATCATTTATGAAGATCAAGATTGGTAATAAAATTGTATATATTGGGATTTGTTCATTAGATTGTTTTAGAACTAAAATTATTAATTCTATTGATACTCTAGGATCTTTAATTTTGGAATCTATGATTTGATTTATCATTTTTGGTAATAAGCTTTTCGAAATTATTGAATTTAAAACTTTTTTATTTAAAATTATTGATTTAATTGATTGTGTTGAAATTGTTATTGTTAAATCATTGATTAAACCCTGGGATAAGAAATTTGTTATTATTTCAATGTCTTCATTATTTAATTTCAAGATTTCATTTGATGTATTTAATACAACACCAATTGTTAATAATAAATTTTTTTCAGTTACTTCATCAGTTTTTAATAAGATTTTTTTAATTGTTTGAAAAAAATTATTAATTGTAACTATATCATTCATTTCAACTAATTCTTTTAATAAAGTTTTCAAAATTGGTAAAATTGTTGGGATGATTTGATTTTTTAAAATTTTATTTGTTTCACCTTCTTGATAAATTGAAATTAAAAGACTTAATAAACTTGAATATAAATCAATTTTAATCATATCAGGGAATTTACCCAACATTTTATTAATCAATTCAAATGCCTTTTTCAATAGAACTAATTCTTCATTTGATAATCCTTCTTCTTCTTCCTTTTTAGGAATAATTCTTTTATTGTCATGTTGTAAATATGGAACTAATCTTAAGATCACTTGAATATTAACTCTTACCAATTCAAATAATTTATCAACATATTGTTCTAATTCATGATTTGTTGAATAAGTATTGAAAAAATTTAAAAAAATCTTTGAAGTTATATTTAATACCTCGGTTTGTTCAGATAATGAACCTGTTAATATTAATCTTTCAAAAACTTCAATACTTTCACCAAAAATATCATCATGTAAAATTAATTCAACAAGTTTTTTATAATTTAAAATCTTGGATAATGCAATAAGTTTCTCAGTTTGATCACCTAAATCATCATTTTGGATTAAAGAACTTAGAATTTGTGCATATAACATATAAAAAAATCCAAAACAATCTTTTTGAAATAGCGTATCAATTTTAAATTCATCAATTTCAATAATTACTCCAATAACATTAACTAAATTAATCCAATTTCCTTGGAAAAGTTCTAAATCTTGATGAATATTTTGTAAATTATAATCATTTTTTAAAATTATAAAATTTTTCAAAGTGGAACACCAAAGAGGAATTAAAGAATCTAAATATTCATCAATTAATTCATTTAATTCTAAATCATTATTTTTAAATGATAAAATTTTCAATTCAGCCCAAGCATTTAATATACTTAATTTAATTTTTTTAATATCTCTAGTATTTGAAATAATAACTTCATTAATTTTAAAATCTTCATCATGAGATTCATCAAATTCATATAATTCTTTTAATGAATCAATTAAAATTCTTGAAATTCTACCTAATCTATTAATCTTAACAATTTTTAATCCAATAAATTCTGCAATTATCTTAATTGCCCTACTTGCCACAAGTGAATTACTATCTTCTTGGAATGCAGGTATTAAAGCAGATGTAATTTGTGCTTGACGTTGTTCTAATAATGACATTTCTGGATATATTGGATCAGGTGCAGGAGCAAATATATGAATAATATCACCTAATAATTCAATCCCTAAGATTCTTAAATTTAATAATGGGGAATTTGAACTTTGAATAGAAATTTTAATTAAATCTGAAATTTTAATTGATAATTGATGATATAATTTTGGTGATTTAGTTGATTTTTCCAAGATTTTTGTTAAATTTTTTAAAATTTTTGATTTAAATTCCCAATTTGTTGATTCATTATCTTTATCATCTGAAATTTCCACTTGAGTATTTTGTGCAATTGATTGAGATTCTTCATCATTTAATTCAATTTCCTTTTTTGTAGATTTATATTTATCAATAATTTTTTTAAAATTTAAATGGAAATCTTGATATAATTTTTTTTTAGAAATATTAAATAAATGATTTAATTTATTAAACCATTCAATATTTATAGTAGAATCTATCCATGTTGAAATTAATTTATTAATTAATATAGAATAAGGATAAATATCTAACAAAATCCAAATTAAATATTCTAATTCATTTAATATTGTCAAATCATCATTTGTTTTAATTAATTGATATAATAAATCTAATGAGCAACCAAGGATTTTAAATGATGAATTAACAGGAAATAATTCACCATTTTGTAAAAAATCCCAAATATTATTTTGGAAATTAAATTCTAATTTTTTTAAAATCCATTGGATTGATATAATACCAGGTTGATATATGATTAATTCTTGATATAATTTAATTAATTCACATTGAATAACAGGGTCATTAATTTCTCCTAAATTTAAAATTAAATTAATTAATTTTTTTTGAATATCTGATTCTAATTCTTTAAAATTTGGTCCTAAATTTGTTATAATTTTTCTCAAAATTTGTGATAAAACTTTATTTGAATCTAAATCTGAATTTAGATTTGATGTTGAAATTGAATCATTATATAAACCATATTTATCACTAATGAAAATATCTTCTAATACCAAAATTAATTTTGAAATTTTATTCAATTCTAATGAAGTTTTTTTATTAATTATTAATGATAAAGAATCTAATGACCATGAATGAACAACAGGATGAGGATCTTGGATTAATTTAATTAAAATTTCCCAAATTTCATTAAATTGTGATTGATTATTTTCATATATCTGTGCCAAAATTTGTGAATTAAATGATCTTGAATTTGAATCAGAATTATTAATGATTTTATTAATATAAATTTTAATAAATTCATCAATTTTATCAAAATTTGATATAACCAGCCCCAAAGTCCTGGAATTTAAATTTAATAAATAATAATTTGAATCTTCTTCATAAATTTTAGTCAAAATTTCTAATATGGATAATCCAACTTCTTTAGAAAATTTTAAACCTTGTTGATGTGAAATATTCAAAACACCATGTAATGCAATTGAACAATTCATTCCTATAGATTGTTTACACTCTTTTGTAACCCCCTTTGTCAAGAATAATGATCTTAAATTTTCTAATAATGATAATTGAATTTTGGTAGAAACCATTGGGAACCCTAAAGAAAAAATTTCAATTGATACATCAATTATACTTAAATTTAATTGTGGTGGGAACTTTAGGGTTTGAGAATATGATGATATTAATTGAGATAAAGGATCATTTAGGACTGATGATTCAACAGGGTTAATTAAAATTGATTCTAATTCATCAATCCAAGTTGTTTTTGAAATCCAAGATTTGATATGAGATGATTCAATTGAATTTTTTGGTCTTGATATAAAATCAATTGAATAGTCTGTTGATGTAGTCTTTATATCTTGATCATTAAACTTTATTAATAATTCATCAATTTCATAACCTTTAAATTTTGTTGTTAATAAAGTTGATTGTTGAGCGAAATTTTTTATTGATTGAATTAATAATAAACTATTTAAATCTGTTTTTAAAATTGGTAATAAGATTAAATAACATTCCAAAATTTTTTTATTTAATAAATTGGTTGATTCTTTGTTGTTTAATTTTTGTAATGATTCCAATTGTGAATTTAAATAAATTTCAAAATTTATAGCTTCATTGGAAGTAATTTGGAAATTTTTAATAAAATTTAATAAACCTGATAATTTATAATATTCTAATTCAATATTTGTATCATCATTAAGATCCAATGTGGTTAATTGATTCCATACACCTAGGAATTCCAATTTTTTAGAATTTAAAAATTCTAAATCCTTATAATTAAAAATACCAATCATTATAATCCAACAAGTTTCTTGAATATAATAATAAATTTGATCTTTAACTTTTTTTTGTTGATTAAAATTTAATACTAAAAAATCCCAAATTTTTAAAATTAATTCTAATGAAATATAATCTTTATTTGATAATTGAATTAAATCAGAAATTATTAAAGCAAGGCCATTAGTCTTGTTAAAATTTAATTTTTGTTCTGAAGTTTGTGATAAATTATTTGATAATTCATTAAAAGAATTTGATAATAAATCATTAATTAAATTTGGTGAATTTTTTGACATGATTTTTAAAATTTTAATTGAATTAATTCTAATTTCTAGTTCGGGGGATGATGATAATTTTAATAGGGAAATTTGATAAATTTCTAAATCTGATGTTGTTAAGATGGAAATTGAATTAATTAATAGTTGAATTAATTGTAAGATTGAAATTAATTTTAATGATGATAAATCATCTTGTGATAATTTTGTGAATAGTTTATCCAAAATTTGCTTTTTAATTGATTCACTTTGAAATTTAAATAAATGTGTATATAATGTAATTAAATGATTTAAATCTGATGATTTTTCATGATTTAATATCTTCATATGAAATTCCCCAAAAAACTCTTCAAATTCATTACGGAAATATTCTAAATCCTGGACAGTTTGTAAATTATTAAATTGAATAATTGTTTCTAATATACCAATTTTAACTTTGAGATCACCTTCAATATATAAATCAACCAAAATTCTCCAAATTTGCTTCTTATTAAAAGTTGATAATGTTAGGGATTCAGCTAATGCATTTGCAGTGGAAATTCTAATGGATTTATGTGATGATAATCCTGTAATTAACAATTGATTATTTGATAATTGATATGTTTGATAATCCGCATGTTTTTTCAAATTAGATATTATTGACCAAGATTCAAATAAATTTTGTATCAATATAATTGATGTGTTTTGTGTAGTGATGAATGTTTTAAAATATTTGTTGAATTTCGATTGTAATGAATCATCAATAACACCACCATTCCTTAAGATATTTGATAATAATTTTGATAAATTAATTAGATGTTTACCATTAGTTTGTTTTTTTAAATGTTTCAAAATGATTGAAATTAATAAAGGAGTGAATGAAACTAAGTCATGACCAAATTGTTCATATATATATGATAGTATAATACATGAATAGTTTTTCAATGGAGTGAATTCACTCTTTTTGGAATCTGTTATTAATTGAATAAATTTATTTGTTGTATCAAATAATGAATTTGATGAGATTTTCAATATAGCGGTATAATTTTTAGCTATTGATATGATAATTTGTTGTGATAGTAATGCTAATTTGTCTTGATTATTGGTTAAGTATTCCAATTGTTTATTGAATTGAGTATCAATATATTTAATTGAATCTTTTGATATTGGATTATTACTTAAATATTGATATAAATTAGTATGATATGTTAATAATAATGTGTTGATATTGTCATTGTTGATTAAAGGTATCAATGAATCACTGTTGTATATATCCATTGTATTGGTAATTGAGTTGGCGGTTAATTGTAATAAAAGATTCAAATATTTAAAATTGATGATTTGTTTACTTTAAAATGTCAAACAAATCAACACATTTGATTATGTAATACACAGCGGTTAATCAAATAAAACACAGCGGTTAATTAAAAGTAAACAAAGAGATTCAGTTCTTTGTATGATCAATAGACTTATATAGTATATACATATATATAATAATGATAATGGTATAATGATAGTAGTAGTTAGTAGTATATAGTAGTATAGTATTATAATAGATCTGATTATATAACTACTATATAGTGATTGATTACTTAATGGTGTGTACTACTACTCGAGTTATATGGTTATCTAACAGTACTATCAGTGAATCATTTAATATCACTGATTATCATTACAATTGATGTTTATATTCATTACTTATTATTCATTAGCTATTATATATAGTTATAATATAATTATTTATTAATCAATTAAGAATTCCACCAACGGGAATCGAATGGATGTGTTCAGCGGCTAATTTTTATATTAAAGTTGGGGAAATAAAACATATTTCAAAAGACACTTGTTATTATTCTATAATTCTATCAACAATAAATGATTATATCACCATATGATCTATCAATGTCACTATTACAATCATTATTATTTCATGCTTTAATAATCCCATTAGATTGGTTAGGTATAATAACAAGATTCCAATCATCGAAAGAATATAATCAACAGCAACAACAACAATATCAACCATTAATTATATTTAATATATCATCATTCTTAAATTCAATAGATTGGGAATTGATTAAATTATATCTGGTTGCAATTATTTGTCCATTATGGATTATTTATATTAAATTTGGTTTAGATTTAAAATTTTTAACATGTTTGATTGCTATATTAATGGGACTTCAACCAATAATCACTGGATTAACAATATATTTGATCCATAGTAGTAAACTAAGACCTTAAAAATTTAATATTTGAACAAGTCTGGGGGTTTATAGATGTTTCAATATTACCAAATAATTGAATTTTTATAATTTTATTATTTTTTTGTAAAATTTTAATTAAATTTGATTCAGTTATATGTAATTTTAACTGGGGGTTATGATTTTGTATATATAATGATTCTAATTTTGGTAACACCGGATTCATTATGAAAAATCTAAATCTTTCACTTAGGATAAATTGATTTGAATAATTTAAAATTAATTCTCTTACCCCAGTAAAGAATTCTAAATTAAATGGATAATTCCAAAAACAATCTTGTAATTCTAAATATTGGATTTTGGTATCTTTATCATCAAAATCAATTACAAAACCAGTTAATTTTAATCTTTTGAGGTCTTTAAATTTAATTAAATGATTAATATTAAATAAATTTGATTCAAAACTCATACTTTTCAATTCTAATTCTTTCAACCCCATAACATCCTTATTCAAATATTTTAAAAAATTTGATGAATTACTTATATTCATCTTTAATTTCCTTAAATTCCCAAATACTTCAGTCAATGAATTATAATTAAAATTCCATTCTTTTTTGATATCATATTCATTAATATTTAAAACTTCAACAAATTTATTAATCCTTTGGATCCCCAATTTTCCTTGTTCCAAAAGAATCAAATCTTTCCAACTAAGAGTAATTGATTGATAAATATATGGTTTTAAAAAATCATGGAATTTTGAACATGATAATCCTAGGTTAATTAAATCTGATTTTGTTATAAGTGGTAATATTTTTATAATAATTTCATATGGAATATTTAAAAAAAGTGTGGAGTTGTTGTTGTATGATGATGATAGTTTTCTTTTTTTGGGGATAGTCATTAATGGTAGGTGTTTGTGTAGTGTTTATGACTGTATTTAGTATGAATGGTATTGTGGTTGTTGAATATTGTTGAATTCTTCTCATGTTTTGGGTGTTTAATAACCACACTATTATCTTTATCACACCGATCGCGTTTTAGGAAATGGTTAGGAGTGATGACTTTCAGACTTAATGGAAGTTGAGAATCGGGAATTAATGAAAACTAACAAATAAAAATTTTGTTCATCACTTTAGTTTTGTTAAAATTCCATCCAAGTTTAAACAGTTGAGTGACTACATTGTTTATTTAATATCGAAATGTTGCAATTGTATTGATTTTGATCTCAGAAGAAAATGTGCTTTAAACATCAAGACGCATTAATAATAATTACAATGTTTGAGTTATAGTACTAATTGCACAAGACCGTCTTCCTTTTCATTATAGGGCTTTAATTAATCTATTATAGGCTTATCATGTTTAACTCAAAGGCTTTGATGATATTGAAAGTATATTGAAAGGTTAATTATGAATATACAATACTCTATAAAGAATCTCAAGGTGTCATGATTCTCTTATTATAAGAGATTGTTATGCACTTGTTATTGATTTATGAAGTTTATTTTTTTCAATTGCTTGATATCGTAGTACATGGAACAAGTATAAATGTATCTGATGAATCTAAAGAGCTTATATATGTATATATATATATATATATAATGTGATGCATACTAGTCAGCTTGGGTATTGTAATTGTCTACTGATCATCCTTATATGCGATGAAGCCTGAATTTTCAACAAACACAGGTTATGCTTCCTTTTAAAACAAGATTATTAGGCATCATGCAATAGGCTGAAGGGTTTGACCCTATTCCAATTAGGGAATTTAACTCGTTGGATAATTTCATATATAGTTACTTCTAGTGATACGTTTTAATGTGGTTATACTATTGCTCCGTTTTGGGTAATGGTTAGGAAGCATCTGGTTACAATCTACAATTCCCTTAATAAAAGTCAAAGAAATTTAACGTACTTAGTTCATTAACCTTTTTTAAAATCATTGTCTTTTAATTAGCAATCCTGTTACGTGATCGACAAAGTTAATATGCTTGTTTTTAAACATGGGTACAATGTGGTCAATTTTCAAGGAAGCTATTGTTTGCTCTTGATCAATTTGGTTAGTGCGGCCTCTATAAAAATTTAGGATGGCGTTGTATGGTATATTAAGGATAATTGAGATTAATATACAAAATTCTTTATAGTGAATTTCAAGTTGTTATAATTCTTTGCAAGAGATTGTTATACACTTGTTATTTAAGTCTATAAAGGTATTTGTTTTTGAGAATACTGTTGGTTTAATTGTTGTAGATTTGAATTTAAACAAACGACGTAAACATTTCGTTTGCCCCTTCATGAGATATAATCGACTTAATCTACTATATTGATTATGGAATTATAAATATTACATATATACGTCTGATATAATGCATAAATGTTAAACTTAAGCTGGAAAGTAACAATCCAAATATTTGAATATCAAGGGAGATCAGTTACATCGTTGCATCCCTTAAGTATGGAGAACAATTATTCGCTAACGGGTTGGAATTTTTAATCTTTGCGAATACATCAACACAATGCAACTAAAACATCAGAGCATTCAAATGCAACTAAATCGTTATATTCAACTTACCATATCAGCATACTGCTTCTGAGATGAACCATCAATGTGTCATCGATGATACTTCAATTAATACGAATTATCAAGTGGACTTCAAATTTTTTTACAATGGTCAACTTTCATCATAAACAAATATTCAAATTCATGAATAACCAAGGCATAAAAATTAGATATAACATGGACATATAAGATGTTGAATGCTTATACCCAGTTGCTTGGGAATCAAATAACCATTGTTTAGAACATGTGAAACATATAGCAATTCAAGATCATGATATGCCGTTTGTTTCATTGATCAGATAAGGGCGTAAAGCTCTCATAAAGATCTTAAAAGTTCCAAATTTGAATTATAAGTTCTCAATTCATAAATATTAATATCAACCAAAGAACTAATAAATTACATCAAAAAAAATTAGCCAGTACTAGAATATTCATCATTTGTTCACATTACTAAAAGAAGCATTACACTTATCAAAAATTATACAACTTGAAACTATGATTCCAGTTATCCTGTGTATATCATTAATATTTGCTGCTTATTTCGCATATAAATACTTTATTGAAAACAATATCAATCCTCTCACTATGCTTTATGAATTACTTGAAAGTATATTTCACATCAACAAGAATGAGAAGTTTATGATTTATATTAGACCAGCATTTATTAGATATTGGAGATTCAAGGTATCATTATTACCATTGTATCATCGCTTTAATCAATACTGGAAGCCATTAAATGACAATGTTCTCAAGAAATTGAAAACCAAAAATGAACATGAAGAAGAATCACTTTTAGGTCCATTCCCTATAGAAATTTGGCAAATTATCATGCAGAAGGGTCATGTTAGAAAAGAGGTTCTTTCAATAAATGATATGTTTTTTAATGAATTGTTGCCATATGCTTATGCTAATTCTGGTAAAACTTTACAATTGTTATTGGTCATTAGTTCTACTTCAAAAATGAGACAAAATGATGATTGTTTCTTAAGAAATGGACCAGATTTCCCATCTAAACCATATGAATCAGCCCAATCAATTTATGAAAGAAGTTTACAAAGCTCAAAATTTGAATATGAATTCCTAGATGTTTCTTATGATGTTTCAACTTCTTTTAAATATGAATTTTTTGGAGAACAGCTTTATGAAGATACATTACTCATTACTGATTATGAAGAAATTAAATTTATATTTTCTCATATAATCAATAACCCTGATTCAAGGATTAAAGAACATTTCAAATCTATATATGTTGATGTTTCAATATTACATGGCTATCAAGAATTGATATATGATTCTGATATAAATGATACATTAAGAAAAACTGGAAGATCATTCCCAGTTGATGGTTCATCAGTCAAAATTCAGGTCAAAGCAAATGATTTTTTCTATGGTACTGATTCACATCAACTTTTCGATAAAGATAATGATAGATGGTCTGATCCAAATGGTGTATTGAAAAATGTTGATGCTCATAGCTTTAGTCTGGAACCTTTCAAAACAGCAAATGAGATTTATCCCACCAAAGTGTATTTTAATGAATTGATTCATATTGCTGAACTTTTTAAATCTTATGCTTTGAATGAAAGAAAATATTTAATGAATGTTTCTCATAAAAGACAACTTCGGTCATATCATCCGTACAACAAGTATGTATTATCACATGATCAAATCAATAGACCTTTACCATCTTATAATTTGAATCGTTTTGATCATATCCGTGGTGCTTTCAATCCATTAAACCTTTTTGCAAATGATCTAAATTGGGATACAGATGATGATGATGATGATGGTGAAGAAGAAGAATTAGAAGATGATGATGATGCTCAAGGATTGGATACTGAGTTAGATCAAGCTGGAACCAATTTTGACGGATATGAATTAAAATCAGATGGTGCAATTGCTTCACATAATGTTAAAATCCAAAAAAGAAGATTTGCTACTGAATTAGAAACCAGATCACTTATCAAAAAGATGATCGAGACTTTATCCTCTGAGAATGTTTGTAATGGTGTTAATACTTCTTTATTCATTATTGGTATATTATCTTTTGAAGAGACTACAGATATTCCAAAGAATGAAACATTGAGTGCTAAACCAATCCCAAACATGTTTCGATATAAACCACATATGACGTTATTAAACAAGCCATATTCTAACTGAATTCATGGCGTATCAATTATTGTGATCATTTCAACTGCAGTAGCATTCTAATTTTGTAGGTAAGTGCTCATTAATCTTGATTCTTGACTCCTGATTGCCTAAAAATTAATTATTCATCTGATGATCAATATTTATCTTTCTCTATAATATACGAATCATCGCTTACATAATCATGAGTCAAAAAAAAAATTAAAAAAAAAAAAAAACTTCTCGATTTTCATTCAACGTGTGAAAATTGAAAACATTAAAAAGCTCAAAGAAATCCAGCGGTTAAACAATATTGGTAAATTAATCCATTCACTTTTCTTCCAACTACAACAAGAACTTTGAAATGGCTGCTCATGTTGAGAAGGTCAGGATCCTTGGAAAGGACTCGATCCATGTCGGGTACGATCTCCAGGACCACATTGTCGAACAATTGCTTCTCACTGAAAAATCATCAACTTATGTGATTATTACTGATTCAAATATTGTTAAAAAAGGTCATTTAGATACTTATCTTTCAAAATTCCAAAGTAAATTAAATCCAGATCAAAGAGTTCTTTCATATGTTGTCTCTCCAGGTGAAGCTAACAAAACTAGAGATACTAAAGCTAAAATTGAAGATTTCTTATTATCAAAAGGTTGTACTAGAGATACTGTTATTTTAGCTATTGGTGGTGGTGTTATTGGTGATATGATTGGTTTTGTTGCTGCTACTTTCATGAGAGGTGTTAGAGTTGTTCAAGTCCCAACCACTTTATTATCAATGGTTGATTCTTCAATTGGTGGTAAAACTGCTGTTGATACTCCATTAGGTAAGAATTTTATTGGTAGTTTTTGGCAACCACAATATGTTTTCGTTGATTTAACATTCTTATCAACTTTACCTGAAAGAGAATTCATTAATGGTATTGCTGAAGTTATTAAGACTGCAGCTATTTGGAATGAAGAAGAATTTACTAGATTAGAACAAAATTCAAGTAAATTTTTATCAACTATCAAAAAAAGAGATTCTCAAGGTAATACTGATTTAACTCCAATTAAAGAACATGTTTTCAAATTAGTCACTGAATCAATTAAAGTTAAAGCTGAAGTTGTTTCTGCTGATGAAAGAGAAGGTGGTTTAAGAAATTTGTTAAATTTCGGTCATTCCATTGGTCATGCTTATGAAGCTATTTTAACTCCACAAGCTTTACATGGTGAATGTGTTGCCATTGGTTCTGTTAAAGAAGCTGAATTAAGTAGATATTTGGGTATCTTATCACCAGTTGCAGTTGCTAGATTAGCTAAAATTTTCACTGCTTATGGTTTACCAATTTCTATTGATGATAAAAATTTTAGAAAAATTATCAAAAATAAACAAACTCCAGTTGATACATTATTACAAAAAATGGCTATTGATAAGAAAAATGATGGGTCCAAGAAAAAAGTTGTTTTATTGAAAAGTATTGGTGAATGTTATGAAAAATCTGCTTCATTTGTTAATGATGAAGATTTAAGAGTTGTTTTAACTGATGAAATTAAAGTTTTCCCATTTCAAAACGATTCTAGTTTCAATGCTACAATTATTCCACCAGGTTCAAAATCTATTTCAAATCGTGCTTTAGTTTTAGCTGCTTTATCAAAAGGTGAATGTAAAATTACTAATTTATTACATTCAGATGATACTGAACATATGTTGAATGCTATTAGAAAGTTGCAAGGGGCCACAATAGAGTGGCATAACCAAGGTGAAGTTCTTGTTATACGTGGTACTGGTGGGTTGTTGAAATCCACCAACCAAGAGCTTTACCTTGGTAACGCTGGTACTGCCTCAAGATTTTTAACTTCAGTCGCTACATTAGTTAAATCTCATGAAAATCAAAACCATATTATCTTAACAGGTAATAAACGTATGACTGAACGTCCAATTGGTCCATTGGTTGATGCTTTAAGATCAAATGGTGCTGAAATTTCATATTTGAAAAATGAAGGTTCATTACCTTTAAAAATTTCAACAACTCCATTAAAAGGTGGTCAAATTGAATTAGCTGCTACAATTTCATCTCAATATGTTTCTTCATTGTTAATGGCTGCTCCATATGCTGCATCACCGGTTACTTTAAAATTGACTGGTGGTAAACCAATTTCAATCTTGTATATTGATATGACAATTGCATTAATGAGTCAATTTGGTATTGAAGTTAAAAAATTACCAAATTATACTTATGAAATTCCAAAAGGTTCATATGTTGCTCCATCAGAATTTGTTATTGAATCTGATGCTTCTTCATCAACTTATCCATTGGCATTTGCTGCATTAACAGGTTCAACTGTTACTGTTCCAAATATTGGTTCAAGTTCATTACAAGGTGATGCAAGATTTGCTAGAGATGTCTTAAAACCAATGGGTTGTAAAGTTATTCAAACTGAAACTTCAACAACTGTTACAGGTCCACCAAGAGGTGGTTTAAAACCATTACCAGAAGTTGATATGGAACCAATGACTGATGCATTTTTAACTGCTTCAGTTTTAGCTGCTGTTGCCACAGATGGTAAAGAAAATAGAACAAATATTGTTGGTATTGCAAATCAACGTGTTAAAGAATGTGATCGTATTGCAGCTATGGTTCATCAATTACATAAATTTGGTGTTACTGCAAATGAATTACCAGATGGTATTTCAATTCAAGGTGTTAAAGTTTCAGATTTGAAAACTCCAGAAGATGGTATTTTTTCATATGATGATCATCGTGTTGCTATGAGTTTTTCATTACTTGCTGGTATTACACCAAAAGGTCCAGTTACTATTGAAGAAAGACATTGTACTGGTAAAACATGGCCAGGTTGGTGGGATGTTTTACATTCTGAATTAGGTGCTAAATTAGATGGTTATGAACCTGCACATATTGTTGATGTCAAACCAAAAATTAATAACAAGAGTATTGTAATCATTGGTATGAGAGCTGCTGGTAAATCTACTTTAAGTAAATGGATTTCATCATCATTAGGTTATAAAATTATTGATTTAGATACTGTATTTGAATCTAAATATGGTGATATTAGAGAATTTATCAAATCTGATGGTTGGCCAAAATTCCGCGAATTAGAAGAACAAGTTTTCCAAGAAACTTTAAATTCTAATCCAACTAAGACTGTTATTTCAACTGGTGGTGGTATTATTGAAAGTTCAGTTGCTAGAGATGATCTGAAAAAATATGGTCAACAAGGTGGTATTGTCTTATATATTGAACGTAATTTAGATCATACAGTTCAATTCTTATCAGAAGATGCTACAAGACCAAGATATGTTGAAGAAATTGAACAAGTTTGGAAAGTTAGAGAACCATTATACAATGAATCTTCAAACTTCCATTTCTTTGCACCTTTCTGTAATTCAAATAAAGAATTTTTAGAATTGAGAAAAAATTTTGAACATTTTATTTTTAAAATTATTGGTTCACATGAGGTTAATTTTAATGAATTTGATAGATCTTTTAATTATGTTATTGATATTGAAGATTTAGAAGATGAATCTGAATCTTTAGAAACTAAAACATATGGTGCTAATTCAATTGAAATTGTTTTGAAAAAATCATATTCTAAAAAATTCATTGAACAAAACATTGCAATTTTAAGAAAATTTAGTGATTTACCAACAATTTTCACATTTTTACCAACTTCAGATCTTAAAACCTATGAAGAAATTATTAACATTGCTTTTAAGAATGGTGTTGATTTTGTTTCATTAGATTTAACATTAGATGCTGAATTATTAAGAAGATTGATTGATAATAAAGGATTTACTAAAGTTATTGGTACTTTTGTTGATTCTACTGGTGAATTGAAATGGGGTAATGATGATTTCTTAGGTTATTATAAATTTGCACAAGTTATTAATTCTGATTTAATTAAATTAGTTGGTGTTGCTTCATCAATTGTTGATAATTTTGAATTAGAATCATTTAGATCTAAATTCCAAGATTCAACATTAATTTCTTATAATACTTCAAGAAATGGTGTTTTATCAAGAGTTACAAATCCTTTATTAACACCAGTTACATTCAATGAATCAATTGAAACTTTAAATTCATTATTTTATCAAATTGGTGGTGATGTTCAAAAGAAATTTTATGTTGTTGGTTCACCAATTGGTCATTCAAAATCACCAATTTTACATTCAACAGGTTATAAAATTTTAGGATTACCACATTCATTTGAAAAATTTGAAACTGATGATGTTAATAAAGTTGTTGAATTGATCAAATCTCCAAACTTTGGTGGTGCAGCTGTTACAATTCCATTAAAATTAGATATATTGGAACATTTAGATGAATTAACAGAATCTGCTTCAATTATTGGTGCTGTTAATACAGTTATTCCATTAGGTAACGGTAAATTTAAAGGTGATAATACAGATTGGATTGGTATTAAAGATTCATTATTAGCTAATGGATTCCCAACAATTTCTAAAGATTCCAAAGTTAATGGATTAGTTATTGGTGCTGGTGGTACTTCACGTGCTGCAATTTATGCATTACATAACTTGGGATGTAATCAAATTTATTTGATTAATAGAACATGTACCAAATTGGAGCTTATCAAAGAAAGTTTCAAAGATTTAAATGTAAAAATTAAGATTTTTGAAACAATTGATGATATTGAATCTTCTGAACCGGTTGGTGTTACAATAAGTTGTATTCCAAGTGATTTATCAATTGATTCTAAATTATTAAATAAATTGGAAAGATTATTAAATAAAGGTAATTCAAATAAAGATGTTGTTGGATTTACACCAATTTTATTAGATTGTGCTTATAAACCAAGAATCACACCAATTATGGAATTAGCAAAGAGTAAATATAATTGGGATATTGTTAGTGGTGAAGAAATGCTTGTTAATCAAGGTGTTGCACAATTTAAGATTTGGAATAAATCAATTGCACCATATAAGGCAATTTTTGAAGCTGTTAATAATTAAAGACATAATCATACTACATGATTTTTTTATAGATTAACATAAACTTTTATAAACATTAATAATATATTAGATTAAACATATAATTCTCAACCATGTATCAATTCACTTAATTTAACAAACTCATCAATCTTTTCAACTTGATCAATACTAACACCTTCTCTTTCATAATACTGTACTTCATTAACTTGACCCAATGATTTTATTTCATCACTCATATCATCTTTAGCCAATACAACCCCTTTTATGTTGGTTATTGATTTACCATGTAGTTTTCTACCACGTAAATAAGTTATAATTTCTTGATTTTCTTGTATTTTAATTAAATGTTTTGGAATTGATGAATGTGGGCCTGTATATCTTATACGACAGGGTATGCTGTTGACTTTGTATGTTTTAGCTGATTGGAGGTCTATGTTTCTTTCTTCTGCCATCTTGGTGTTCAAATAGTATTCTATGGTATACTATGGTATTCTGAGATTATATTTGTATAATACCAGTCTTCAACTTCCGTATTCGTAGTACGTACGCGTCTTTATGATATATTTTTTTGGCGTATCTTCTACCCGCGAATTTGTTCTTTTCATACCCGCGAATTTCTTGATTTTTGAATGTTTTTGAATCTTCTAAGAAAGCAAAATTGAACTTTTGATTTTAATTGAGAACCCCAGAAAATTGAACAACTTTACAATGGCTAGTTATCCATATTTGATCTCAAGGTAAGTGTTGTGAATGTGTCTGACATCAACTATGGAATAATAGACTAACATTGTCTTTTAAATAGAACAATCGATCCATTTTTCGGTATTCTAATTGGTACTTTAAGTTACTATGCTTATGAACAACGAGTAGGAAGAAAACCAGGACATTCTTTGAACGAATTGGTTGCTAAAAGATTCGGAAAGAAAGAGGCATCACAATGAACCAGACTGTTATCAAATCACTTTAGTATCCAGTTGAACATAGGGCATCAAAGGGAATCATTCGTAATCCAATTGAACTGACGAATAAAGTCATGAGAAAGCTAAAGATCCGAAACTCTGTGCACAGCGCTTTTGATGCTGCTTTTTTTGCCACAGACTCTAGAATCACACACCCAGTCACTCTAGAGATTACAATAGAAGACTGAATAGCAAATATATAAACAAATTGACACTTAATTACATTGTAGTTTTTCATTTTCTGCCTAGGACCGTTGATATAAATTTGATTTTTTCATACTGAACCAATTTTTTTTTCCTTTGTTGATTAGTAAAAATTACTTCATTGTAGATAAACAACCGTTTGACAGCTGAGACCAACAGATCATCAAACATTGCAAACAATCCAAAGGCCATCACCCACAGTATAGAAGATGCCGCCAAAGATCTTGTCCAAAGATCTCAACTATATATCACCGCTCCAGCAACTTCAGACGAAAAATCAGACCGGGAAGAGAATAAGGGTATCAAGGGCCTGTGATACATGTCGTCGAAGAAAAGTGAAGTGTGATGGGAAACAACCATGTATTCATTGCACAGTGTATTCTTATGAGTGTTCTTATAACAAGGCTGCTCCTGCTCCTGCTCAGAAGAGACAAAAGAAAGAAAGTGAAGCTGTTGGTGCTGGTGCTGGTCCTGGTGCTTCTACTGCTACTGCTTCAACTGCTGCTAAAATTGCCAATCATGAACCAACTCAATCTAAATCTGTTAAAGTGGAAGAGTCTAACCAAACTCAAATCCCTAAACAATCATCAGTCAAACCTGCACAACCAACAAATTCAAATACTTTCCAAGATCAATTAATTCAAACAATCTTCCCACAATTAGATACTCAAAATGAAAATTTTAATACTGATTTATTTTTACAAGTTTTAGAAAAACATAAAAAAAATGGTGTTATTGATTTAAATTCCATCTTGAAAGAATATAATGCAATTGAAAATCCTCATATTCATGGTCGTTCAATTGCCCCAATTGAAATTAAAATCATTTTACCACCAAGAGAAATTGCATTAAAATTAATATATAAAACATGGAATGAAGCTTGTGTATTATTCAGATTTTATCATCGTCCTTCATTCATAAATGATTTCAATTCTCTTTATGAAACAAATCCTAATGAATATACAAATCATCAAAATAAAGTATTACCATTAATTTATTCTGTTATTGCAGTGGGTGCCCTTTTTTCTAAAGGTGATAATGCAATTGATAATCAATATTTACAAGATGAAGGTTATAAATATTTCATTGCAAGTAGGAAATTAATTGATATTACAAATTCAACAGATATTCAATCTATTCAAACTATATTCATGTTAACTTTATTTTTACAATGTTCAGCTAGATTAAGTACATGTTATTCATATATTGGTATAGCATTAAGATCTGCCCTTAGACAAGGATTACATAGGAAATTACAAACTTTTGCAAACCCAATTGAATCAGAAATTAAAAAAAGATTATTTTGGACAATTTATAAATTAGAAATTTATGTTAATTCAATGTTGGGATTACCAAATTCTATTAATGAAACTGATATTGATGTTGAATTCCCCCAGGATTTAGATGATGTTAATATAGATCAATATGGTATATTACCACAACAATTAGGGAAACTATCATCATGTGGTATGAATAATTCCCATACCAAATTGATATTAATCTTAAATCATATTGTTCAAAAAATTTATAAGACTCAAGATCCAATTTTTGTTATACCTTTGGAAACTATAAGAAATTTAGAAAATGAATTAAAAATTTGGATATATGAATTACCAAATCAATTAAAACAAAATAGTAATACCCCCCTAGAATATTTAAAAGCAAATAAACTTTTACATTTAGATTATTTACATGTTAAAATCATGCTTTATAGACCTTTTATTCATTATGTTAAGATTGCTAAACATAATAAGAATTCTACAAGTTCATGTCATTTAGAAAAAGGTTTAAAATGTATTGAAATTTCAAAACAAATTGTTTATTTGGCTCAAGAAATGATTAATAAAAAATTATTAAATGGTTCATATTGGTTTAGTATTCATACAATTTTTTTTGCAGTTGCATGTTTAGTTTATTATTTCTTAGAAGTTGATTCAACAGATGAAAATATTATTCAAACTATTGAAATGGGTAAAAGAATCCTAAGTGTTTTAAAGGAAAGATCAGTTTCTGCTCAAAGAATTTATACTTTATTAAATTCAATGTTTGAAAATTATGATAGAAATAACGTTCATGTTGAAGTCTTGGAACCAAAAAATCCAACAAAATCAACCACTACAACAAAGACTACACCAAACATAACTACAAACCCAAATACATTTGTTTCACCATCAAGTATGAATGATCCAGCAACAGATCCAATAACATCACAATTAACATCAACCAATAACCAACTCCTAAACCCATCAGACACAGCAGCAATAGCACCAACAAATAATCAACCATTAGATCAATCTCATTACGTCCCTGGTATGATGGATGATTTTGATATGAAAATTTTCGGAAGATTCTTACCTTCATATATGTTACAAAGACCACATGGAACATCAGGACCAGGGACGAATGGTGGTGATATGCCAATAAATGAAGAATTAGAAAATGATCCAATGGGTCCTATAAATTCATTATTGGGTGATAATCATCCAAGTGTTGGTAGTACAGTTAAGACTAGTGAAGAAGAAGATGAAGAAAATATGTTTGATTGGGTTAAATTTTTTGATAAGAATGGTGATGGGAATCTTGGATTTGATATATGATTATGTTACTTTTATCTCATTAATGTTATTTTTAATTTTATGTTTATAGTTTTCTTGTTAATATTCATGTTTACTTATGATGAGCCACATTTGTATTAAATCCGATGGGGTTGATTTTGACACCATTTTGAAGAAATGTAAGGCAATGTACTAACATTAGTTACAAGATCAGACTCATGAACAGCTGTTACTGGCTATAGCAATGAAGATAGGAGTTGGACAAGTTTATAAGGTTATTTTGATAAGTTTCTGGTTTTGATGGATTTGTTTATTTAACCTTTATAGAAAGTGTGGAACGTCCGAATGATTGATCTGATCCACAATAACAAATGTAAAAAGATAAGCTATACACGCTAATTTCATATCCTTGAGATCAAGTTGAAAGGAGGCTATTTTGGGTTATTAATAATATACCCTGGTATATATAAAGATGATGAAATAAATCCAAGATCATTTGTTTTTACCATTTTAATCATCTGCTGGGTTAGGGGAATTAAGTCAAGTTATTATGTCCAAAGGGTACTCTAGTTTCATCTGGAAGTGTATCCCACATGAAAGAGAAGTTGTTGACTTACCAGAAGTTGATGATCTAGGATCAGATTACAACTCAATAAATTTTGAAATTGATGAAACTAGGGATAAATCTGAACCTATTATTGAATATAGAGATGAAGCAAATAGACCATGGTGGAAATTCTTTGATGAATATGAATACAGGTACAATAAGTTTGCAAGAAACTCCACTGTTGAATCACCTCAAGAAAAATCAAAAGCAGAAAGAAGATTAGTTAGGAAATTAGATCTTACAATAACTTTATTTGCCATCATCTCATATTGGTCAAAGATGCTTGATCAAACAAATATTAGTAATGCTTATGTATCAGGTATGAAAGAAGATTTGAACATGCAAGGAGATGATTATTCCAATGCAACAGCAGTTTTCAGTTATGGTTCTATCCTGTTCCAAGCTTTTTATATGTGGTTATTTCCTCGTGTTGATATGCATTTATTATTCTTTATTGGTGATGTTTTTTGGAGTGCGATAACTATATTAACTGCATGGGTTGATACACCAAAACAATTGATGTGGTGTAGATTTTTAGTTGGTGTAGGAGAAAGTGGATATTTTATTCAAATTCATTATCTTTTAGGATCTTGGTTTAAACCTGATGAATTAGGAAGACGTGGTGGGATATTTTATTGGTGAGTTGATTTGTAACATTAACTATTTAACTATATACTAACTCTTTTCTTTCAGTGGTATGACTTTAGGTACTGTTAGTAGTGGTATTATTCAAGCTTGGATTTTCCAACATTTGAATGGTGTTAATGGAAGAGCTGGTTGGAGATGGATGTTTTTAATTGATGGTGTTGCCACAATGACTATTGGATTCTTAGCATTATATATGGTTCCAGGTACACCATACAAATGTTGTTCATTATTTTTAACAGATGATGAAATTAGATTAGCAAGAACAAGATTGAAAAAGGCAAATATTAAACCACCTTCAAAAGATCCTCCACCTTTTTTCGATAAACAAATTTGGAAAAATATTTTATCAAGTTGGAGAGTTTATATATTGAGTTGTTTGAATTTCTTTTTTTGGCATACAAGTAGTACAGGTTTTTCAAATTTTGCATTATGGTTAAAATCATTGAATAGATTTGATACACCATCATTAAACCGTATAACTTCAATTCCACCGGCATTAGGTCTTATATGGATATTATTAGTTTGTGGATCAGCTGATTGGGTTAGATCAAGAGCTTTTGCAATATTTTGGGCAGAGATATTTGTGTTTATAGGAACTTCGATCTTAGCAAAATGGGATGTTGCAGAAGGACTTATATGGTTTGCTTTTATGATTAGCTATTTTGGTATTTCTGTTAGCTCAGTCGTTTACGGTTGGTTGAATGATATTATGAGATATGATCCACAAGAACGTTCAATTGTTTTATGTCTTGTTAATATGTTTGCCAATACTACGAGTGCAATTGTAATTCCAAAGATGTATAAAACTTCAGAAGCACCTGAATATCATAATGGGTATACATATTCAAAGACAAATAGTGCATTGTTGATGATTTGGAGTTATGTTACATTATGGTTCTATAAGAGACAAGAAAAAAGAGATTCAAGATCAAATGGTATAGTCTTGTATAATTCCAAGACTGGTTATATTCCATTAGAAGCTCAACAGTATATCGAAGGTGAGAATGAAAGAAGAGCCTCTGATGGATCGTTGAGTTCCATTGGAAAGAATACTGCAACTGTTGAAATTAGAAGATCTTCTCAATTCTCTGATGATGTGTGATTATATTTATTATAGATTAGATTAATATATAACCTTTGACCTGGTATTCTATCTAAGAAGTACGTCTTTGATCCAGAATATATGGAAGCATATGGAATGTAGTTACCGACCCGTAATTATCTTTACACTTTGTTATACCAGTTTTATTCCATCAACAATAGTATAATAGTATAACAGTATGGAAAGAGCCACATATCAGCCACTATTATGTAATCACATAGAGAAATTAGAATTATACGTCTTTGAATCTTGTGTTCTACAACACAGGAATGTATATTATTAAATAGTTTTCAATATTGTAATCTCTCGATTACAGTGAACTGATTTTGAAGGTACCTATCATTGTTCTGAATTGTTTGTGATCGGAGTTTCCTGTGCTGCTTTCAATCATTAAAACAGTGGTGTCAGTTTTTAAGCTTAATTTGACAAAGTGGGAAAGTGTGGATATGATCTGGTAGTTTATCTCAGCAAAAAAATAGTACCCTGCATGAAAGTCTGTTAGGATTCAGGAATAATCGTTGTGGATCCTTTGAAAAAAAGAGCTAGTGTTGCTTATTATGTCGCCTGAAAAGTTTTAAAGTGATAATACATTGATGAGTATAAAAGCTACAGCCTTTGACTTTTCAAACTAATCCATGACCAATTATCAAGACGACAATCTTGGTTCTGATAGTCAACAGCTCTTAAAAGATCACAATAGAAGAATCGAAAGTGTTATGGGTTCTGAAAGCCATAGTGACAGTTTAGAAATAGTAGGCAAGTCAAGACCAGCCAAGGACTATTCAGCTTGGTATTGGAAATTGATTCCTCATGAAAGACATGTTGAAGATTGGGCTGATGATTATGAAGATGACAAGTTGAGTATTCACTCAGAGTCAACTGTGGTTGAATACGAGTATAGAGATGAAGCTAATAGACCTTGGTGGAAATTCTTTGATGAATATGAATATAGATATAATAAACAAACAAGAGAACAAAAAAAATGGTACAAGTTCTTTGATAGCAACGCATCAGTTACTGAAAAGAAACTATTGTTTAAATTGGATTTATTGATTGTTACTTTTGCTGTGATGTCTTATTGGTCTAAGAATTTAGATCAGTCCAATGTTAGTAATGCATTTGTCTCAGGGATGAGAGAAGATTTAAATATGGTTGGTAATGATTATTCAAATACAGTTGCATTATTCAATGCTGGTACTGTTATTTTTCAAATAATATTCACTTGGTTATTCCCAAGAATTGATATGCATTTAATGTTTTTCCTCTCTGATGTTGGTTGGTCTTTGGTAACATTATGTACAGGGTTTGTTAGAAATCCAGCTGAATTGAAAGCATGTCGTTTCCTTGTGGGTGCTTTTGAAAGTGGATATTTTATTATGATTCATTATTTATTGGGATCTTGGTATAAACCTGATGAATTAGGTAGACGTGGTGGTGTATTCTATTGTGGTCAAATGTTGGGTCAATTAACATCTGGTTTGTTACAAGCCCAAATTTATCAAAATTTGGATAGTGCAGGAGGTAGAGCCGGTTGGAGATGGATGTTTATCATTGATGGTGCTGCTACTATGACTATTGGATTCTTTGCATTTTATATGGTCCCTGGAACCCCTAACAAATGTACTTCTTTATTCTTAACAGATGATGAAATTCGTTTATCTCGTTATAGATTGAAAAAAGCCAATATTAAACCACCATCTAAAGAACCTCCAAAGTTCTTTGATAAGAAACTATGGATAAATATTCTTTCCAGTTGGAGAATTTACGTCTTAGCAGTATTGGATTATCTATTCTGGAATACTGGTAATAGCGGCTATTCTAATTTTGCCTTATGGTTGAAATCTTTGAAGAGATATTCCATTCCTCGTATCAATAGATTCACTTCAATCCCACCATCTTTGGGTATTATTTGGATTTTGGCTGTTTGTGGGTCTGCAGATATGTTAAAATCAAGATCATTTGCAATCTTTTGGGCTGAAATATTTGTTTTTATTGGTTCAGTTATACTATCTATTTGGGATGTTCCAGAACCTGCACTTTGGTATGCATTTTATACAAATTTCTTCAGTATATCAGTTTCCTCTGTTGTTTATGGTTGGATAAATGACATCATGAGATATGATCCCCAAGAGAGATCAATTGTGTTGTGTTTTGTGAATATATTTGCTAATCAATCAACTGCATGGACTGGACCACTTGTTTACAAAACTGTTGATGCACCAAGGTATCATAAAGGTTATATCTATTCTGCATCAAATTCAGCTGCTTTGATGATATGGTCATGGGTTACATTATGGTTTTATAAAAGACAAGAAAAGAGAGATGCTAAAACAAATGGTATCATTTTATATAATAGTAAGACTGGGGATATACCTTTAGAGGTTAGACAGCATTTAAATGGCGAGGTTGAAGGTGAAGATGAAATTGAAGATGAAATTGAAGAGACATCTTTGGGTAAGAAAAAGGAAAATGTTGAAGTTAAAAGTTTCACAAATAGATCACATTAGGTCCCATTAACTAGTATATTTTGGTTTAATTTTATAGAAGTAATTTGAAATCTACAATTTTTGAGTCATGTAGCTTGAACATTCCCAAACCTATTGTAACCTACTGGTACATATATTTTTTACTCGTCATAGCACAGTATGTCATTTATAACTATTGATCATCTATATAATTTCTCTACTATAAACTCTCAATTTCAATTTTTGTACCATCTTTAACTGTTTCAACTTCATTTTCAGCTTTCTTATTGAGGTACTCTCTTGCCTCAATTGAAATTTCACCAGTCTTTGAGTTGTATAAGATAATACCATTTGTCTTTGCGTCTTTCTTTTCTTGTCTTTTATAGAAGAACAATGTAACCCAAGTCCAAACTAAAAGAGAAGCACTATGAACACTAGAATAAATATAACCTTTATGATATTTTGGTGCATCGACTGTTTGATAAACTAAAGGTGGAGCCCAGGTAGTTGATTGGTTTGCAAAGATATTGACTGCACAAAGAACAATTGAACGTTCTTGAGGATCATACCTCATGATATCATTCAACCAACCATAAACCACAGAGGAGATTGAAATACCAAAGAAATTTGTGTAAAATGCATACCACAATGCAGTTTCTGGTACATCCCAAACAACCAAGATGATACACCCAAGAAAGACAAATATCTCAGCCCAGAATATAGCAAATGATCTTGATTTCAAGATATCTGCAGAGCCACATACTGATAAGATCCAAATGATACCCAATGCTGGTGGGATTGAAGTTAATCTGTTTAACTTAGGTGTATCAAATCTATTTAATGATTTTAACCACAAAGCAAAATTTGAAAATCCATGATTATTTGTATTCCAAAAAAGATAATCTAAGATCCCTAAAACATAAATTCTCCAACTTTTCAAAACATTAAGCCAAATTTTCTTTTCAAAAAATGGTGGTGGTTCCTTTGTTGGTGGTTTAATATTTGCCTTTTTCAATCTAAGACGAGCTAATCTGATTTCATCATCAGTTAAAAATAAAGAGCAACATTTATAAGGTGTACCTGGAACCATATAAAGAGCAAAAAATGCAATTGAAGCAGTGGCACATCCATCAATGATGAACATCCATCTCCAACCTGCCCTGCCACCTTTACCATCCAAAGATTGATGAATAGAAGCTTGCATTAGCCCAGCGGTTAAACTACCAAGCATTTGTCCACTTGAGTTGTATAGTTAGTAAAATATGCTTTTAAACTCAAAAATTTAATCTAGAACTTACCAGTAGTAAAGACCACCACGTCTTCCTAATTCATCAGGTTTATACCATGATCCTAATAAGTAATGAATCATAATAAAATATCCACTTTCAAAAGAACCAACTAAGAAACGACATGCTTTCAATTGAGCAGGTGTTTGAACCAATCCAGTGAATAAAGTGACCAGGGACCATCCTAAATCACAAATGAAAAACATCAAGTGCATATCAAGTCTAGGAAAAGCCCACATAAAAATTATTTGAAAGATAACAGCCCCTGCATTGAAAATTGCAACCGCATTAGAATAATCATTTCCTTTCATATCGATATCTTCTTTCATACCAGAAACATAAGCATTACTAATATTGGTTTGATCCAAGTTTTTGGACCAGTATGACATAATAGCAAAAGTAACAATCAATAAATCTAACTTCAGAATCAATTTTTTTTCAGCTGGTGATGCATTCTTATCGAAAAATCTCCACCATGATTTTTGAGCTCTTGTTTGTTTATTGAATCTGTATTCATATTCATCAAAAAATTTCCACCATGGTCTATCTGCTTCATCTCTATACTCGAATTCTGGTTCTTGTGAAGAATCTGAGCTTTCGGAATGGATACTTTTGTCATCTTCAGGCCAATCTTCAACATCTCTGGGATGCGGGATAAATTTCCAATACCATTGAGAAAAATCTTGAACTTCACTCATCTTGGGTCAAATGTTCAGCCAGTATCAAGCAGAATAATTAAAAGTAGCCTATATTGAAATTTTAGCGGCTCAAAACAGCACTTGAGATCCATTTTATACCTTTCAACGACAAGACTTTGCTATTCAATAACAACAGATGAAGCCCAGATTTTGAGACACTAATAGAGCACATCCCACAACATATGTTACCCATAAAGCTCCACCTACAAGAAAAATATTGTCTTGAAACCTTGGCCAGAAATACAACAGTATAATAAAAGTCAATCAATCTTTATCCACACTTTCCAAACTTGTTCAATTTAACGCTGAAAATCCACCACAATGGAAGATAATTAACTGGGCAAAATGGCAGCATCATTACTCAAAATTATCTCATGAACTGATCCAGTCTCATTATCAGCTTTATCAGTATGATAGTTTATCGGTATCTCCATCAACACAATCAGAAATAATCATTTGATCAGCCACAATGTTTGATGTTTTGGTTTAAAATTGAGATTGAATTCGCGGGATTTTGTTATTATGGTGATTATATAAGCACTCTAAATTAAAGACGTCAAAACCAAAACAATATACAAAAATATGTCAGGAAAAGCTTTTGAGCCATAGAAGTCAAGGAAAGAAGAGTGGGTTTCATACACAAAATGAGCTATAAGGAAGAACTACCGAAGCTCCCATCAACAGAAGAAACAAAACTTGGAAATATTTTAAAAGAATTGAGTCCAGAAGTTCAAGATGTTCATGATTCAATATTACATATTTCAAATAGATATAGAAGTGATTTAACATCTCAGTTAGATCAATCATTAAAATTTCAACAACATTTATCCAAGAATTTCGTTAGATTAAGTAGGAAAACTAAAAGATTATATCAAAATTCTGAAAATTTGAACACTTCACTAAATAAAAAATTGGATCAATTTAAACCTTGTGATGATTTGGAACCATTAACAAAAGGTATAACGGATTCTGTATTTGGTATATTGGATTCATTGAATCAAATAGAGATGATTTTACCGTATAATGAAAGACTAGGAGTACAAGATTCGCCTCATAGAGCACATTATCCAAATTTATACAAGTTACTGAACCCCGAGGAAGATGAATCTACTATAAGAGAAGATGAAATTGAAGGATTTGAACAATTGGATATAGAAGAGTTACAAGATTTTGATGGTGATGGTGAAGAGAGTGAGGAAGACTTAGAAGAAGTTACTAGTGATATTATTGCTGATGAAGAACAGAATGAAGATGATCATATAGAGAATGATGTGACTCGAAATTTAAATGAAGAAGAAAATACTCAGGAGCTTGCTTCTATAAGGAGTGGGAAACATAATGATGAGGGTGATGATACTGATGAAGGTGATGAACTAAAGAGTATAAAATCTGCCGAATCTGTTGAAGAAGAAATGGAGATTCCGGTTGAGGGTACTAGTCGTTCGATCCATGAAACAGAGTTCAAAAACGAGGACGATTCAGATACTTCAAATACCAATATAAAAGGATCAGAAGACACATCAGACATCAACACACCAAAACAAGACCAACCAGAGACTACAAATGAGTTAAACCAAGATGCAAATGCTAATAAATCTATACACAAGAATGGATCCAAACCAGAATCCGATGACGATGATGCCAAACGAGAAGAATTAGAATCAGTAATTGATAATTATAAAACAACAAGATCCTTGAAAAACTCAAGATCACAAAGTATAAGATCTTCATTCCGTCCAATTTCAGCTGCAATTTCAATTCCTTCACCTTCAAGTGCGGGTATAACTAATATCACAGCAAGTACATCAACAAGTTCAGGATCTGATCAAGTACAGGGTACAATAGTTGGTTCATCATCTTCAAATGGAACTTCCAGTGTTTTGGCTGATAATTTGAAAAAATATATGAAATCTTAAAAGTGTGTCTAATCAATTTAATAATTCAGTTCTTGATGGGATATTTTGATCTAAAACTTTTTGAATAATTTCATCAAATAAAGGTTTTAAATTGGCTTTATCATAAAGACCTAATAAAGTTTCTTCTGAAGTTCTTTGAACTTCAATCAATTCAACAAATGTAGGATCTATTGGAACATTACCTAAATAAGGAATATTAAATTGTTCACTAAGTAATTTCCCACCACCAGAACTGAAAATATTTGTACATTCTTCACAATGAGGACAAATAAAACCCGACATATTCTCCACTATTCCCAAAGGTTTAAAATTAACTTTTTTACAAAAATTTAATTCCTTTTTAACATCTGAAGTTGCAACATTTTGTGGAGTTGTTACAATGATTGCACCATCTGGATTAGCAAATTTTAATTCTTCTGCAATACTAATATGTTCATCACTTGTACCTGGTGGTGTATCAATCAGTAAATAATCCAAATCTTTATCCCAAGCAACATCTTTAATAAATTGTTTAATCATTGCAGTTTTCTTTGGACCTCTCCAAACAACACTATTACCACGATCATTTAATAAAAACCCAAGAGACATAATACTTAATTTTTTAGAACTATCAATATAAACAGGGATCCAACCATTTGTACCTTGGAAAACTTGTTTATTCTCTAAACCAAACATACGTGGTAATGAAGGACCTGTTAAATCTATATCTAATACACCAACTTTAAAACCTTTATTTACTAATGTTAATGCAGTTTGGGTGGTAACAGAGCTTTTACCAACACCACCTTTCCCTGATAAGATCAGTACGATATGTTTGATGTGTTTAAGTGATTCTGGAGCTTCCTCTATATCCATTTTGGTAGTCTGATTGAGCAATATGAGCTATGGATAACTTGTAGATGGTATCAATATTGATTAGAAATGATTATTCAACCTTTTTTTCTATAAAGAGGCGAAAATCATAGAACGGATTCGCGAGTACATAAGCACAGATTTGGCTGATAAAATATTTGCTACAAAAACAAAACCAGTTATAAACGAAAAGAAGAACAATTAAATTAGTATACAAATGCGATTATGGTGTTGTTGTGGTGTTAATATGTGCTGTACATAAATAGCTGCCCGAACTTGTCCTTTTGTGTGGTTTTTGTTGGTTGAAAAATTAATGAGGATAACACCATATAATGTTAGGAAAAGGACAAGTTATTGAGAAGATAATGGAACCAATGGAATGAATAATAATGTGATTAAATAAGTTGTGTAAAGCATGTTCTAGCGTATCCAGACCCAGAAGAAGAACAGAAACACAAGGGCAAATAATCCGAGCCATGTTTTAATGCTTATACCTGATCTTTTAGCCATCACCAACATTCTATTAAATGTATTCTTTAATTTTGTACCTAATTGATCAAATGTATTTCCCTATCATCTTGTTAACAAATCATTCAATAAAACATATCCTAATAATACTTACTAATTCATCAAGAGTCTTATTTGAACCTCTAATTTCATCACCCATCTTAACAGTCAGCTATAATTAGATTCCATTAGTACAAAAGATCATAAAACAATGAGCATAATAGTTATTAACTTACACCTTTCAATGCTTGAATCTTTGCACTCATAGTACTCATTTCTTCATCATTTTGTGACTCTAGATTTGACATTGTAGAAGCATCATAATCATTTTGAACTTTATCATATGGAGATGCTACTCTTTTGGGCTGATCAAACAATGAAGTTCTTTCACGTTGATGTAGTTGACTTCCGTACCTACTTAAATGTTAGTAAGTTAGGTAAACTTGATCCGCAAATCACAATGGGATACTCACCTTGATGCCATTTCAACTTCTTTTATTGACAAAATACCCTTTTCTTTATGATTCACAATGTCTTTGTGCAATCTTTTGATCAGTTTTTCGTTCCTGATCACTTTTGTTTGTTGTTATTTTGAATTTTGACATTTTCGCCAAAATCTGGAATTGACACGCTTAAAATCGCAAAAAAAAACGAAATTTATATAAGCTCATCTCTATAAAAGTACCATAGTTGAAAAAAGATTTGAATTTTAGTCAAAATGGGTAAAAAGAAGGTTGTTAAAGTACAAGAGACCAAGTTTAGTTTCCCACATGATTTGATAATACCCAATAGAGGATTTTTACCAAGTCCAGAAGTCGTTTCAGAAGATCAAATCATCACAATTGGGAAATTTTTCACGAGTGGATATTGTAATGCCTTGATCAAATCATTTACAAATGAATTGAATTTAGAAACTACACCTTTAATCAAAAGTAAAGATTATGCAGTCAGAGTTAATGATCGTGCATTAGTAGAGGATTATCAATCTGCTCAAAACCTATGGTCTTACTTATACAAGATTTTATTATATGAATATAATGATGAAACTATAATTGATGAATTTCAAAATGCTAAAGGTTTAAATCCACAATTAAGAATATATAGATATCATAAAGGTCATCATTTTGGGAAACATTATGATGAAAGTGTTAATGTGAAACATCCTCAATTGAAAGGTGAAACTAAATGGACTTTATTAATCTATTTAACCGGTGATGATGAATTTATTGATGGTGATACTATATTTTATGATCCATTAAGTAAAGATAATGAACCTATAAGTGTTCATCCGGGAAAAGGTACCGCTCTTTTACATAAACATGGGGATGATTGTCTTTTACATGAAGCACAATTGGTTAAAGATGGGGTTAAATGGGTTTTACGAAGTGATGTTGTATTTTAAAGCTCAAATTCATTCATTCATGTCATTAATAAGAAACACACAATAGCATTATTTATATATATTTATATATTCAATCAACTCATATTTATCTCAATATACATCTAGCATTTGAAATATATTGTATCATGAGTTAGGCAGAATCATATTTTTTCAAATCTAGACTAATAGATTCCAAATTCTTGATGTTTTCAGTTATTGTACCTATTGATATCAGAGTATTATATTCAGTTTCCAAATCAACAAGTTTTGTTTTAATATCTTCATCTTGTTTATACTGAATTTTAGAAATGAATGAATTGACATTTCTCAAGATGTCATAATAATTTGGTGTTTTCTCCGGATCAGCTTGTTGTAAAAAGGCAATAATTAATCTAATTTTATTCTTGATTGTCTTTAATAAGAAAGATTGTGAAATCAATTGATCATTTGCTTTTTGTGATTCATCATTTGAATCATTTTCCTTAATTTCTAATACTGTATCAACTGCAATTTTTTCAGCTTCCTTGTTATCAACATCAAATTTTAATTCATTTTGTTTATTATCGAAAATTTTGATGAATTTTTCATTTGTATGCTTTTTAGCTGCAAAATTAGGATTGAAAATTAATGTAATTAAATTATTATTATAACCTTCAAGTAATGAATGTAAAAGTATTATATTATCATCTGGTTTCAAATCCTTATTTTGTGTAATTTGATAAACTCCAATTATGTATTCATTTGGTAAAATAACAGATTGTTGTTCAAGTCTTGTTTGTAAAGATGTTAAATCTGGTGAATTATCAATAATGACAAATTCAAATGAATTGAAAACTTGTAATTTACCGTTATCTTCATTTCCAAGTAGCACACCAATCACTATATCACTTCAGTCAGTTTCATTTGCTTCTATTTGGGGTATATATGTTTACTTACAATGTGAACTTGGTGTATTTTGTTGCCTCTGTCTAGCATAATGATCTGATAAGTTCAATGTCACGAGCGGGTGTAATCCAATTTTCCCTACTTGACTCATATTGCACAAGTCTTTTCTATTCAAAATCAAATTGACCTTCTCAATCACCAATTGATCACTTCCAATCAACTTCGTCTAAGTACAACATAGCGTAGTCTTTCAACTAACAAAACCAATTTGCTTAATGTTGATAAAATTCGCGAAAATCCAATTTTCTGTCAAATTTTACACGTGTCACTAAATATTGTTTTGATTTTGATTTGTTTGATTTAACTTCTCAGAACAATTCAAGTCAGAGAATGGCAAAGAAGGTATGAGAAGCCAGGGATCATGTACTGTATGGCACAAATGGTTGTTATTTGTCCCTAAGAACAAATGAGAATGAGTACATTCTGGCTGAAATTGATGAGAAGATTTTATCCGCTGGTATTGTTTTAGGTGTCATATTACTTTGTGCAAGAAGAACAAGTTGTTACAAGATCTTAGATTCCATTAGTAGATTATATTAGCAGATATCAACGATATATCTTAATCTTTAGCTATATCTTATTATTTAGTTGATCAAGATAGACTTGCTACGCTGATTTCCAACAAACAAAGGATTCACATGTTTCTCAAAGACTTCTTATTTTGGTATAGGGAAAATTTATATGAGAATAGCATTGTTCTCATTTAGTACTATATGGATATCACACGGCAATCAAACGGCAGAAACAATGGGGGAGAGATTTGGGAATTAGTCTTTGAATTTGTATGAGATATCCCTCCCCAAAATATTATAAAAGAAGGTCAAGTTGTCGTTTTCTGTTGAACTTTTTATTTACTTTTAATATTCTTTACAGATAAATTATATTATAGAGATATTATTATTAGAACTACAAATATGAACTTCAAATATTCTGCTTGGTTATTCGTGTCTATTTGGTTTACTAATTCAGTTGAAGCTCTTGTTATTCCAAAGGATATTGCACTTAATTCGTTATCAAATGATTCAACTACTTCTACCAATGCTACTACTTCTATCAATGCTTTAACTTCTTTAGCTGCTAATGCTGATGCTGCTGCAAATGAAAGATTTCTTCAAGAATTTATTTACAATGGTGATATTTCTGCTAATGGATGGATTGAAAATTGGTACAACAACAATTCTGGTAAAATTGCATTGTATCAATCCATTTCAGCTGAAATTAGAACTTTCTTTGGTGTTAGTGGTATTTATACATGTCTTCCTAGTCTCCTTGATGAGAATCGAGGTCAATATAGTGCACTTTGTTTGTATACATTTTTTACTCAAGAATCTCTTGTTTTTGTTACTTTGGTTGGTGTTTGGATTTTGGATATACCAAATGATGATGCTACTGGACGAGAAGTTTTGAAACATAACTTGAATAGAGGTGTCAAAAAATACCGTAAATTTAGAGCTTGGACCAAAACTGCTGATGGTTCAGATCACAAAGAGGTTGAAGCTGTTTCTTTTAGATTAAATGCACTTTGTGCTTTAGGTGCTGCCTCTTGTACTGATGATTCTACAGATGCTGATATTGTCGCTATTAGAGATGAAACTGGTGTTCATATTAACATTAATACTGATCCATCAGTTACTGCTGAAGAATTTGAGCAAATTGTTTTGAAAACAGTTCCAGGTGTCCCAGTTGATTACGTCAATGAAGATGGTTCTGTTTCTGATCCTAATGATGGTGCAACTCATGATATTAAATTCATCAGTTATAACATTGAGAACAGTGTTGCATCAAGACTTTCAAAAGTTGTTGATTCAATTCCATCTGGTGTTAGTCCATTTGATTCTCTCAAGCAAGAACGTTCAAAAGATAAAAAAGGTTTAAGAGAACGTACTGCAAACCGTGTCAAGGCTATCTTTGGTAGTAGTGAATCAGAAACAAGACCATTTACTTCATGTTTCGCTGGTGCTGGTGATGCAGGTAATGCTGATCATCCAGTTCCTTATGGTGTTGTTGGTCAAATTTACTACAACTCTTATGGTCCAGCTGATGACTCTGGCTGTTATGATACTAATGCCATTAAAAAATCACTCATTTGATTGATTGAGTTGGTTATTAAGGTTCCTCATTGTTTATTGTTATTTGATCCATTTTTTTATCTTATTGTTATTGATCAATTTTTTTATCTTATTTTTTTACCATATCTTTTTATCTTATTTAGGAACCCATCAATAATATGATCTTTTAAATATCATTGTAGCTTTCAATCCTTTACCCTTATATCTGATCGTGATCCTGATGATGATGATGATGATGGTAAAGTTCTCATTATCTGATGACTGGGACACAAAAGTGTATTTCGATTATTCATCAGTTACATAATCTTCATTTCTTTGCGAACTTGTTTTTTGTAATAAACGGTCCGAGAAGTAAAAACTGGAGAAAAGGTGATGAATGACATTTGATTGTCTTTGTCAAAACATTACTAGAATCTGTCAAAGTTGGTATTGTATTCAAGTGAATAGGTGGGCTTTCAAGTGTTGACTTAAAATGATAAATCCAAATACAAGAGTTAGTCAATTAGATGCTACATTATTAGACCAAGAATTATTCAATAACTTATCAAAACAAACACTTTCAATATTTAATAAAATTGCACCAATTTATAAAACTAAATATTCAAATGAGATTGATTTTATTCTTCGATCATTATTATTCAAATTTACAGTATGGGATAAGGATCAATCATATGGACTCTTTCTACAAAATTTGAAATATAAGAATTTGAATTTGATTAAAAAAATTAGTTACTATTTGGTATTCATATTAGGTTATTACTTATCACAAAAATTACAATCTTTTATCTATAATGATGAAGATCTTGATCCTGGGTATGGTGGTGCAAACTCAAGATTGAAAAATTTCTTCATCAAGATTTTTAAGAAATCATATATCAACTTATCAAAACTTTATAAAATTCTATCATTTTTGAACTTTATTGATTTCTTGATAACAGGGAAGTATCAATCATTGAATTTAAGACTATTGAACATCAAAATCAATATATTCTCAGTGGAATTGGCTAAATTGAATAAAGGTAACATTTCATTTGAATTTCAAAATCGTCAATTAATTTGGAATACATTTTTAGAATTTATTTTATTCATATTACCAATTTTCCAAAATAGTAAATTTCAAAATCAATTTAAGAAATTATTAAATTTTAACAAATCATCCAATACAATCAACTCTAAGAGTTTAAAATTTGATCATTTAACTGAAAAACAATGTGCAATTTGTTATGAAAATGGTTCTAATAGAATTCATGATTTCTTGATTACAAATCCTTATAAAACAAATTGTGGACATATTTATTGTTATATCTGTATTCTTACCAAATTAGAAACATCCAAAAACATGGGAGAAAATTGGGAATGTTTAAGATGTAATTCTAAAGTTGAATATTGCAAAGCATATGAAGATATAGATACAAAAGCTATCAAGTTTGAGCTTGGAAGTGATGATGATGATGAAGATGATGAAAAAGTTGATAGTGAATCAGAAATAGAATCAGATGATGAAATTATAAACAATGAAAAATCAAGATTAGTGAATGATGATGAAATGGAGAATAATGATGAGGAGGAAGATGAAGAAGAGGAAGAAAACGATTATGATGATATTGATCCTAATGGTACAGGATTAGATGAAGGATATGAAGACGATGATGATTATTTTGAAGAAGCTGATGAATTAGGAGAAGAACTTTGAATGAAGTCTTGAACTTTCATTTGAATAGATACTTGCAGGTCCAAGGAATAATGTTTATGAACCGTTACAGTTTCATCAATCAATTTTTAATCACTTTTGTATAAACTAAATGAATACTTATTTATATTTACACCTCTAGTAAGATGTAAGATATGACTGGCATGTATCCGCTTCATAGTAATATCAATTCTTTTGCAATAATATACGTCCTATTTATTAGATTAGCAAACCAAGGGATTCGAATGGGCGTAAATTTTCGCTGGATGTGAAAAACAAAAAATTAAAGTTTAGAGATCTGCGTAATTTCAAAATTTAACCGCTACAAATCTTTGAAATCTTTTTTGCAACAATAAAACACACTTAAAACCATGAACAATCAATTAAATATCAAAAAAATAATGTATAACAAGCAAAAAAAGTGATGATTTTGCCCAGGATCGAACTGGGGACCTTTCGCGTACCGGTAAATTTGTTAGGCGAACGTTATGACCAACTAAACCACAAAACCAGCTGTTTTTGCCCTTTTTGGCGCCAGAAACACCGATATATATGAGTTCAGCTTATTGATTGCTTACGTAATCACATTTAAAATGTATTAAATTTGAATTAAATCTTTTAATGTTGTGTTTTTAAAAAGGCTGTTACTAGTAGTATTATTACTCATTATCTGAGTATTACGTTGTCTATTAAAATCTTTGAATTTCGTAATTTGAAATTTTGAGAATTTTTCTTCATTTCAATTTTGAGTTAAATATTGTGGAGTTAAGATACCTAATTTGTGATATCTTAAAATCTCGAGTTTGAAAAATTGTATATTTTGTGAGTTTATAGCTCCCATTAGAATTAATGGACCTTTAGGAATGCCTCAGTGTTTGCAAATCTTGGAAAAGATGCTATTTTATACACTTATTATGGGCTTAGTAGTACTGTACCGGAGCTATATCCCGGTCCGCGGTTGATGAAATATACGAACGTCGATATCATTTTCGCTTTAAATTGACGTTGTGCTTAATTAACTCAATTGATGGTCAAAGTTGTACAATTGAGTTGATTTAGTAGGCCAGAAAAAGTCAATGAGACCAAGTTATGTATTGTTTTGAGCTAGTCTATTTCCCTTTTAGTCATATCTGATATCTAGATTTGAACCAAAAGTAGCCGTGAATATAATCTGATTTCGAAGATCATTGTTCCGTACATCAACGAGAAAATAAGATCCAAAACTAATGTGTATTTTAGTTATAATCTTATCTAGATTAGTAGGCTTTCAAGGGTTTTCACTCGAACGGATTAGTTATAATATTATCTAGATTAGTAGGTTTTCAAGGGTTTTCACTCGAACGGAGCAGCTTGTTGTAGCTCATCAGAAGAAATTGAGAAGTAATGACTATATAATAATTCAAATTGGGAAATGATACTGAAGAACTCAAAGCTTAGCTCGAGCTCTAGAGATGTGTATAAAAGACACCCAATTCCTCTTAAGCTTAACAATGATTTTTATTTTGTACACTCTTCAATTACCAAAGCAAACTTGAAGCATATTGAGATAAATACAATTTATAATTTATAATGCTTTTGAATCTTCTACAATTACTCATCTTGGGTTCATTAATCTTGAGCAATGTCAAAGTTTTTGGATTTGTTATTCCAACTCATGGTGAAAATGTTAATAATACAAAATCTATTACCCATTCAACTGTTGATGAAACTGGTGCTGAGATCACTGATCCTGAAACTCTTTCTAAAATTGAAATTAGTTTAGATTTTGTCAATAATCCAACTCATTATGAAATTTCAATCAATGATAGGTTTAACGAAACTATTGGTAAATTTAACAAAAGAGATGTTAATTCTTGGGTTAGTGAACATCAAGGATTATTTGCAGTTTCTGGTTTGGCTGTCAGTGTTGTTGGGTTGGTGAATACTCCAGTCTCGAGTGTTATCTGTGGATCTGCTGGTGGTTTTAGTTTTGGAAGTGCATGTTTCAATTGGGCTGCTACTATGGTTGTCACTGTCACTGGTGTCTCATACGCTGCTAATGTCTACTCTGATACTGAATATATTCAAAATCATCCATTTACTAAGAATCAAGGTGTTTTAACATTAACAAGAGAACAAATTATTGAAGTTGCCGAAAAGCAAAAACTTCAAGAAGAACTTCAAGACGCTGTGAATTCTGATGATCCTGATGATTATGATATTGATCATATGAAAGATCTTATTTCAAGACTTGATGAATTAAAAGACATTCATGTGATTGATGAAGCTGAGTTAACGAGAGAGCATAGATTAAAGTCCCGTGGGGTTGAAGGTACAAGAGTTTCAGAAAGTCTTCAAGGTATCGAAGACGTTACGTTCTATAATGCTGATGTCAAATGTATTGTTAGCTCTAAATGTGGTAACTCAAGAATTAATATGAATTTTGGTAGAGTTAAATTAGATCAAAATCGTGGTTATGCTACTACACTTGATTTAATTCCAGGTCAAGATTATCAACATTTAGCTCAAAAATTAATTAAATCAAGTTTAGGTGAAGATGTTTCAAGGGATGTTGGTCTTCCTTCAGGTATTAAAGGTAAATTGAAAAGTTTCAAAAGAGATGCCTTTATTGCATTTAATTATGGTGCAGATGTTGATCAAAATTTACAAAAGATGAAAAATATGGATTTCCATCCAATCAAGGAATCTGTTAGAAAGACCTTGAGTGTTTTCAATCCATCAAAAGCATCTTATGGATATTGTGGTGTTGATAAAGATGAACTTGCTGAATCAACTGGTGATCATTCATTCTTTGGATATTTGAGTTCATTTGCAAGAGGTACCATCACTTTCAATAAAATTGGTGAAGTCAACGTTGATTGTGTTTCTGTTAGACAACATATCAAGAACCTTGCTCATAAGCCAAAAGAAGCAGCATCTCGTATCAAAGGAAAATTAGGTAGAGCCAAGAATTCAGTTAAAGAAAGTATCAAAGATTATGCAGGTATTGATGATGAAGAATATCCTGAATCAAATGATTATGAATCTGAATATGAAGATGCTAATGATTACGAATCAGAGTATGAAGATGCTAATGATTATTATTCAGGTGAATCTGATGCTAATGATGATGGTGATTATCATTTTTAGATATCCAATAATTTTTTATACCAATTGAACCATATTAAAGAAATCCCTAAGCATTTTTTTTTAAGTTGTATTATCCTATTCAATTGGTTTGTCTTCCATGTGTTTTGTATTGTTTTCTTTTATTTGTTTTATTTTCTTGTTTTGTTTTATTTGTTTAATTATTTTCTTGTTTCGTTAATTTTAATATATGCTTAGGGTCCAAACTAACCTGTAGTCTTGGTGATTTAATCAAGTATAACATCACCTACAACTAATCATCCACTACTGATATCTAAAATATATGATTGTTCAAAATAAGTATGTGTTCATTAAACTAATTTGTATTGTATAAAAATATTAAATAAGTTAGGTGAAAGTTCATCTAGAAACTTTCAAAGATGTATCTTTATATCCTTAATGATGGGGGAAATGTTTTTGAGTTCAGTCTTTTGCAAAATACCAAAAGTGAACGCCTATAATAATAATGACAGTATTGTAATAATATATATAAAAAGCGTAAAAGTATTAAAAATGAGTAAAAAAAATAAAGAAAAAATCATAATCATGGAAGGGAGAAGTAAAAACAAAAAAGTGGACAAAAAAAACCAAAAATAATGCATTTAAACTTTAAATCATTTTAATGAATTTATTGAACTTCTTGGTTAATTTTTGTTTGAACTGGAGTGAATGGATCTCTTGGTTTAAATTGTAATAATAAATCATCTTTTGGGAAAATTGTGGCGAAAACACGAATTTCTTCAGATAATTCAGTAACTTTATGGATTAAATCATTATTCAAGATAGCTTTACCTAATAAAGCAGTAAATGTCATGAAAACATAAGTTTGACCAAGACAAACATGAGGACCAGTACCAAAAACTAACCAATTCTTTTTAGCTTCACAAGCTTTTGAACCTTCAGTCCAACGTTCTGGAATGAATTCATCTGGATTTTCATAAACTTCTGGATCATGTAAAGCAGGATATAAAGTTGGGATAACCATTGAACCTTTTGGAGCTGAATAACCTTCATTAACTTGGAAACTCTTTTTAACAACATATGGAACCATAATAACTGGTGGTCTATAACGTAAAGATTCTCTAACAACCATATTAGTATAAGTCATTTTATCAATTAATTCTAAAGATAATGGTTTTGATGGATCATTATCACGAACAGCTAATTGTTCTTGTCTAATTTTTTCTGCAATATCTGGTCTATCAGCAACAATTTGGAATAACCAACAAGCCAATGAAGATGAAGCATCTTGAGAAGCGAAAAGGAAAGTGAAAATAGCTTCAGAAATTTCTTTATTTGAGAATTCTCTAACTAAAACTTTAGCATCTGGATTATCAGATTTACCCTTTTTAGCTTCTTCCATAACGTTGATCCAAGCATCTAAAACACATGTTGGTTTACCACCAGCACGGATATATTTTTTAGCTTCACCTGCACATTCAGCGAAAATCTTCATAGTCATATCAGCAGTTCTTTTACCATACCAAGTTTTAGTAAATGGGATAATAATTGGGAAATTAACTAATTCTAAAGCAGCAGTAACTAAATAATAATCATCTGCAACTTTTTTAATTTGATCTTCAGTAATATAATCACCACAGAAGGCTTTTAATGAAAGACCACACATCATTTCTCTTAATTCATGGAAAAACACAGCAGTACCATCTTTTGAAATTTCTCTAAAATGATTTAAATAATGATCCATTTTTTCTTCTTGAGATGGTAAATAAGCAGCTAAAGCTTGTTTAGTGAAAAGACCATTCAAACCTTTTCTATAATCAACATGAGCTTTACCATCTAAAAAGACCCAATTTTCAGGTCTCAAGATTTTAATTGCAACATCAACAACACAAGGTTTAACATATGAAGGAGATTGGAAAATTTTTCTTGCAAGATCTCTATCACTTGCAATGACAACGAATTTATGGAAAATAGAAACACAACTTAATGGACCTGAATCCCATTTAGCTTTGTATTCTTCAAATTTTGGATCTAAACTTTCCAAGAATGGACCAATAACTGGCCAAATTTTAAAACGAGGACCAGCGATGTTACCTTTTCTAATTTGATACATCACTTGATCATAAACAAGCCCAACGGCAAGTGCTGTAAAGAAAACTTTCCACCATGATAAAGTCTTGAAGAATTCAATAACTGATTCCACAGTTAAAGATTCTTGAAATGAGTGTAATACGGGACTTTGGAAACTTTCAGAAATGTTCTGACTCAAAGTGTTGATGATTGTGGCCATGATTGCAGAGCAGCGACAGTGACTGGGAGCCCCTTTTGGAAGTGAATGTGTAGCAGCAACAGCAGCAGAAGCGCTTTGAAAAGAAGGTATAAAACACAAATGAAAATGGTTCAACTTATAGGAAGAATTCAAATTGTAATCAAACGATTTGAAAACAAAAAAATTAAGGAAAATAAAAAAAGTTAAACGAGGAAAAGCTTGAAAAACATCCGAATTAGGAAAGTATCCATATTAGGGAATGTCGCGTTAAACTTAACGAAATTTTGCGGAAGACGGAACGAAAATTTGCATTGTCTTTTCGCGCCAAAAAGATAAGCTCATACATATTCTACAAAACAAATCAGTTGATGAATTCTGTCGTTTAACCATTTTAAATCACGTATAAATTATAATCTATTATAGTAAAATTATATTTCACTTCCATTAATGCCATACGGTGTCTCCTATTTTAAAAGATGGGATATGTCTTGGTTCATTAGCCCCCCTTTCAGGAGTTGCATCTTTGCCTAGAGTCTCATTACATGTAAAACAATCTTTTGTTTGTAATCTTTCTCGAATACTATCTAATTTTGGGTTTGATCTTGGTTGTTGCTGTTGTTGTTGTGATGGGGTATGTATCTTTGTAGAGCTTGGTGGTGATGATTTTTGTTTTTCTGCTGTATGTATCTGTTGTAGTGGTTGTTGATTTGTAAATTGTGGTATATCATCATGTTTTAATTGTAATGCCAATTTCTCCAATTCTTTATTTAATTCATATTTTTTAATCTTATTTTGTTCTCTTAATTGAAGTTTCTTAGTAACAATATCCACTTGTTGTTGTAACTCTTTCAATTCAAGACTTTCTTTAACAATTAATTCATCTTCTTTTGGTGAAGTTTCATCTAAATCTTTAGAATCATTAGTTACTGGTTCATCAACTTGTTTTGTTTGAACTTGTAATGATAAATTTTTTAAAAATTCAATTTCATTTTTAATATAATCAAATTTTGAATCTTGATTTGTATTGATTTTAGAAACTTCATTTTCAAGATTTTGAATTCTTTCTTCAATTTTTGTTGTTGCAAATTGAACTTTTGGAGATTCTTTAATATTATTTTGAGCATTGTTCACATCTTCATCATCATTAACACCATTGAATATATCTTGTACATTTTCAGGATCAAAATTGTATTTTGGACTTTCAGGAACTGATTGTACTTGAGCTTTTGTAAAGTTAAGGGATTTCTTAGCTTCAGTTAATTCAACTTCAGTTTCTTTTTGTTTTGTTTCAAGTTGAACTACCTTTTGTTCAAGATCTTTCTTTTCAGATATTAACTCTTCATTTTTAAATTTTAAATCATCATTCAACCTTTTATATTTAACAAGTTTTTCTTTCAATCCATTAGCAAAACCATTCAATATTTGATTTTCTTTACGTTCTTCTTTCAAATTAGTTTTCAAGCTTTCATTCTCTCTTATGATTTTTTCAATCATATTTGAATTGATTTTCACAACATCATCCACGGGTACCTTATTTCCAATGTTTTTGAATAATCTTGAAGTTGTATCACTTGTTGTTTGTTGATAATTTGAACGTGCTTTTTGTTTTTGTTTTGACAGATCTGGAGAATCACCAGCAGATGTTAAATCTCTATATTTATTAAAGAATTGTTTTTGTTTATGATGGAATGTTTCAGAATCTTTTTCATTTTGATTTTGAAATTGATATTGGTTTTTCAATGGTGAACTTTTGAATGGTTTAGAAACTTCACTTCTTCCAATCTCTATAGAATCATCTAAAAATGCATACTGAGGTTTGACTTTACCAGGTGTTGGTGAATAATCCATCTTGATTGATTGTTGTATATGTTTGATATATGGTAAGTAGCTTAAATAGTGTTTGAATTCCAATGAATATGAATAAAATTGGCTTTAAATCTGTAGCAAAAATGTTGATATGAAATATGAAACCAAAAAAATGTATATGATGAGTTGACAAATAAAGCAGTAACGAATGTGCACTTTTTGAAGCTTAGTGATAAATCTGGTGATGTGAATATGAGAATGATAAACACCAATTTCCTTTTAGAGGGCTTAATAGGTCAATATTGCTTATCTCTTTCATTGTTTTGTTTTTGTGTTTTGATTTTGTTTACTTGAAAACGCGCCTAAATTTTTGGTGCGCGATTGCTAGACTTCCATATTAGGAAATAAAAGTGTAAAATATACTGATATTTCCCAAAGGGCAATTCCTATATACTGAACAAGATGTAATGAACTAAATGTTGAGCAAAGTGGACTCTACGATGATTTGAAACATCTTATGTACCTCTTCATTGGGCTCAACTCAATTGCTTTCAGTTTCTATTCAATATATCGATGTTCAGAATCTTGGATCAACATTTGGTCGCGATTTCTATGAGCTTTATCAGAACTTTTAACCTGATATAAAGTACATCCAAAGAACTATATGATCTCATGCTTTCCAATCTACATTGTGAAACTGTTGTAAGAAGAATGATTGTGATTGCACATCATTGCCCAATTGACTGATTTTTAATCTCAATATCAAATAGTTAGAGAAAATCAAAGACTATCAAGATTGTCAAAAATGAGAACATTTGCAGGTCAATAATGAAAATATTTTCAACTATATTAAATCCTAAAGGTATTTGTTGAATGTAAATTTGGTTTCAATTAGTTGGTTAATACTCTTAAAGGACAGTCTTTTCAATAATACTTCAAAATGGTTGATATTGAAAAACTCAAAGAAAGGGAAGAAAAACATAGATTTATTGAAAAAAAATTAGCTGGTATTGATTATCAAATCGTTTGATTATTAGGTCCAAATAGAGAATATATGGGTTCTTTTGATGCAGTTAGAAATGATGATAACTTACAAGATAGAAAAATGTTGTTTATTGAAGGTCCTTATCCATTAGATCAAAGAATTGATGTAGATGATGAGGATGATGAAGATCTTACGGATTATGAATACAAATCTGATTCTAATTCTGATACCGAATCAAATAAGTCTAGCTCAGTTGATGAGTACTCTTTGAATAATGCCTGTAATGGGTTTGATAAATTGAGATTAAATGAGAATATTACACCATTCAGAAGATATTCCAAAAAAATTAGAGTTAAATGTTATCCATTTGGTGTGGAAAGAAGGTTACCTGTTTCTTACGAATTCAGTGAAGGTAATATTGATTGCAATTATTATTTCAGATTAGTTGAAGATGAAGAAGATGAACATAAAGAACCTTTAAATGGTGTTCCATTGAATGATCCAAGATCTAGCCTTATTGAAATCTTATCAGATAGTTATAGATTAGAAAATGTTGAATGTTCAACTGATACGAATGCTCTTTTTGCAGATGGTTCAAGTTTACCAAAAGGTCAAAGATTTCAAGCTTATGATAAGAATAAAGAACTTTATCCAGTTTTCCAAAAATATTATTCTCCAATAGGTAGTTTAAGAAAATTTAAATTTGCACTTGGTTTAAATTCCAAAAAATTAAATGTTAGAAAAGTTATTGAAAATTTATTGAATATTATTGAACATACTGGTGGTAATCTTGAAAGTGAATATAATGGTTATGCTACTGAATATAGAAATGAAACTCATTCATTCTTTGTTATTGGTGGTACCAAATTGAAAGATAGCGAAGTTCAAGATGTTTTACGTAAAGCGGTTGAAGAAAAATTCAAGAATCCAGAAGATGAAGGTGAACTTTTTGATGATGGGAAGACATTGTTCATTCCAGGATATATTACGTACAAGAAGTGTGACAATTGAGAACATCATTCCATTATGACTTGTATATTAGACCTATTAATTTTGGTTTTAGTTTTTGCTTTTTCCATGATGGTATACATGTAGCGGTTTTGTGGTTACAAAAAAATTATTGTGTTTATGCAAACCCATTTAAAAAAAGTTAAACAATCAATGAACTTTCATATTCCTATAGTACTAGTGCAATTAAAATTATTATAAATCTCGTCAAGGACTTTGCTAGAAATCATTTATAAATATGAACTTGAGATCTTTATTTGCAGCGTTTTTGAGCATCCCAGAAACAATTGAAGGTTGTTTACAGAACCTGATATACAATGATGAAGTGTTTTCTAATACATTCGTTTTGGTTACTCGTAAGAATTTTGTTAGACTTGGTTTTGCAGTTTTAAATATGTACTTCATTATATCTTCGGTTAATTGGGTTCTTCAAAGTATCGTGAATGGTGGTTTACCATCAGATCTGTCTCAAAGCACTGATTTCTGGGTTTGCTGTTTATATGGACTTACAACTTTCCCCAAAATAAAATATTTGGTTAATATATTGGTGAGTGCTATATTCGGGTCTTTTTTGAGTGCTAGAAGTATGGATAGGATTGAGAATGGAGTGATTAAAGTTCACACATTTGCTTTATTAACAATAGCCGTATTCCTTTTGAAAGAATGCATTTGCTGGTTAATCAACTGGATATTTGGTGAAATTACCTTTTAAGAAGACTTCAAAAGTGTCTCTTTGTTAGAGTAGTGAGCCATCAAATCTTCAAAGTGTCATATAAATATAGTTCATAATCATCAAATCTCATAATCACCAAATCTCATAATCACCAAATCTCATACATCCACACCAAAGCTACAATCAACATTCAAATTAAAAACCAATCATCATTAAATTAGACACAATTTCAACCTATTTCTCAATAATACAAACATAAACCAATAATCAAGAGTGCTTATATATTCCATCATTTATCAACAAACCAACAAACCAACAAACCAACCAACCCAGCGGCTAATGCAATTATATATCAAATGTAATAAGAAAAATCATAAATCTAAAGGAAAAACGTCAAAACATGAATCAGGGTTCTCTTCAATTTTTTATTTCTCATTTAAATATTGTTTCAAATATCATTGTTTCCATTTTATATATTACGACATCATTTTTGTATTTCCAATTATTTGTAGATTCACAATATTCCAAAACAACCACAGCGGCTAATTAAATTCATGATCATATAAAGTGAGTGCAATTTCTCAATTCAATTACAACTTCAGCGGTGAAAGCCAATTCATTATTAATGAGCCCAAATCATATTGGAGAGAGCACAGTTGAATGAAGGAAGAATAATAATGGATGAAGTTGACTCATTGAGGGTCTCAAATGAAGGGACACAACAACTGCAAAGAATCATGACCCCAACAAACACTCAATCAGGAACAGCAAGACAGATTCCAGGGGACAATGATACTGATTTTTGGTATTGGGCTTTTATGAGTATGGTTATGTTGGAGCTTTTGGTGATTATGCTTCTGCTTGCAATCTGGTCTTTATCAAAACAATATGGTGCTCCTTTATATTTGTCATTTTTCTACATGCTGTTAATGAGTGTGATTTTAAGAGTATCCAATCCATTAGAAAGATGTTTCCAAATCATTTCCCGCTCGAGCATACAAAACCCTTACTATATCAATTCAATTACTATTATTATATTTGATTTAGGTTATTACTTTTGTCTTATGTTATCATTATTTCATTTTCTTGGGGGAACATACAAAGATCTCAATTTGATTATTACTAAAATTTACATCAAAATTGGAAACCATTTTGAAATTCCACATAGAATGAAAATATTAAAAGTCACAATCGATCATAGATATGGTTTCACTTGTTCATCAGCCCATTGTTCAAATTTTGAAGCAGTACCATCAGCTAGCCCTTGATTTATATCATCTCTCAATTCCTTGAATTGACCCCAAGGTCCAATATATCTACCAGAATCTTTCAACTCAATATCTGGATTCAAAGCACCAAATAAAACAGAGTAAGAACCATAAACAGGTGGATATGTAACAGTTTTCCAAATATAATCACCAACAGATCCAAGTGATCTAGATAGATCAGAAGCCAAATATCCAGGATGAACAGAAAGACTTATAACCCCATGGTTTTTTAGTCTTGTTGATTGAACATATGATTGATAAATATTACCAGTTTTAGATTGTCCATAAGCTGCTCTACTTTGTCCAAATTCACCATCTTTAAAACTTTCCCAGTTTATACCACCATTAGCTGGTGAGGCAAAATGTGCAATTGAAGCTAACCAAATAACTCTTGGAATGAAATTTTGCTTTGCATCAACACCATTTATAATTAAAGGTTCAATTAATTTGTTTAATAGATGATGACCTAAAACATTGGTACCTATTTGTAATTCATATCCTTGTTTACTGAAAGAATCTTTTGGAGGTCTCATAACACCAGCATTATAAATTGAATAATGAAGTTTATCAAATTGTGAATTATTTGCAAAAAATTTCTCCACTGCAGGTTTTATAGTTGTTAAATCACTTAAATCAGCTTGAATTAAATAAATTTTAGAATCTAAATCCATATCAACTAATTCTTTTTTAATTTTGGCAACTGAATCTAAAACTTTTTCTTGATTTCTATTAACCATAATAACTGTAGCATTTTGTTTTAATAAAGCTTTGGCAGTTTCATATCCAATACCTGAACTTGAACCTGTAATTAATGCAATTTTATCACTTAAATCAGGATAATCTTTTGGTAAAAACCCTGGAGCTGATGGACTTGCATCTTTAAGTGCTTCTAGAAGGAAGCTAACCATGATGAATATCTATATATGAAGTGATAAAATATAGAGAGTTGGATCACTCAATTGTAATCTTTGATAGTTGATGTTTAACCTTTATGTCTTTATGTCGCTTTTAAATTTGTTGATCGTGATATCTTAATCTCCTTGATTTCCCAATCGGGTAATTAAAGTGTACATCCATAACATTGTCACATAATTTATCAAAATTTCGAAATATATTGATCTAAATATACACAATGAATGTTAAAGCTCGAGCCTGTTGAATTTGTGTCTAGATGAAGCATCATAAGTATGGTTCAACCTGTTCATCAGCCCATTTTTCAAATTTAGCAGCTGTACCATTAGTAAAACCTGCTTCAATATCTTCTCTAAGTTCTCTAAATTCACCCCATGGACCAATATATTTACCAGAATCTTCCAATCCAATATTTGGAGACAAAGCACCAAAAAGGACAACATAAGAACCTTTAACTGGATGATATGTAGTTTTTTTCCAAATATAATTAACAACACTCCCCATTGATCTTGCAGCATCAGAGCCAATATAACCAGGATTAATTGTAAAACTTAAGACACCTTGATCTTTAAGTCTTTGAGATTGGATATATGATTGATATGTATTTGCAGTTTTAGATTGTGCATAAGAGACAGTAGAATCTGATAATTCAGCATTTTGGAAACTATCCCAATCTATACCACCATCTTTTGGAGATGAAAAATGTGCTAATGAACCTATCCAAATTGTTCTTGGATTGAAATTTGTGGATTTATCAACAGCATTGAGTAATAAAGGTTCAATGAATTTGTTTAAAAGATGATGACATAATGAATTGATACCGATTTGTGCTTCATATCCTTGTTTTGTAAGAGTACCTCTTGGTGGTCTCATAACACCAGCATTATAAATTGCATAATGGATCTTGTTTATTTGTGTTTCTTTGATTAATTTTTCAATTGCTGGTTTGATACTTCCTAAATCACTTAAATCTGCTTCAACTAAATGAATTTTATCGTCATTAATATTAACATCAAGTTCTGATTTCATTTTGGTAACAGCATCTTGAGATCTTGTTGTACTTCTATTAATCAAAATCACCGTTGCCTTTTGCTTTAATAAAGCTTTAGCAGTTTCATAACCAATACCTGAAGTTGTACCCGTGATTAATGCAACTTTATCGGTTAAGTCTGGATAATCTTTTGGTAAGAATGTTGGTGGATTTGGTCTAAAATCTTTAAATGCTTCAGAAAGAGCGCTTACCATTTTGAATATTTGTGAGTTTATGAGTTATCCTATTCAATCATTGATAATTTCTCAGAAAATAAGGTTAAGTGAGGAATGCTTCTCTATTTGTAGTCCTTTTCAAAAGCTTGTTTTGATAATCGTTAGCCAATATCTGCATGTTTTATTGGATTAACTTCAAACTATCTTCACCAGCAATAAAGTCGGCCGTATAGGTCAAATTAGTACAAAATTCAAGGTTGAATTCCTTAAAGAAGACGTAGTATCCATGACATGAAAAGTTTTCCACTGCAGTTTTAAAATTTGGTAACCAGGTAACCATTAAATAAAGTAAGCGGAATATTTTCACGTCGTATAAGTACACGCGTAAGGATAATGGCTATAAGTGGGATAGCGGCTTTTATGTCAAGTGGCAGCTAATAGCTCATGTAGTTGAAGATGCTTTGAAAGCTTTGAAGGACGATTATATTTGGAAGATCATGCGATATAACAGCTAGATTTTCAGTTGGACCTGAGACTATATTATGACTATTATTATAACTAGATATTCTACTACACATGATATATGAAAAACCGTCGTTGAAAAAGAATATTATCCCATGTATTAATCAGTTCATCTGTAGAATCAACCAGTTATGTATTTACTAGTCTCAACAGAATAAAACAGTTAATTTGCGATAGTGAATTTGACAAATGCTTTATTTTCAAAATTCTTCATATATAAGCTTATAGGTCGATACTATGATCACCATATTGACGCTATATGAATTTCTCAAAGTAGCATTTTATATTTTTGTTAGTATCTTCATCCATGAACTAATACATATCCCATCTATCATTACATAAATATGGAGCAACAAGTCCATATAGCTGTTTCAAAAACGAACGGGCCGTAGGTGCAATAAAAAGATCAAATCCAAAGCGCTGGAAAACAGTTTATCAAAGAGTTGAAAGCTGAAAAGTAAAAGAATAATTTTGGGATTTGTTCAAAACGTTCGGTTTTACCATGAAAAAAAAAAAGCCAGATAGCTTACTAAGCTTATAAGGAGTGTAAGTACCAACATCGAGCATTTCATTTTATTGTTCTTTTGCTTCATCAAACGTAGACACTTGACAGTAAACGCTCTTCAAGGGGTTTAATGGTATCATCAGCAGCTAGCTTATCAAAGATGACAAATATCTTAGAGATGTTTCCCTTTGAGATAAAGGTCTTATTCCTTGAACAATACTTGGTTGAAACAGATGATATATTGAACTATTTACAGGTTGTTCCTTCGATGAATTCCCATTTTAAAGCTAATTTCAGGGTGGTTAGTGATAAAATTAATCACACAAAATACAATATGTTACCAGAAGGTTGTTTGATATCCCATGGGAACTCCAATGAGCTAGCCAATGCTTTGAGAGAACCTCAAAAGTTTAAGGGTCTTGTCTTAATGGAATGTCATGACTATGGAAATATTGCACAATTTTATCTTGATAATGATTTGCAGAATTTTCTCGAAGCAGTTCATGAACAAACAATATTCAGATATACCTTTTATGGGTCATACCGCTTCTCAATCTTGCCTGATGCAATGCTGAGGGAGTTTCTAGACTTTGATTTGAATCATAGAATATCTCATATTAATTTTCCAGATGTTGAGGTATTACCTTCATTCCATCACTTACCAAATACAAAAATTGCAGTCAATTTTCGAAAATTGAAAGAAGTTAAGTATATGTTGTCCGAAAATTTTGCTCAGACTTTTTGTTTCAATATTGAATATTCTAGAGCTCTGGAATCTTTATCACTTGTGAATTTACACGAAGAATTCACATTACCCAAATCGTTTAGGTTTCCAAAGAGCTTAAAGCTTGTTTCATCTGCTTCACATCCTATGGATTTCAAATCTCAAGGGCTATTGAAATCTCAATGGATTCAAAATTTAGAATACTTATCGCTTGAAGATTCAAGAGATAGGCATCCAACCACCATTTCAATGATTGATTTGAACTTCCCGAAATTGAAAGAGTTCAAATTGGGCCCCTGGCTAAATAATGGAATCACTTTTCAAAATTTCACCGCAGACTCATTAATAAAATTTTCTATTTGTTCATCAAGAACTGATGTGACTATTAATGGCTTTAGGGCACAAAATATTGAAAATTTTGAAATACTAGCAAATTCGTTTATCTCCAAAGGGTTTGAAAATATCACCAATTTGGATTATTTTAAAGTTGATTTGCAACAACCACCGATGTTCTATTTTGATGAAGATGCTAAAGAATACAACGACTGGTCTTTTCTAAGCATGGCTAGGAATGGATCAATTACAAGACATCAACAGATTTTACAATGGTTGGAAATGGTTAATCTAGAGCAATTAGAATTGTTGGAGGTTAACTTTGTCTCATTATTTTTTGACAAAGATAATAATGCCCGATTTCCCTCGTTGACAACCCTTCATATAGACGGATATTCTCATGGTGCATATGCAGTATTTTCTAAACTAGATGCTCCCTTCAATTTTAATGCTCCACAGCTCAAGTTCTTACACTTTGGATGTGAATTATTTTTTAAAAACTTATATACATACATCAGTCAAATTTTTCCCAAACTTGCTGAGCTGAGTGTATCTTATAAAGGTAATGGATCACATTCTATGAAACCTGGACCTTTAAAGATCAATACTACTGCAGTTTTTGAAAATCTTGAAAGTCTAAAGCTTAAAATGTGTGAGCGTCCAATAATACTATCAAAATGTGGATTTCCTAAACTGAAAACTTTGCAATTAATCAATAATGGTCATCCCTTTAAGCAACTCGAATTCAAGAAGGTAATTGCTCCAAAATTGAATGAATTAACCATCGAAAATTACAGTATTTCATCAGTTGGTCCATTTACAAATAGGATATACCCAAAATTAAAATCAATCATAATAAAGAACTGTCAAGTAACTTCAGGAATCGAGATTTTACCTTTTAGAGTTTTGAAAAATGTCGATGTCAAACTTGTATACTCAAACATTTCATAGTGGGTTTTTATGAACATTGAAATCATTTAGCACATTAATTCTAGGTAGTAATTACAAACATCACACTCACATTTATGGCGTCGACTCTGTTAACTTAGTATTCATAAGCGCTCTTAATTATATACACCGTTCCTGATGTTCAATATGGTTAAACTGACCAACAAAATACTTTGCGGTATAAAGTTGAGAATAATTCGGCGGTACTAATTACATCAAAATACACGAACATATACACAAACATATACAGAGCTGAACCTCATAATTTGGGTTAATAATATTTGTATTGGAACTCACATCAATATTTCTTTCATCCCAGAGCTCTTATGTCCTTCATACGTATCAAAACATCAAAACTGTGGTTTTCGAAGTTTTGGACGTATCTACTATCTAGTACACTATGAAATTGTATGATGATATTTTATTCACACACTTAATAGTGCACCCTATACTTACTAGGCCAATATAATCATACAAGCTTTTGAGCTTTGTATACAATAGCTCATGGCTATATAAACACTCTATTTGTCTCATAATAAAGCCTCAGTAATTGAGATGTTTTGAAGAGAAAATTTAGAATCCAAAATAATTGACAAATGAGAGCACTAACTAAACAACAGAAAACCACAACACGAGCATAATGTAGAGATAATTATGAAACAAGTATAAAGAATAGACGTTTCCATTTTCCTTCCTTTCTTCTTCTTTCTTTTGATTCACACATTTTTAAAATAATCGCTATACCCATTAGAAACATTCAATATGACTACAACATTTTTAGATTATCTCCCAATTGAATTACATCAGGAGATTATTGACAACGTCTTGAACCCTCAAGATCTTATAAGCTACATATCAGCAATTCCTGAATTGAGAGACATTTTTATGAAAAGATATGTTCGTATAATCGCCTTTTCAGAAAAGAGATTGCCCTTCTCGTCAAAGATTCCAAAAGAATGTTTGATTACATTTCGTGATTTATGTGTTCCACAAAGGCTTTCAGAAGCGCTTGATAACTTTAGAGGTATTGTCATTTTGGATTGTGAAACATATTTACTCCCAGTTCTCGATACAGCTCAAGTTTTTTGGAGGTTCCAAGAGTGCATTAAGAAGAATCCTAACTCAATCAAGTTAAAGATCAACATCAGAACTGGGAATAATGGTAATGTTAGATACGACTCATATAATGAGCCAGCCAAACTTCTCCTGGTAGGCGTTACAAGGTTACCAAAAGGGGTTGTTACCTATTTGAGATTGCCAGTGAATAATTATATTTTACTAAAGGAAACAAAAGTAGAACCGATCATATTAGATTTACTAAAAGCATCAAGTAAGGATACAGAGTCAATTAGTATTGAAGAATCTTTGAGCAATAACACTTTAGATATTTCAGAATATCCATGTTTGAAGTCTCTTACACTCGATGCCATAAGACCAAGGTTCAACTTCGATAATTCATTAGTTTTACCACAGGCATTCAATATAAAGAATAGCGGACTCAACATAAAGCTCAATTCTACAATGTGTTCCAGGCTAGAATATTTGGAAGTGACTGAAACTGATAGTCAAATTGGTACACCAAGTAATGCTATTTGTGAGCATTCACTTGAAAATTTTGAAGCACCAAGATTGAAAGTTATCAATTTCGACTTGAATAAAAGAATAATTTCATCAATTCGCAATATAAAAGCTCCTTTATTAGAAAGCATTACTGTCAAATCGAATAATAACTTCCACTTGGGGTCTATAAAGGCTGAAAATTTACAAAATCTTCATATAAAGACTAAATCATTCCAATGTGACGGTCTCAAAGATTTCTCATCTTTACGTCAATTTAATATCTCATTTAGCGAGGATTATGATAAAGATTCAATAGATGATAACATTTCTAAAAAATCAGACTATTCATTCTTAGAAAACGCAGAGTTTGGTGAAATTGAGAATGGTCATTACATTTTGGAGGGATTACATATGAAAAATCTCAAAAGCTTACGCTTGAAGAACAACCCGATCTCAGATAAGTATCCAACTAATGCATCATTCCCAAACTTGAAGAAGTTAATGCTTGACAAACATACCGTTCCAAGTTATTGCAGTTTAGATTCACCAAATTTAGAGGTTTTGTGCCTTCAAAATTGTTCATATTTAACATCCATGAAAAGCATATGTGAACACTTTCCCAATTTAACCCATATTAGCATGGATGGATTGCGTTCTTTTGAAATTGGAAACTGGATGTTGGAAAAACTTGAGTTTCTTTCTGTAAGCGTTCGTTCATTACGAGTATCAAGATGTTATTTTCCAAAGCTTAGAAGTTTAAACTTATCAGTGAATGATATTTTTGAAGAGCCTTTTGCTTTTGACTTCAGTGATATTGTCGCTCCTGAATTGAAGGCTTTAGCTTTTACTGGTAAAGGATTTGATACTGATTCGGTTCTTGTAACTAAAAGAAGGTTTTATAGAAACTTACAAAGTTATTTCATTAGCTCATATAGCGAAAGGATTGGTATATGGCCTGAAAGCATCAACAATGATATGAGAATATTCAAGGACATAGGAAATGGTGATATGGAATGAAACGACAATAGGAGAAAGAACTAGAAATTGATAATATGACTGTTTGATCAGAGAATCTTTTTACATAAATAGTTTACACTAAAACAATAAATAATCAATATCTAACAATTGTATTGTATGTAGCAGTTGACCTATATACAGGCATCGGCATTTATTATGGTCTTGTACAGTAATTACAAGATTTACCAAGCCACTAGTTGGTCATAATATAATTCAATCAATTAGCTATCACAGTTGATGCCATCGTATCAATTAATACCCTAGCTATAGTACATACATTCAGAGGTATTACTTGAATACTGTGCTATTATACTAAACTCTATAATATCAGTTGCACCAGCGCGTATTACATGAGAGGATTTCCAGGTTTCATGCAAAGAGCTCAGTAAACAGAAACACTATAGTTCTTTTTTATGCTCAAAAAATATAATATAAAACAAAACAACTTTTCTGTGTATGGCGGTGAAACTTTTAGTCTCTCTTGTAACAATCATAAGTATTCCAGAGCAATATAAATACCCATTATGACTACCACAATTCTAGATTTTCTCCCATATGAGATCCATCTTAAGGTTATAGACCATTTGAAGGATCCTGACGATTTGATCAGTTATTTAACCACCATTCCACTACTTTATCCACATATGGCTAGTTATATTCGTATTATCACATACTCAGAAAAGAAAGTTCAGTTTGATGCAACAAACATACCAAAAGATTGTTTTGTCACGGGCGATCAATTATGTGATCATAAAGCTCTTGATAGAGTCTTCGATGAATTCAAAGGAGTTGTTATCCTAGATTGTACCACCACCTTCTTTACCTTCTTAGATATTTCAGTTGTCTTAAAAAAAATTCAGCAGGTTATTCAAAAGAGTCCAAGATCATTAACGTTAAAAGTGAACATTCGGGCACCCAAGGCCGGAGTTAGTTTCACTCCCACTTATATCACCAATGCAAAGCTTCTCCTAACATATTTAATGGAGGTACCCATTGACAAGATCACACACTTCAGCATCCCATTAAATCATAAAATTAGTGTGGATGGGGCAGATTCTGTTCTCGATTTACTAGATAACACGCCAACCGCTGATGTGGATGATGTTAAAGAGCTTATAGTTGAAAGACACTTGATCAAGAGAGGAATTCTAGATATTTCTGATCATCCCAAGTTGGAGAGCTTAAAAATTGTTGGTGTTAGGTCGAGATTTAGATTCCATGATGGTTTTATCTTGCCTGAAACCTTAAAGATCGATAGAAGTGGGATTAACTTCAGACCCACTACTCAAATGTGTCAAAATTTGAAATATCTTGATGTGAATCATAGATGGACTCCCAAATCTTTAGAAGACTTTGATGAAGATGACTTTCGTAGAAATGACAATAACATAGATACACTAGGGGGTTTTGATGCACCAAAGTTAAAGGAGGTTAGTCTAACTTTTTTAGGTCATGGAATCAATGCTGTAAACAATATTAGAGCACCATCATTAGAGAAGCTTTTTGTGAGACAACTAGGTCTTATGGCTTTCAATTTGGGGAACATTGATGCTCCTAATTTAGAATCATTATATGTCAAGGCAAGCACGCTTGCCTGCGAAGGTATTGATGTGTTTCCAAGTTTGAAACGATTCTTTATTTCAGCTGGTAGTATTGATAATCATTTACATAATATATACAGGAATCGTGAAGCTCGTCGATACTACTTTTTAGAGAACTCAGTTGTTGGTGAAATTGAAAACGGTCAGCATCATCTTTTAGATGGTTTAAATATGAAAAATCTCAAGAGTCTATTCCTCAAAGGTTTTCCACGTTGGAGTGAATATCCAACATCAGCTTTGTTTCCAAGATTAAAGAAATTGAAGATTGTTTACGATCAAACATTAGGTACTTTTCCAAAATTGAATGCACCAGAGCTAGAAGTGTTGGTTATCCAAGGTTGTGCAAACTTGCGTAACTTGGACAATTTGGCTGAGAACTATCCCAAATTGAAATACTTGAGACTTGAAGAAGTTGAAAAAACGATTCATTTCAAAGATTGGTTTAAAAAAGATTTGGAATTTCTTTCAATTGATGCAGCCTCATTGAAATTTTCAAGATGTTTATTTCCAAAACTTCAAAGATTAAGGATCTACTCAACAGGTTCAAGGGGTCAACCACCTAAGGATGTTCAAATATTTGATTTCAAAGATATCATAGCACCTCGGTTAACCGATTTAGCCTTAATATGCCCGTATTGGAAGTTCGGTGGAAAGTTCTCTGATATTTTTGAGTCGATGTATTACCAGTTTTTGAAGAGTTATTTGATTAAAGTACAAAACCTTGTTACTGGATCATGGCCAGAAGGGTTGGATATGATTAGTATAGAGAACTCTGAAAAGATTGGTTACCGTTACCGATGTTAGATTATATGCCACAAATATAAGCGATGATTGAATATTAGTTAACATTAAGAGGCTTTGAATTATACATTTATACCCAAATATTTTTATTTTTTTCAAATGTAAACCCATACAGTGTGAATTCTTTAAGTTTAGACAGAGTCTAAAAAACCTTCTAGCATCATCACCGAAAATATAAAGAAACTCTTCTTTGAAAAACATTGTATACTCATTATACCTCAATGACTCATTATTATCGTAATTTTCTAATCTTGTAGTAAGGTTGAAATGTTCCGTAAGTTTTTGTGAGCATCCAGTGTGATACTCTTCCAACACTTTCAGGTTTGAATGTTTGATGAACTTTCTGAAAATTCTTGCGTTGATAATCTTGGAACTTAATTTGGATATCAATTCTGTTTGGTGATATGTTAGTTTCATCAAAGTGTTCTTTGCAGATGATTGATAAAGACAACGATAAAAATGTCTCAATTGAGTTCTTACAGGTCCAAAAACGACCAACTCTTCTAAGTTTGGAGATTTGACGGTGAACTCTTTTAGTTGTTCATATAGTTTTGCGTAATGATTGGTATGACAGTGATTACGGTAAGGGTCACCGGCATCAACATTTGGGGTCACAAAGTATACCAGTTTTTTCAACTTTTCAAATTTTTTTTTATTCCCATAGATAAAATGAATGAGAAAAGATGGGGTATGGTCATATTTGAATGCTTCTTCTTCTTCAGGGCTGACACTTCCGTATCGATCAACTATGTATGCTTCGTGTGTAACATTTCTGAAATCCAATGTTTCAAGATCATTAATATTGGGAAGCACTTTCTCCAAATTTTTCAATAAAGGTGATCCTAAGAATAAACTTCTTTTATCAAAGTTCATATTTGCAACTCCAAATGATTTAACATTCAACAATCTTATATTATTGTCAGCTAAACCTTGTAGCAAAAGACTCAAAATTTCATTTGGGGGAAATGGAAAGCTATTATCAGAATACTTAAATCTCACATTACCCAAGAACTTTTCATAATCTTCAGAATTCGCTTTTCTTCTTGAAAATTTTCTATTTTTCCTTGGTTGTTTCTTATACTCATTGAGGGCCTTTGATACCCCTGTTAAATAATGAACTTCAAATTGTTTCGAAGTCTTATTGAAAACATCATCATCTAAATCCTTTTCACCATCCATTTCAAGACCAATATCTGAGTCAACATCCTCTTCTGGATAATCACTTTCAACATCCAACCCGTTGGAACAATAAGGTGCCAAAAAATGTGTTGCCCTTGAATTACCATTCTCAAATCCGGTTAAATACGCTGTAGTCAAGCTTGAACCCTTGAACGTGCGACTTTCCTTAGTCTTGATTTGAAATTCTCATCTAGTTCACCTGATGTACCATTAATTTCTAATCTTTCTAGAGTTGAATTATCAGCTGATCCATTGATAGTGAGCATTTTAGCCAAAGTTGTGCAATACTCAATTCTGAAAGGTCTTGCATCTTGTTTTGTTACTTCTCTAAGAAAATTGAGCTTCAAAACTTTCAACTTTGGTAATTGTATATCATAATTTTGAGATGATCCCAAGAGTAGTTCTTCATTCATCCCAATTGAGAGTTCCCTTAAATTTGAAGTTATATTACTGTTCAATTGTACAAGTTTTTCAAAAGAGAGCTTATAACCGTGAATATACTTCAAACGAACAAAACTATTCATAACTATTGGCCAATGATTTTTCAGAGTTTCAATTTTACTTTTCAAGTCTGAAGATTTAGATTCATCATTTAAAGCACCTGGACTATAGAGACTATCCATTGTGATGATTTCCTCAACGAATTTTGCCCCTTCTGGTTCAATTAATAGACGTTGACTGGTGTAAATCTTGTTAAAAAACCTATTGATGGCTCCCCATCCATCTAATAAAGTTAATTTGTTGTTATTGGCTAATTGAGTAGCATAAGTACTATGTGTTCCTTCAGTAATGATGATTCTTTTGTATAATCTTGCCTTACAAGCATTTTGGAAATGTGAATGTGAGTATAATAACGATAAAGTATCTTTTTGAGTCAAATTCTTAGTTACTTCTCTCAAACATTCATCTGGTAACGATAAAATTGTTGTTTTAGCTCCATTGTATTGATCTAGGGAATCCACTCGACGCCTTTTTGGAGACCTTTCCGACATTCTTCAGGATCAAATATAGGTTCCACGACAAACAAAAGAATAATCAATTGGGGTTTTCAAACGTTCATGGGGACCTCACTCAAAACTTGATTGGAAAATTAGCGAGGCGCGACGCGTATAGATATTATATAATTTTTGAATCTAAATTACATAATCGGTCGCGAAAAGCTGTTGATGTAGTGTGCTTAACGATTAATCTATGGGTTTTAGTACTATTAACAATATACTACATCTGCTTCATCCCCTAGCTCTTCTGTTATCGAACTATTTTTAAAGTCCTTTTCCATTTCGTGGGTAACAAATTTTGGAAGCATGATGAATACATGCAACTTCATCCCACTAGAGCCTTACTAGTATCAGCAGGAGCTAGTATGATGAGAAGATTATTTTTTTTGAAAATACCTCATCTGGATATATTTGAACAGAAAACAGTGGTATTTGGAAGCTAAATAGAGATAATCCCCCAATCTCAGAAATTTCAAAAATGATGGATATATGTCAAGCACCGCATCCTGAAACATTCACTGAACCCTTATAGCTTAACAATTAAGATTAATCGTTATGACACATACAATATTACATTTCCTCCCATTTGAACTTCAACTTCATATATTAGGATTTCTAAAAGTTCCAGTGGATATAGTTAGCTACCTTGCTATACTTCCTCACTTGCAACACGAATATTCAAAACATGTCAGGGTTATTATCGATATTCCTCGAAATCCTATATATTCATCATTACCAGAAGAGTGTCTCTTGTTTTTGAAATCATTTAATAATAATTCGATTGTCAAAGCTATTCATAGATTTAGGGGGTTAGTCATAGTGGATCTTGATATATGTGATACATTTGCTTTAATGGATCTATTACCTTTGGTCTACGAGATTGATGAGCACAAGAAAAAAACTGTCCTTGCATCACATTTATCATTGAAATTTAATATAAGAAATGATGGTTTTTCTGATATTACAAATGGGTACACCGAGTCCTTTTTGAGGTGTATACGCAATATCCAAGATGGTGTAATAACTTATTTGAAGGTACCATTTAGAAGAGATCTCTGTTTACGTGGCTCGTATGACTCTATTTTAAAGATTCTAGAGCCTTCATATATGGTAAAGAGACTCACTATTAAAAATACTAACATCAAGTGCTTAAACACCAATAGACCATTTCCCAGTCTTGACCACTTGAAGCTTAATGAAGTAGGAGAGGAATTTAGCTTTGACCCAACATCAACTTTACCAAAAATCTTATCAATTGAGAATTGTAAAGCTGAGATTAAGTTGAATTCACATATGCTCAAAGATTCATTTACGATTAGCTATGATGATTCGGCTGAGAGGGAAGGAACAGGAATTGCATCTTTAGAAGACATCGAAGCTCCAAATTTGAGACTTTTAATGATTAGAGGCTCAATGTCACTACGTTCTATAAGACGTTTGAACGCTAAATTATTAACATTTCTTGATATCAGTTCACCTCATATTCAATTTGACTTAGGGCCAATGATAACAAAAGATGATATATCCATCAATTTATCACATACTGGACCTGCTCCTTTATTGGTTAATTATATTGAAGATGATTATGATTGAATCAAAAGAGCTTTAGTGGAAGTTGGCAAGCCTCAATAGCGGATTGAAGCGGAGATAACTAAGTTCTGGCCAAAAAAAAATCTTAACACCATTGACTTTTGAATCACTTTCGAGTCAGTTTCAAAATCAAGAAATATTTTTTCGTTCGGCTCTAGTTCTGGTAGAATTGTCTCTACAAGCATGTATGTGCTAATTTTGGCCTTTAAGATCTTTGGGTTTTCTGTTCGAGTCATTTGATGAACTATACCTTCTCAATATCCCTCAAGGCTTCAGATCCAAAATTTATTTAGATCAACTCTATATGTAGAGCAACCATTGTATATTTCCTAAAATAATAAGCTCCACTGACGAACTAGTAGATTGCTCCTCTAATATGTATACCAAACGACATGGTGTAATGAAGGTTTTTCAGAAGACATAAAATTGTTGATGTAGTGGGCTTACCGTATATTTAACCCTTAACAATAGGAGGTAAAATTTTAAGAAATACTTCACGAAACTTATTGCTATGTAGCAAGGTCAGGTTCAAGAAACGACACTTTGCTACAATATGTGTCCTACTTGCTTTTCCCTAATCTGGTAATTTGGGTTTAGTGGTTCATTTGAGAAGATTATTTGAATATTTCAAACTCTATCATATTTCCCATGTATGAACAGAAAATTTTTATGAGTTACTAATGCCAATTGATTTTTTTGGCTTTAAAAAGCCCGTATTCCCCTTGGGTATTGATTTATAGAATAAGTGATTAACTTATTCACCAATTGAGCTTTTAGCAAGCAAATCAAACGATATATTATTGAATTTTTAGATACAACCAACATGTCAGAATCAATACTACATAAACTACCACATGAACTTCAGCTCAAAATTCTTGATTTGATGAAAAGACCAGAAGATAAAGTCAACTACTTAAACTGTATGCCATCAATGTTTAGAAGAGAGTGTTTAAAAGAAATTCGAGTTATTACAGATCATAAAGGTATCAATTCATATTCAACACTACCAACAGAATGTGTTAATATTTGGACCGAATTATTGAATAACAATAATTTCATAAATTCACTCTCTCAGTTTCGAGGTCTTATTATCTTTGATATTGATATTGATATTGACAACCTTATGAGACCAAAGGGGGTAGAGTCTTTAGCTTTGTTAGTGAGACATCTCAGTATATGGAGCAAATATAAAAAATCTTTCACAATGGTTATAAACCTTTGGTATGCAGGTATATTCACACCTATCTATGAAAGTATTAATTGGTTTTTTTCGGCGTTATCTTCATTTCCAAATGGTGTTATCACTTATTTGAATATTCCATTTGCACGTTCTGTTTCCTTATCAGGATGGCTTTTTGAAATATTAGAACCTTCCAATTATTTACATTTCTGTACTATTAGATCATCAAATAAGAAAGATTTTGAGCTCAAGTCAAAATTTCCCAATGTTAATGTATTAAGGCTTAAAGACTTGGAAAAAGATTTCAGCTTCGATCAATCAATACCCTTACCATGTCATATAAACATTTCAGGTACATGTAAAGCACAACTTAGCTTTAATAGTGAAATGTTCAAGAATATAATAACATTTGCCTTTATGGATGATTCAAGTCTAGATGAGACTGGGATTGTTTCAATGGACAATATTGATGCTCCACAGTTAAGGGAACTTGTTATTAGTGGCTCGGCTACTCTTGATTCTATTACCAATTTCAAAGCAACAAATTTGGGTCTACTTGAAATTAGTCCATATCAAATGCCTGGACTTTTATTGGTGAATTTCTTGTGTCCAAAAGCCCTCTATTCAGAGTTATTAGATAGATATGGTCCTACTATGTGATGTACTATATATCATGAGGCCCTGAGAATTTACAAAGAATCAATATGCATTAAGTTTGATCGTTTAATCTTTATGCAGTAGATCTATTGAAGTGTTATAATGAATGTACTGGTATCGTGTAGTTCAACTCTTTAAATAGATTTCTGTCTTTCATTTGACTTGAATATTGGATCCACTAATTAATCAAAACGTTCAGCGAAGCTTTAGATCATTACAAAATAGTTGATAAGAGGAATAGTACATCTTTAGTTGATAGTACTTGCTTGATTCCGGGGTTATGAGCCCGGCTTGTTTACCTCTCAAGATTTTTTGGCGGCTCAAAGTATGCTTCAACTCAACAGCATACAAAGTATAGTAAGAGACATACTAGAAGAATTTGATTTTCATACAGAATGATTGTTGGGGCTCTCATTTGCACCAATTTCTCTGCGCTGAGTGAAGCTAGGACTTGTTTAGCTCTTTTTGAGTGTGTACACTTCGGCTGTTGGTTTTGGATATAATTTTGAGAATATTTCCAAAATGATAAGCATGAGTGAATAAACAGCTCCCAAGTGCTGATATATAAGTGTTTCATTATAGAAACCATATTATCATTGGTATTGCTTTGTTCTATCACTATTACAATGCAAAGATACAGAAAACAGAGTTAACTGCCATGCTTCCTCTTGAACTTCATTTTATGATATTCAACAATTTGAAAGTCCCAGACGATATATTCAATTATGTAAAAGCGTTCCCAGCTTTAAGTGGTCATTTTTCAAAATCTTTCATTGTGATTACAGATGATGAATCAAATGAAAGATACCAAAATTTACCAACTGATAGAGTCATAGATTGTCATATGCTTGATGTTAAAATCCCGAAAGGTTTTGGGTGGCTTGAAAATTTCAAAGGTGAAATCATTATAGATAGTATTAAAAACTTGGATTGGTTTAAAAGGAGATTCCGAAATGAATTGGAATATATTTTAATGATCAAGAATGAATATTTCATGAAGAATGGTAAAATTAATATCAATTTAATTCCCAGAGAATCAACTGATAATGATGTGAGAAGTGTTATAAATGAACTTCTATGGTTAATGGTTTTCCTCAGATTGGAAACATTCAATTATATACATCTACCACTTCACGAAGAAATCACAGTGATTGATCCATATGGAACTTTCAATTTATTAGATTGTAATAATAGTATGGTTTCTTTGAGTTATAAAGAGACAAAAGGTGATTTGAAATTCTATCATAATTTTCGTTGAGTTCAATGACGTTGTGAATATAGATTGAACTTTGAAAGAAATAGGGATGCCTCGACTATGTTATTCTTATAATTATATAACAAATCAACCGTTGGAGACATCATAATAATCATCTCATAAGAATCATTGAAGGCTTGATGTACCAGTTAGACTTCAATATTATACATACGACTTAGAAAGCTGTCTTTACAAAATGTAGGAGTTCTAAAAGTACTTTGTTTGGTGTAATAACTTATGAATGCTTTATCTCATAGGAAGCCAATAAGATCGAATGAAATATTCTACAATATTTGATGAAAACAATAGACTAAACGTTTAGATTGACAATTATATATCATCGATGTTAATCCAATATAATAAAATGCCATTAACGTCTGTGGATTTGATAATGTACTTGTATAAGCCAATACCATGTAAACAGCTAGGTAACTATAGTACCTTGGACAGGTATAGCTTATTTGATGATGAGCTTGAACAAGTCATATGTCATATCTGTAAGTTAAATAGATGCTAATATTATTTCAGAAATGCAAAACACTTTCATATACAAGATAGCAGATATCAAAAGTTAGTTCAACGATTGGCATGCTTAATCATCAATTATATTAATTGCGGATGATACTTTGATTAAAGATTTTGGTACAGGTGACGACTCCGTTACTAGCATGAAGCTTACAAGTTATGACCAATCATTCGAGAATCAACAAATCCCTTAAACGATTAAAAATTCTATTGAAAATTTTATTATTATGTAAGCTGAACTCGTAATTTCATAATTCGCGATGTGCATATTTGTTGATTATGTCAGCGCCAAATGATTAAATAATTAATTAAAGATCAACATTGAAACCAAAACAATCACACATTTTGCTCGAAAACGGTGGAATTAATGGCAAAGTATGACAATAGATGACCGTGGACTAGTGAATGAACATGATATTTCAGGGTATTTTCACAGTTAAACCATGTTCTCATTTACACACCGCCTATATACCAGATTAGGAAGTCTAGCAAGATTTAGATCTCAATGAGATTTGCTGGAGATCGCGATAATTCGCTATAACAATCAAGATTTTTGAAGGGTCTAATTTTAATTTCACTCGTAAACTTTAAAGCTGATACTGTACACAATCGTTGCTTAATCATTACTTCATTATGCCTTAAATTAATCACGAGCTTACTAAAGCCTACAAGATCAGTCAGCTTCTTTGATCGATATTCACTGCCTAGAATAGGTTTTAGCACATTTTAGTCTGTTTATTCTCTACATTATGATCATGATATTGGTGCTCAATGGACCCTTGAATTTAGCCAGACATGCATGCATGCATGATATATGGCTATATTAAGATGACATTGTGGTAGGCTTACTGTTTTAGTTGTGTACTATATGAATTGGAAGTTAATATAAGTATCAACAATCTTCCTCATGTTTTGATTCATTCAATAAGTTTTTCAAATTGTTAAGAGATACTTGTACAACATGTCACAGAACATCAGAGATAATCAAGAACTCAGTACGACAAATTCAGTTCCAACCGCTTATTCAAATCCTAAAGAAAAGGTTTTAGATGGTGATTATGTTCAAGATAAACCAAATTCAAAATATCCAAATCCATTCTTAAATCCAAACCACGGTGAATTTTGGTTACATAAATACTCATCCTCAAATTACGAAAATACAACTTATTATAATCCAAACTTGAAATGGACCGCTAAGGAAGAACGAAAATTATTAAACAAATTAAATTTATCAATAATGGTTGTTCTTTCATTCATGTGGTTAGGATTTTTCATCAACAAAACAAATTTCAAAGATGCAGTAAGAGCTCGTATGCCATATGATATTGATATGGGTGTTTATGTTTATAAGGGTAGATTCTATTATGGAGAATCATTATCTGTAACTTCAGATACAATAGTTGTGGAATTTATTGAAAGAGCTACACAAATCATTTTCGCAATTCCTTCTGTATTAGTTGCAAAGAAAATTGGTCCTGATATTTGGTTACCTATTTTATTATGTGTTTATTGTGCTTTGGGATGTTGGCAAGCAGTTTTCAATAAACCCTCAGTTGCAATGGGTATCAAAGGTGCTATGGGTGCCGTAGGTGCTGGATTTATACCATCAACGGTTTTATACCTATCATATTTCTTTACAGCAGACCAATTAGCAATGAGATTAGCATGTTTATGGATTTTCCGAACTTTAGCAGAGATAATTACAGGTTATTTGATATATGCCTGTATTAGAATTGAATATGCACCAAAATATGTGATGTATGGTTGGAGATTTGCATTTATGATTGAAGGTGTTGTTACATTTGTTGGTGCTTTGATATGTTCCTTTTTTTTACCAAGATGTTTATCTAAGAAGCAAAAGTGGCAACCTAAAATATTAACTGAACGTGAAAAGGAAATTCAAATTAATAGTATCTTAAGAGATGATCCATCAAAAGGTGTTTTAAACAATACAAGTCTTGGTGGGGCTAAAGAAGTTGTCAAATCATTGTTTGATTTTGATCTTTATCCATTATATGCTATTGGTCTTGTTGCATTCATTCCTTATAGTTGTTATGAAACTTATCTTGTCTTTGCTATTAATCGTTTATACATAAGTGAAGTACCAATTGCACAATACTCATTAAGAACAGTTTGGAGAGTTCTTTTAATGATCTTGATCACACCAATAACCAAAATCTCAAATGTTTTTAATGAACGTTCATTAATTTGTCTTGTTTTCTTTGGAATTTGGCAAATCCCATTAACTGCAGTGATGACATGGTGGGATAATACAATGAGTGATAATTGGGGTTCATACGTTGTTGTTATATTAGCTTTAGGTGCACCACATATAATTGCTATATTACAAAGTTGGATTTCAAGAAATTCAGGTTCAAATACTAAGAGAGCAATATCTGCAGCTTTATTTATGATGTTTGTTGATGCTGGTTATATGATTTCTAAAATTGTTTATAAAGTTGGTCAATTACCTGATCTTAGAGGTGGTTCGTTTTATAATTTCATTATTATTTTGATCTTGTGTGTTTTATTAGTGGCTACAAAGGGTTATTATATTATTAGAAATAAAATGAAGTTAAAGAAATGGGAACGTTTAAGTGAAGTTGATCAAGATGATTATTTGGCAAATAATGGTTGGTTAGGTAACAGAACTTCATTCTTCCAATTCTCACATTAATTAATTCCGCTGGAAATTTGCTTAATGATACTCATGGTGGGAAAATTTTTGATTATGAATCAAGTTATAAAGCTATCTATAATGCGGTTATTTTGTTCAAATATGGAAGTTGTTGTTTACCTATATGTGTTTTTTTTGTTTTTTTAATGATTCTTTTTTGTTTCTTTAATGTCTCTTTCGTTGAAGAGTTTGTAATATATCTATTCAATCATAAGTAGTTAATGCTTCAATATAATGATGTTTTCTTAAAATTTGTACTACATAACTACTCACCACTGACCACCACAATAATTATGACTTTAAAAAATATGACGTCATATTTATAAAGTTATAAATAAGAGTGGATGTACCAAATATTGAGATTTTGTTTTGCGTGGTTGAAAAATTCGATACCTTTCTAACAAAGAACGTGTAACTATTTGAAGTGAACATGATTTTAAACTCTACCCGAATTTTTAGTTCGTTTACATTCAACTGATTTTTGATTTTTCCGACGTATAGGTGGTTTGTTGGAGCTATTTTTTCCATCTTATTATCGTTAGTTACACATGTATTTGCCCCTTTGTCAATTACTGCATTAATCGAACAGATTTAATTTATAATTTCAAAATTTGTTTCTCAGACTAGAATTAATTTTAAAAAACAATTGATCTTTGATTGAATGAACTTCAATTTAATGGATTGATTAGATCTACTCTTTGATGATTGGTGAATTTAACAATATATAACTAATCTCAATAGACGCTTAACAATCTTGTGGTTTTTGAAACAATGTTTGGTTTGATGTAGGAATTATAACAATATTCTAAATATCGATCAATAATCTAGTCTGGCTGAAACATTACTTTATAATATTAGCTCTCGCTGATATAGCGTTCATGGGCAGCTAGTTCTTTTCATGTCTACGATAATCATGATAAAATGATGAATGATAAATTGTAAAATATATATAGCTAGAAACCCCATAAAACACTCGATTTAACGCTTCGGTATCTTTAACCATCTACTTATCCTTTATTTTACATTATAATTATAATCATTTTGTAGTTACGTTCTAATTATTCAGAACTGTGAAGATATTCACATGAGCTAGCACGTGAAAAGATCTCGAATTTGATTATCTAATCGCCAAAATCAAAGATCAACATTCAAAACAAAACAATCACTTTCCTTCTTTGAACTAAAATAGAATCACAAAGCTAGAAAGTGATAAAGTGATGACCAGTTGGCAGTGAATAAACAGGTTACTTCAAATCCTCATAATGTTAACATAATTAAGTCTTGCTTAATATCTTATATCTACACATATACACCACTTTCTACCACATTAGGAAGTCTAGCAAGATATGTTTAAATCTTTTGAAATTTGCTGGAGATAGCAACCATTTATGGAGATATTCCCGCCAATATTTGGAAACATACGCTAGTCAGCTAATGAGTGGAAGGTGAAGTTATACGTTAACAAACCCTATATTTTCAGTTGAACGTGTGCATATGTTACAAGACAGGATGATAAACTTTGGAAATATAGCCTCAAGTCCTTCATCTTAATGATCTATTAGCTTATAGCCTTATATTATGTCTTAAGCAGCTCAAGCCTCAGGGGTTCAAACTTCAGGGGTTTAAAAAAGGGGTTCTTTAAGGGTCTGATAATGACTTTAAATTAGGAGCTCGTAAAGTCAATATCACTTTTAAATTACTTAATCATTACTTCATTGTGCCTTAAATATCATCGTATTTAAGAATCTTGCATGATCATTCAACTTCTTTTTTATTAACTGCCTGAAATTTAGAAAATGTTTACTTCTTTTAAAAAATGTTTTGGTGGAATTTCGCATTGCTAAACAATACTGTTCTAATTTTATTTTATTATATGGGACGGTGGACCCTAACATAATGTGATATGCATTATATGATTATAGGTGACATCGTGGGGCTCATTGCTTAGGTAAATCTTGAAGCTTATGCTATAAGTATCAACAATAATCCTCAATCTTGATTCAAAGATGATGTTACAGATAGTTGAAAAATAGGTGTACAACATGTCTGGGGTACTTAGAGATTATCAAGATGTTTCAACAACAAACTCAGCACCAACAGCTTATTCAAATCATAAAGAGCAGGCATTAGATGATAATTTTATTCAAAATAATCCAAAATCAAAATGTCCAAATCCATTTTTAGATTCAAAACAAGGTGAATATTGGTTACAAAGATATTCTTCATCAAAATATGAAAACATCATATATTATGATCCCACTCTAAAATGGACAGCTAAAGAAGAGAAAAAATTATTAAACAAATTAAACTTAACAATCATGGTTGTTCTTTCATTCATGTGGTTAGGTTTTTTCATCAATAAATCAAATTTCCAAGATGCTGTAAGAGCTGGTATGCCATATGATATTGATATGAATATCTATGTTTATAATGGTTCAACATCAATTTCAAATTTTAAACCAGAACGTTCAACAACAAGAGGTTCATCATATTTAAGTTCAGCATATGTTGGTGAAGCATTAACTGTTAGTTCAGATACAACAACTGTGGAATATATTGAAAGAGCTACACAAATTATATTTGCAATTCCTTCTGTATTAGTTGCAAAGAAAATTGGTCCTGATATTTGGCTACCTATTTTATTATGTGTTTATTGTGCTTTGGGATGTTGGCAAGCTGCTTTTAATCAAACTTCAGTGGCAATGGGTATCAAAGGTGCTATGGGTGCTGTGGGCGCTGGATTTATACCATCAACTGTCCTATATTTATCATATTTCTTTACAGCAGATCAATTAGCAATGAGATTAGCATGTTTATGGATCTTTAGAACATTAGCAGAGATTATTACAGGTTATTTGATATATGCATGTATTAGAATTGAATATGCACCAAAATATGTGATGGATGGCTGGAGATTTGCATTTATGATTGAAGGTGTTGTTACATTTGTTGGTGCTTTAATTTGTTCCTTCTTTTTACCAAGATGTTTATCCAAAAAGCAAAAATGGCAACCTGAAATATTAACTGAACGTGAAAAGGAAATTCAAATTAATAGTATCTTAAGAGATGATCCATCAAAAGGTGTTACAAACAATACAAGTATTGGTGGGGCTAAAGAAGTTGTCAAATCATTATTAGATTTTGATCTATATCCATTATATGCAATTGGTCTTGTTGCATTGATTCCATATAGTTGTTATGAAGTTTATCTTTTATTTGTTATTAAACAATGGATTTTTTTCCATCAATCAATCGCCCAATATTCATTAAGAACAATTTGGAGAATTATCTTAATAATTTTCATTACACCAGTGACTAAGATTTCAGAAGTTTTAAATGAACGTTCATTAGTTTGTCTTGTCTTTTTTGGAATTTGGCAAATTCCATTAACTGCTGTGATGACATGGTGGGAGAAATCAATTAGTGATTATTGGGGTTCATATCCAGTTGTTATATTAGCATTAGGTGCACCAAATATCATTGCTATTCTACAAAGTTGGGTTTCAAGAAATTCAGGTTCAAATACTAAGAGAGCAATATCTTCAGCTTTATTTATGATGTTTTTCGATGCTGGTTATATGATTTCTAAAAATGTTTATAAATTCCATCAATTACCTCGTTTAAGAGAAGGTTCATTATATAACTTCATTATTATTTTGATTCTTTGTGTCTTGTTGGTGGCTACAAAGGGTTATTATATTATTAGAAACAAGATGAAGTTGAGAAATTGGGAAAATTTGAATGAATCTGATCAAGATAATTATTTGGCAAAGAATGGTTGGTTAGGTAATAGAACTTCATTTTTCCAATATTCACATTAAAACATTCTCTTTTCAATAATTCATGGTGGTTAATTCTTTATCCACATTTAAATATAATCAAATAATATCAAATAATGAATCAATTAGTTCCAACTAATTTTAATGCAAATCAAATGGAACTATGTTGGTTTTCTACATGTTTTTTCTTTATGATAATATATCTCTCGTTCACTAGTTTATATAACTACTTAATAATTAATAATTTAATATAATGATATGTTTATATGATTTATCTCTTTACTTGTAATCAAGCACTATCCTAATGATCTTTTAATATATCTCGAATCAACAATTAACAGTGGTGGTGGTGTATCATGATTACGTGGGCTTACCAAATGAGGATTTGTTGTCGAAGTAAAAGTTGTGCAGCATCAAAAGTTCCCCTGTAATATGAAAGGTGAATAAAACTCTCAAAGTAGCTAAAGGTACAATGATATGGTCCATTATGATTGCTTCATTTTAGTTTTAAGTGGTTAAAGATTACTTTGATCTTGTTGAAATTTTCTGGCTACAATAAGATCTGTTTTGTTATTATTTAAACTTGTGAAACAAGTAGCGTTATCACTATGAAATGTCTTGTAACTATTGTGTTGAAGAGTAAGTTTTCATTGGATGTCAACCACTGAAGGTATATTGCCAATAGTTTATCATTGTTTTTTATGCATTTATTTCAAATGTTTACATTTTCAACTCAAAGAAAAGATTCGATATCTTCAATTGGTAAAACTTTGGATTGATTTGATCTATTATTTTGATGATTGGTGAATTCAACAATATATAACTAGTCTCAATAGATGCTTAACACTCTTGTTATTTTTGAAAAAAAGAAGGTTCATTGTTGTAGGTATAACACTATCTATCAATGTAGGAGTGAATTCCAATAACCGCTGATAAGTTGATATATAATTAACTACAAATAATCTTCACAAAAAGAGAAATGATTTTGTGTATAGATATTTTGAAATTCATATAACATTTAATCAACTATTCAATATCAAGTCATTTTCTTGTTGATCAGATAACCAGTTTGTATAGGTTTTTTTCAAACCTATATTCAAAGGTACTGATGTACTGTTGATGTATTGAAAATGTCTAATATATAGTAGCAATACAATGATGAATATGAAAAAAACTTATTGGCATGATAATTGATCAGCAACAACTGGAGAAAATGTTAATGATTTTTTTGAAATCCAACAAATTAATAATATATAATGTTGAAATTTATCAGCGAGAGTATTTGTATTTATATTTTTTTTTAATTTTAACTGAACTTTGCACTCAGCGGCTAAAAACTAATGGTCTAAAAACTGTGTGATTAGCCGCTGAGTTTTTAATAAATCACTAATTTGTTTTTGTGTTGATGTACTTTAAACCAAGAAATTGTGATTAATATTCAAAGAGTTATTTACTTTAAATTAACTTCTTTACCTGGCTCTTTTGAAAAACTGTTATTCACCATTAACCATTTCTAATGATTGTTTGAGGTTCTGAGGTTGAAGAACAACTATCACCATTGCTTATAAATTCAACAAGTAGTTTAAAAATAGGTTACTTATTACAACGACATGATTGATTCACTAGTTGTTTCAATACATATATTTGGATTAAATACTTTAATTTTTCCATGTCAGTGATATACCTTAGGTTCACAAGATTATTTTAATACAATTAGAGTTTTACTGATTGTTTCAATAAACAATGTGATCATCTTCTTTCTTTCAATCAAATCATCAATGTAGTTAACAAATAATAAAAAGCATAACACTATTCAATGCTAATATTTGATGCTTTGCAAGCCGATTCATCAACTTTTATTACTCGTTAGTGCTATTCTAGTTGCAGGGTACCAGCTTATATTCTACACAATCATTTGTTGTAGGTATAGCTCAAGCACATCATACTACTAAGATGATAGCCGCTGATAAGTTGTTCAAGGATAGAAATGACTACAACATTCATAATAAAAAGATAAATGAGTTTGTATATAGATAATTTGAACTTTCTTATAATACTAAATCCAACTATTCAAATATCAAATCATTTTCCAGATTGTGTATCAAATCATAATCAGTTTAAATAAGTTTTCATTCAAACTATATTCAATCACTGATTTGATGATAATTTGCTTTTGAAGAATTTCCAATTGAGGTTAAAAACAAAATTGAGATTCAAATACATATTTACCTGCGCCATTAACTTTGAATTTGATAATAGGATAATAGTGCAGCCTTAGATGAACCATAAAACATAGTAATACAAAAACTTAAGAAAAACTTGATATATCAAGTAATTATTACTGCGTATAATTTCAAAAAATTTTACGTGAATTTATATTTTTAATTTTGTGGAACTGATTTTTGAGCTTTGATTTTCTCAGCGGTTAATATCACAATTAAATTATTTATAAACAAATACAAGTTAGCCGCTGAGCTATGACATTTGTTTTTGTGTTGATAGCTACTTTTCATGTTTTATTTAGCAATTCAAGTTTATTTTTTGCTTTTATATTGTCATCATATACATTTACTAGTAGTAAGACCTTTTGGAATTGAATTTATTCATAATTTTTAATTGTTTGAAGCATTCGTGTTGTTTGATTATTAATAATAATATATTTATCGTTTAAATCGAGCTTTTTGATAACTTTCACTGAGTTTTAAAAGCTTTCTTACTGATTCAGAATCATAAAAAGTCTTTTGAGTTTCAAAATTCATTATACGCTTTAGATTCACAACGTCATCATTTTAATACGATTAGTTTAGATCTATTGATTGTTTAATGATATACATTGTGATCTCCTTGTTTTTTATAAAGAATGTAGTTTACAAATCATAAAGCGCTTTATGAGTATAAGCAACTTATGACTGAGTTTCTACACTTTATAAGCGCTTTCCTGAAACTATTTCAAATTCTATAGAGACGTTACCTTTTAAAAAGAAAAAGAGTATATTCAAACACCTATATGCATCAAAACTTATCCAATTATCATGCTAGGTATATTCGAAATGTACATCAAGTGGTAAAGTAGAAGATTATCAAAATATCTGACCATCTATCTTTCAATACCATGATGATAAATAGTTCAAGTATAACTATGTTATAACGAACCTATTGATCCAATACCTTTTGAAAGTGAGAACATGAAGGATTTTTGTAATAAAACATAACTATTCAAAAGAAAATTCATGAAATGTTTAACGAATGGGACTAATCATATGTGACATATTTATTGAAGACAATAATAGTGTAATTCTATTAGCTAAACATAACGCAATCCATGATAAGTTTAGTCAGTTTAATTAATTACATATTTATTGAGAATTTGGGAATTTCGAAAGCTTTAAAAATTAAAATTTTTCAAGGTGGCGGTACCAAGTCAAATCAAATTACTTTTGTAAACCATTTCAAAAGATGATCTAACATGATCATTGAACAAATGATTGAGTCAACTAGAGATAAAATAACAGAAAGGGATATGCCCTGTGAGCTCTCCCGTGCATGGCCATTTGATCAGTTTTGTATTAAAACCTTTAAGAATTTCTGCGCTGATTTCTGTTCAAAAAGCAAACTTCTTTGATTGTATAGTCTATTGAACTCTGGGTAGTCATAATCAGTAAATATTCTTGATGAACGCTAGCTCAAACCAATTAATCTACTTTTCATCCTGACTCTGAGTACAGTCCTTTTAATTACAATCTCATTTACATCAGTTATGGTTAACTGCAATATATAATTCATAATTCCGGATTTTAACGGATTTTTACCCCATAAAAGTTCAATATTTGCGATTCGCGCACGCAAAATAATAAACATGATTATAAAACAAAACTTTGAGAGGAAAGTATTGGGTTTTATTTGTTTGTAAGTATATATAGATCCTAAAGTATTTCATATATTGTTTATGAAGCGTTTAGAGCTCTTTTGAAATTCGAGATTTCTCAGTTTTTTGGATTCTAAAACAAAAATTTTAAAGATGTAATCATTAAATTATTAAATTTATTTTTTTTGATCAAAAAAATATTGTAGCTTATAATTGTTCATTTAATGATATTCTTTGCTAAAAAATATATATAGATATTAATATTCAAATACAACTCTCTAACATTGTATATAATTATAATATCAATTCTAAATATATAATTGATCAGTGAATTAATTCGCGCCCAGACTAAATTTGATTATATAATCACCAAGTAATAGAAGGCTAGAGAAATTGATAGATGAGTTCTTTTTGTGTAATGTTAAAAGACTAGACAGAAAGGGTTCAATGAGCTAATTTGAATTTTTTGAGAGAATTTTTTGAATTTATCGCTTCAAGGAGTATCCCATCATCATCAAAGCATACATGAAAGGGTAAAGGATTACCAATTTGTTGATAAACCACAAATACTACAATGATATTTAAAAATGTTAATATTAAAATGGGTTCCTAAATAATATAAAAAGATGAGGTGATACGATAAGATAAAAAAATTGATCAATAAAAATAGAAAATGAGGAACCTCTATAGCCAATAAATCAATCAAAGGAGTGATTTCTTGATGGCATTAACATCATAACAACTAGAATCATCAGCTGGACCATAAGAGTTGTAGTAAATTTGACCAACAACACCATAAGGAACCGGATGTTCAGCATTACCTGCATTACCAGCACCAGCATAACATGAAGTAAATAGTCTTGTTTCTGATTCACCACCACCAAAGATAGCCTTGACACGATTTGTAGTACGTTCTCTTAAACCTTTTTTATTATTTGAACGTTCTTGTTTGAGAGAATCAAATGGACTAACACCAGATGGAATTGAATCAACAACTTTTGAAAGTTTTGATGCAACACTGTTCTCAATGTTATAACTGATATATTTAATATCATGAGTTGCACCATCATTAGGATCAGAAACAGAACCATCTTCATTGACGTAATCAACGGGGACACCTGGAACTGTTTTCAAAACAATTTGCTCAAATTCTTCAGCAGTAACTGATGGATCAGTATTAATGTTAATATGAACACCAGTTTCATCTCTAATAGCGATAATATCAGCATCACCAGAATCATCAGTACAAGAAGCAGCACCTAAAGCACAAAGTGAATTCAATCTAAAAGAAACAGCTTCAACTTCTTTGTGACCTGAACCATCAGCATTTCTAGCCCAAGCTCTGAATTTACGGTATTTCTTGACACCTCTCATCAAATTATGTTTGAAAATTTCTTGTCCAGTAGCATCATCATCTGGAGATTCAAGACCCCAAATAGTAACCAAAGTAACAGCAACAAGAGATTCTTGCAAAGCAAATACAGCCAAACATTGAACACCAGCTGGAATAGTGTCTTGATCAAGGAAGCTAGGAAGACAAGTATAAAGACCACCAACACCAAAGAAAGTTCTAATGTTAGATGAAATGGCTTGAAACAATGCAATTTTACCAGTATTGTTAAGGTACCAATTTTCAATCCATCCATTAGCAGCAATATCACCATTGTAAATAAATTCTTGAAGAAATCTTTCATTTGCAGCAGCATCAGCATGAGCAGCAAAGGAAGTTAAAGCATTGATGGAAGCAGTAGCATTGGTAGAAATAGTTGAATCATTTGATAAAGAATTAACTGCAATATCTTTTGGAATAACAAGAGCTTGAACTGAAGTAGCTAAAATAGCCACGACTAACCAGGAAGAATATATAAAGTTCATATTTGTAGTTCTAATAATGATATCTCTGTAATATGATTTATCTGTAAGGAATATTAAAAATAAAAAGTTCAACAGAAAACGACAACTTGACCTTCTTTTATAATATTTTGGGAAGGGATATCTCATACAAATTCAAAGACTAATTCCCAAATCTCTCCCCCATTTTTCTGCCGTTTGATAGCCGTGTGATATCCATATAGTACTAAATGAGAACAATGTTATTCTCATATGAATTTTCCGTATACCAAAATAAGAAGTTTTTGAGAAACATGTTAATCCTTTGTTGATTGGAAATCAGCATAGCAAGTCTATCTTGATCAGCTAAACATGAAGATATATCTTAGCTATGTGTGAATGGAATCTAAGATCCTGTACCAACTTGTTATCCTTATTGTAAGTTTTAATACGACGCCTAAAACAAACACTATAAACGTCTAGCAGAATATAGGGGATATAATCTTCTCAACTATCTCGACTAGAAAGCACTCATTCTCACACCTTCTTAAAGATTGAGAATAGACCTCAGTACCACACAAGTCATACTTCATGGGGATTCATGTGTCAGATTACAATTTTAATGAATTGAATTGTTCTGAGAAATTTAATTAGAATGTTGAAATCAAAACAATCGAGAATATTGATTTTTAGCAGTGACACGCTCAAAGAATACATAGAAACTGAGCTCAAAGTGATATTTAATGACGTTCAGCTTGTGGCGTAGCGCTAATACAATACAATGTTTTCATTCTCTTTTCTGTATCGAACTTGTGTTTAAAAGAGTTCTTTGTGGTACTTTAATAGCTTCGAAGTTCAGGGGTTAAAACAGCGCTACTACTATTTATTACAACCATCTGTTTTGAAAGAAACAAAGTTATGTATATTAAAAAACAATCGTGACCTTTTTCAAATCACATGTTGATCCAATTCCATAACCTTTTGATATAGTATACAAAGTATCTCATGATCATGATACATTCTATTGAAGCATCGATAATCATATTGATACTTAACTTATAATTTAATCAGAAAATGATAACAGCGTTCTGTTTATATACAAAAACATCAACCACGTCTTTGGGAGCTTTTAAAATCATACTAATAAATCGAATCCTGAACACAACATCATAGATGATAGAAAATAAACGTCAAAAAAAATCTACCAATTTATGTTTCTTTTAATTTACAAAATTGTTGAAATCTGTGATTGTTTGTTACTATTTTATATCTTAAAATTGTAAGGTACCACACAGAAGCTCTTGACTTCCCAATTGGGAAGCAACTACAATTACGCCCGTCTTAAGTTAGATTATAATACATCTATTAGTACATATATCACTACTGTAATAAATTTGTTTACCCCGTCAAGTAATCGATGATACAATATCTAGATGATTGATTATCATTAAACTACAATTGAAATAGGTAACGTCAATTGATTGAAAGTTAATTGTTCCATATAATATTTGAGATAGTAATAAAAAGCAACATAAAAAGTTGTAGTACTTCAAGCATATCCAACTTAACAGAACTTGATATTCTTACAATAACCTTGTGGATTTTTAGCAATACCAGAATCTTTAACAGCTTTTTCACAATCTGCTCTATTTTTAATTTTTGAACAATAGAAACGACAATGAGCATGAACTTGTTGTAATCTTTGTTGAGCACAAACAGGATCTGGAGGACCTGGAACATAACAATCAGCAGACATTGGTTGAGTCCAATAAGAAACACAATTTTGATAATTATTCAAATGACATTGCTTGTGTTTTAAAGCATCAGTACAGATTCTATTTTCTGCTCTTTTTTCTAATAATGGATTAGATGATTCATCATCAGGATTAGCAATTGGTGATGCAATGATACCAGTTAATAAGATAGTTTGAGTAATAATAGTTGAGAGCTTCATAATGTTATATGATTTGTTAGTCAATGGTTTGAAGGAGCTTAAAACGATTGATGATGATTATTCATGTTCTTCTTGGATCTATAAATTGTAGGAAATACTCAGGTATTTATATACAAATTCCAAAAATCATTGATCAATAGTGATCCCATGGAAGATTTGTAAATAGGGGAACAGGGTATATGATTCATTGCATTTTGCCATATCCAATCAATTGATATAGTGTGAATTGTTCTTGAGTATAACGCTGGTTTCATCAATGCAATAACAATATCAACAGATCAAATTGCGATTATTAAGCTGATATGGAGAAGAATGTAACAATCAATATATTGGACCCTAGATACATCATACCATTAAGATTGAATTTTGATAGTGTAGCAATTTTAAAGTAGCTAAACGTTTAGACACAACCCTGCATGAATTTTTGAATCACCAGTATCACAATCTCCATCCTCCACCCTCCACTCTTCCTTTCATGATTCCACCCTTTTAACGGGTTCTGTACTCAAATAGGTATACTTTATAGATGATCTCCAACCATGTTTGTCTATTATTACTCAACGAAGACCTCATTCACGTTGAAGTCTTGGACCCTGAAATTTTGATTGTAGATCTAAATCTGCAAGATGAGTAAAACTTTTATATTGATTATATAATCGGGTATAATTATAAACGTTTTTTATATACATGAATAAATGCAAAACTTTTTTTTAATTCTTTAATTTATAGTATAATGAATCATAAACCTTTTGTTCATTATTTCTTTTCATTATCTTTTTTTTTCAAATCATTTATACTTAATTTATTCATTAATTCACTTGCTTTAATAAAATTATTTGATGAATTAATATTTATACCATTTATATGATTTTGATTTAATGTTATGCCACTTCTTTCTGAAGTCATTGGTAATATACCTGATTGATTCAAACCAGGGTGTTGATGATAATGTTGTTGAATTAAATCTTGATCTAAATCTTCTTCATCTATATCATCTTGGAAAGATTCTTCATTTGATAAATCAGAATCATATTCATCTTCAAATTCATTGTTATCTTCATCTATATCATCATCATCATAATCTTCTTCTTCATCATCATCACTCCCACTTCCACTTCCACTTCCTTCATCTTCATAATCATCATCTTCATTTTCATTATAATTTTCATTAATTTTATCAAAATCAATTTGATTTTTAGAATTTGGTCTATATTCATTAAATTCATTTTTATTTGAACTATTTAATTCTTCATCACTTAAATCACTTAAATCAGGTAATGATTCTCTCCAATAATTAACATCTGTGAAATGTTCATCATTAATATCACTTGATTCAACAGGTGGGAAAAAATGATCAACTAATTCATTAATATAAACATATGAACTTTTATATCCAGCTAATTCTAATAATTCCATATGAACTTCACCCACTGGATTTATAGTGAAAATTCTTGAAGATGGTATATTAACAGATCTATAACTTAAAGCATCTGTAATTCTATTACCAAAACCTGCATAAAATGGATTTTTAACTTCACCAAATAAATACATAATATCACTTAAACAAGCCATTTTGAAAACTTCAGGTTTTTTCAATATAACTTCTCTTTTTAACGCGGCCATTGTTCTATCTGGTGATAATAAAACAGGTCCATAAGGTAATGTATCACCATCTTGTTCAATATTTCGTAAATAAGTTCTTGTCATTTCTGCTTGACCCACACCCCTAGCAGTTAAATACATGATATTATAACCATTTAATTTTATATCTGTGAATAATTTAGCAACACCTGGATGAGTCCAATCTCTACCCAACATTGTTAAAACATGACCTAAAGCATCTGATTTTGTTATAGTACCATCGATATCTGATATAACGATTGGAACATTTGATTTCCAAAGATATAATTTTGAAGTTATAAGGGCTTTACCTTTATCAACACTAAAACATAAATCATTTTCACCAGGTTTTAAATCTAAAAATTTCAATTGTTCTGAAGTTAACCGAAGTGTCTTAACATAATTTGTTTGGGAAGAATCTTGTGAATCTGTTGTTGTTTCATCTACTCCTCCTGTTGATGCAGAAATCATACTTGATAATTCTAAAGAATCTGAAGTTGAAGTTAATGGAGGTGATGATAATGATAAATCATCAGATGAAAAAATCTTTATATTACCCATTTCATCTTCTTTAACTAATTGAGAAACATCTATATCATTACCAAATTCTTCGGTAAGGATCTTGTTGATGATATCATCAGTATCATGAATATTTTGTTCATTTGATTTATAGCCATTCATATCTAAAAATAAATCACCATTTTTATCAATTTTTGTTGGGATATTAATCATTGTTAATTTTTTCGATAATTTTTGGAATTTTTCTAAAGTTAAATCTTTTGGTGATGATGATGATAAATGTTGTTGTTGTTGAGGTTTTGTTGATAATTCAGGATCTGAATTTGATATTGGAATTGGAACAGGTTTTGGTTTTGTTTGTGTTAAATCTGGTTGTGACATTGAAATATCCAAGAATTCAGGTTCTTGTAAATTTCCATCATTAACATTTGAATTTGATTGTTTTCTAGGTGAAGAAGGTGGTGAAGAATCAGGTGAAGATATAGCAGATAACACAGGGGAAGTAATCATATCATTTGGAACATCAACATTTTTAGAAGTTTCAAACACAAAGAAAGCTTCACCTCCATCACCTAATTTCATTGGTAAATTAGTTAATTTCCCATTTATTATAAAATCAACTTTTTTTTGAGAAGGTCTTAATAATTGAAATTTACCAAATCTAACATGAAATGGAGAACAATTTAATTCCCCCAATTCATTCTCCACAACGACAACATCAATTGCACCAGATAACGTGGATGGGTTGATGGAGCTCCATGTCTTGGACACGGAATCAAAAGCTCTTCCAACGTATTGCATTGAATTGATATATATTCTTCAAATCTATTATCCTTCTATACGACAAATCTAATAAAAGTGGCAATAATAGACGAATGAGAATGCTTTGAAAAGGGTATGAAGCAGCTGAAAAGGAACCAATGAGACTTTACCAGCAATTAACAGTGCAAAATAGAGCCAATTACCAAATATAAACCCTTAAAACCCTGTGAATTCCTTGCAATTGATATAAATTTGAGTATTTTAAAACGTTGATTTTTTTGTTTCTGATTTGTTTTTTTTTTATTTTGCTTTTATAAATTTTGATTCGCGCAGTTTTGTCACAATAAAGTATGGGAAATGATGGGAAATGTGGTATATTGAGGGAACTAGGGGAGATATGGATAAACTGATTGAATATTTGATAATAATGGGTAGTAACAGTATAAATATCTTCTCTTTTCTGGTAAAAAACTATTAAAATTAGATGATATTCACTTATCTTTCAATTGCCAAAAGGAAAATGTGCCATACGAAATTGTGTAAATCTACACAGAAACAGTGAGAAATGGACTTAAAAACATGGTGAAACTTGGTAGAATTATCAAAAAACACTATTACTTTCATCAATCACATAATATCACCACTTTTCTCCCCACAACACCCCCTTTTATCGTATTTTATCAAACTTTTTCCCATCCTTCTGCCATTTCCCACCGTGTAAAATCTGCACCTGCAAAAAAATTTTATGAAAAATTAATTTTCACTTTTAAAGGCAAAAAAAGAATTTTACTATTAAAAACTATTGAAAACAACAAGAATAAAGTGAATTTGAATTGGTAATTAATGTGCTCTGGGTTTATAATAGGATAAGGATAGAAGAGAAAGATACATACCGAAAAAACAAAAAAAGACAAACCATGATGTCAATAGACCATCAAAAGAACCATTTTAAAAGATCAAGAGATGAGATTGAAGAAGGGGATAATAAAGATTCAAATAATCAATATGATATATTATTAAAGAAAAGAAAATTAGAAAATGATAATCAAAGAAATAATACCACCAAGGATAATGAATTCCAACAAAAGATGTACAAGTCTTATATCAAATCTGCATTAGATGCTTTGGAAAATAACGTAAGTTTGAACTTTACATTTGCTTTCAAAATCTTTCAGATTTGATATTTTGATTGGGATTTAGTACTAACCTTGTGACTTGTTTTTCTAGTCAAATTCTTTACAATTAGATACTTTAGCTAATCAAATTTCACTACCCAAATCTCATCCTGAATCTATATCACAAGAAAATTTTGCTATAATAATTCATACATTAACAAATAATATATCAAAATTAGATGGTAAAAATTGTGAAAATTTATTATTTTCCATAATATCATATCATAAATGGTGGAAATTATCTTTACAACATTTAAATATTTATAAAAATTTTATTAAAAATTTATGTTCATATTCACCAAAATGGTGGAATGAAATTTCTATAATATTAATATCTCAATTAACTTTACCCACAGCAAAGACTTTAAATCATCATGAATTAATTAAATTTTTCATAAATATAATACCAACTTCAATCCATTCAATTTTTAAAAAATTAGTGGAAAAATTCCCAAATAAACATAATAAAAAGGATGAATTAATAAATTATGTTGCAAATTTATTAATTATTGTTGGGTATTGTTCTGAATTACAATATAATATTTGGTCATTAATCATTGAACGTTCTATTCAAATTGATGTTGAATTACAAAATGAACTAGATGAATTAGATGATGATGATGAAGATGATGGGGATAGTGATGATGAAGAAATTGATGATAGAGAACGTAAAGTACATTTTGAAGATGAAGAAGAAAGTGATGATAGTGATAGTGAAGATGAAGATGATGATTTATTGGAAGAAGAAGAAGAAATTAATGAACATGCAATTCAAGCTGCAAATATTGAAGATTTATCTGAAAAATTGGATAGTATATTATCATTAGTTTTCAATCATTTAGAAAAATATGAAATGAATAATGAAGATGTTGAAGAGAAGAGTATTTTTATATATAATACTCTAACATCATTATTTAAATCACATATCTTACCAACTTATTATACAAAATCAACACAATTTATAATATTTTATTTCACACAAAGAGCACCTGAATTAATGGATTCATTCTTGGTTACTTTAATTGATTTATGTTTTTCACCTGAAGAAACTATTGAAAAAAGAATCAAATCATTACAATACCTAAGTTCTTACATCTCAAGGGCAAATCATTTACAAAAACATCAATTAATGTTTGTATTAAGTTTCTTAATGTCTTGGTTAAATAAATATGTTGAAGAACGTGAAATTGAAATATCAGGATCAATAAATATGGAAAGATTTAAATTATTTTATTCAACTTTCCAAGTTTTATTATATATTTTTTGTTTTAGACATTCTATATTGAAAAATGATGATGATGAATGGGAACTTGGGTTAGATAAATTTTTCCAAAGAATTTTAATAACCAAATTTAATCCATTAAAATTTTGTAATGAAAATGTTGTTTTAATGTTTGCTAAAATTGCACAACAAGAAAATGTTGCATATTGTTTTTCAATAATACAAAAAAATAAAAATGAAAAATTAAAAGGTATAAGTGGTTCAAATTCTACAAATACTAATTCAAATCAATCATTATCCAAGCAACAATTTGTTGATTTAGAAGGTTATTTCCCATTTGATCCATTATTTTTGAAAAATTCTAAAAAATTCTTGAAAAGTTATTATATTGAATGGAATTCAATCTCCAAAGAATATGATAGTGATACTGATGATTTTGATGATCTTGCTAATGATGCTAAGGAAGCTGTGCGTCGTAATTCGATGAATCAGGGAGATAATGATAGTGATATGGACTGAATATATTTATAAATTTGCATATAAAAACTGAAATTGTAGTTATTCGTTGTTTTAATTGTTCGTTATTTTTAGTTCTTTGTTTAACGGTTTTTTTTGAAATCACACGACTTTTTTTTGGCTGTTTTTTTTTTTTTTTGGTGTTTTTTTAAATTCTCAAACAATCAAAATATTGAAATTGTAATCAAAGGGAGAATTCAAGGATTAATCGGTTTATTCATTGTGTTTCATTTGTATTGAGGTGTTGTTTGTATGACTCATTGTTAAGTGCTGGTCTTGAAGTTATTGCTGCTGTTTTTTTGTGTTGATTTAGCTGGATTGGTTGTTGAATTAGGCTACAATGGATCAAATCAATATTGATGGATTCAATTTACAAGAAATTGGTAATCTATGGGATGATTTCGATCCAGATTTCAATTTACCATTAATAATAGGACTCTCCACTGGATTGGGTGTATTATTCCTAGGGTTATTAATACTATCTATATATTTCTCGTTCTTTAATAATGGGAATTCAATATTTTTAGGTTCAAATTTTAATATCCCTGGTGAATTTGATGATGAAGAATCAAGACTACATGATGAAGCTGAATATTTACCTAATCTAAATGAAAGAGAAAGAGAATTATATCAATTGGGTGAAAATTTCACTAAGAATTATCCTCCACAAGCTAATCCAATTGGATCTACTTTAAATCAAGAAGATCGTGATTATATATTGGATCGTGGTATTCAAGCTTATGCTTTTGAATCAGAACATCTCTTGGAAGAAAATATTGATTCTGTATTGATTGAAGATAAACTAGATGTTCGTTTCACTTCAATTGAAGAAAATTCTGCAATTTTAAATTATCCATTACCAATTCATGAAAATGATACAGTTTATTTTGAAGTTAAATTATTTGAATTCTCACCTGATGCTCATGTATCAATTGGGTTAGCTACAAAACCATACCCAGGTTTTAGATTACCAGGTTATAATAAATATTCTATAGCATATGAATCAAATGGTACAGTTCGTATAAATCAACCATTTTATTCTCCACAAGTTTGGAATAAATTAATTGAAGGTGATGTTATTGGTGTTGGATTTAAACCAAGATCAGGTACAATTTTCTTCACTCATAATGGTAAAAAATTATTAGAAGCTACACATAATGTTAAATTTGATCTTTTCCCAATAATTGGTGTTAAAGGTGGCCCAGCAAGATTAAATGTTAATTTAGGTCAATTGGGGTTTGTATTTATTGAGGCAAATGTTAAAAAATGGGGGTTTGGTAGTGTTTATGGTACTATTGGTATTCCACCAGCTTATGGTAAAGAAATTGTTAATGATACTGTATTAGATAAAGGTGAAGAATTACCACCAAATTATCCTTCCGAGGAGGAAACTTTTTTTGGTCCTTCTGCATTATTAACAAATCAAAGAAATTATGGTGCAATCCCAACACCATCATCTCAACAAGGAAATAATAATAAACCAAATAAAATTATAAGTTCACCACCAAGTTATAATGGTGAATTAGATGAACCAAAACCTGAAGTTGAAAATGAAACTCCTGAAGTAAGTTCAGGTGTTGATAATATAAGAGAACGATTATATGAAAGAAGATCTTCAACTTTTGATCAACAAAATAATCAATATGATGCTTTAGCTATAACAAAATCAAATCCAGATACCCCAAATACCTCAAATATTTCAAAACAACAACAACAAGGTGAAGTTGAAGAACCAGTTAAAGTGGTCATAACAGAATCTGATTCCAAAACATCAGAAGAAGTCACTAAAGCTGTAGAACCACAAGAATCAGAATCAAAACAATCATCACCAGAACCTGAATCTTCAGATGCAAATGAAGGTGATAATGAAAGAGATACATCACAAGAACAAACTCCAGAACCTACACAACCTTCATCATCAATTCAAAATACCCCATCATCATCAAGTTCAAGAAAGAGTACACCAGGGAAAAAGAAGAAACCAAAGAAGAAGGGTAAAAGAAAAGGTAAAAGAAATTGGTGATTTTTAAGGCATCATACTTCATACCCTATGGTTTCAATGTAACCAATAGTATTATGTTTTTTATTTACGATTTTGCTATTTTTGCTGTGTTTTTTTTTGTAATTAGGGTGATTATTATATGTTTTTTTTCATAGGTAGTTTATTAAAGATGTGTATGTATTTATTTGCATAAATTTTAAGTGATTTTTACATTCGTTTAAGTTTACATAACGGTATTAACTTGTAGATTCTTCATTAACTATTATACAATGGATGCTTAATCATATTTATTTTTTACCTTTCTTCTTTTTACTTTTTTTAGAACTTGTTCCAGATTGAGTATTTGAAGTTTCAGTTTGTTTAGTTTGTTCTGGTGATGGTTCTTCTTCTTTAATATCTGTATTTGCCCAAACTGAACTAAATCCTCTTAAACTTATTTGTTCAACTGTTTTTTGTTTCTTCTTTTCAGGTTCATCTGTGGTGGAGGTTGTAGTTGATGTTGGTTGTGATGATGATGATTTAGAAACTTTAGGCACAGAAACACCATGAGGACCTAAAGCATTCAATAATTTTGATAATTCTTTAACTTTATTTGTCTTAATCTTGTGTAATTGACCTGATACAGGATCATAAGTCTTGAAAGAAACAAATGATTTATTTTCATCAGATGGTTTATTCACTTTATTCTTTTTTTCAATTTTTTTAGAATCTGAACCATACGTTATTGAAACTCTTGTTGTGGTAGGATTGATTTGTAACAAGTTAAGAGATCTTTCTATAAACACATCTGCGGATTTGACTAATGGCATTTTTTCTCAATTGTTTTGTCGTTTGTCGTGGTTGGAATTGGCGATATCGTATAATGAGTTTAACTTTCCAAATATTGAAATATTGAAATAATGAACAAATTCGCGGAGAATTCGCGACTATTTTACCCGGTGTTGATCTGAGATTATACTGCAAACAAACCATGAGTGGAAAGTAAAAGTTTGTGTAGATATGTTGCATTCACGGTTGAGAGATGGGTTTGGTGATGTGTACTTAGTATGGAAATGCTATGCTGGTGGTTTTATGAGATTGAGAGGCTTTTAAGCAACCTCAAAGCGTTAAAATTGACCAAAGAAAGTTCAAGCTCAAAATTATTTTGATACTATCAACAATGGTTATTTGAAAGTTAAATTTAAAGACGTTTAGGTTTAAATGTGATATAATCCAATGTCTATTGAAGTATAAAAATATAGAAATGAAAATATATGGTAGATCTCAGCTATCTATCATGTCAAGTTGATGGTTGTTTTATTGTGTTGATACCAGTGATAGATTTGGTGAAAAGTTCTCATCCTTTAGATGTTTTAGGTAATAACGATGGTTTTACAAATATTCAGTTAATTCACCATGTTTTTACTGGGGAAATTGATACCAACTGGTTCTCCTCTAAACTATTGAGGCTTTCGGGTAAAGATGAATTGGAATATCTTAGACAATCTTCCTTATGAAATTCATATTCAAATTTTGGATTCATTAATTTTAACCAATGATATCTTCAACTACCTAAAAATTGTCCCCAAACTACAAGATTATTTTGCCAAACATTATATACTCATTAGTGATAAAATCAATAAAGAGAAATACTCACATCTACCAAATGAATCTTTGATATTTTTAAATGATTGTGACATCAAATCACAAGAATGGTCTAAAAAACTTCATGATTTCGGTGGCGTATTATTATGGGAATGTTATTCAGTCTATAATTCTTATGATAAACTCACTGAGCTGAAACCGTCTGGGCTAATGATTAAAGGTGAACCTAAAAAATCAATGAAACTGAAAATCACTGTTTATGAAAATCTAACAAAAGTTTCATTTTTATTTCAAAATTTATTTGATATTGGTCCAAAATTGATTTCATTACATGCACCAAACTGTCAAGAAATGATTATTTATCAAACTAGTTTACCTTCAAAATCCATGTTTATATTTGATCAATTACAGAAATTAAAATTGATAAATGTTAAAAAATTTAATAAAGTATGGAATGATTGTTCACAGTTAAAAAGTCTTGAACTTCAATTGTTGCCAGATAGTTTTTCAATTTCAAAAGATTTCCAATATCCCGAAAGACTTTTAGCAAATTCCAACCAACCAAAAACTTTACTTTTGAAAAATTCAATGTGTGCTAATTTGATTTATTTGTATCTATATGATACCATTAGGGGATGTGGTCCAGGTATTGATTCTTTGTGTGACTTAAATTTCCCAAAACTGAAAGTCCTTGAGATTAAATATTGTCGTACATTCAAGTCAATTATAAATATGAGTGCTGAGAAGTTACAAAATTTTACATGTATTTCACCAAGTTCAATAATCAGAATAGATGGTCTTGAAACACCAGTCCTGAAAAATTTTATTATTGATGTAAAAAGTTGCACTATCGACAATTTTAAAAAGCCACAAAGCCTAAAGATTTTTGAAATAACAGAATCGAATAATTGTGTTTCAAATGCTGGAAATCACTTATAAAAGTTTTAAATGTATGTTGTATGTTGGTCCATATCGATCATTTAGCAGTTTTTGATTCAAGGTTATGTGCTAACTTGATTATATTGTCTGAGCAATGTATGATAATTTGTAGGACAACTGTTGAATATTAACGTCAGATTGAAACTCCTAGATCTTTCAACTGAGTGTTAAGTGTTAAGCTGTTAAGCTGTCATGTCCGATGAGGATATGGTTATGCGCCCGGAAGAACTTAAGGATAAACTCATAAACTCATTATTCATAGAAAAGATTTCTTAATTCTAATATTTTACAAACTTGTCTTTGCTCCTGTTACCTTTCATCACTGTTATACACTTCAAAAAGAGATACTGCTACTATCAGATCATGCCCATTCGGTTTCAACCAAGATTACCAAATGAAATACTTGCAAAGATATTGGACCTCCTTAAGAACCCAGATGATATTTATAGCTTTATTCAAGGGGTTCCACAAGTATTACCTTATTTCCAAAAACGTTATAAAGTTGTTATAATTGACTTTCCAGAACCTTTGCTACGTATAGCTTTGTCCTCTTCGTCGTATAATAAGTTTATACCGTCAACTACTATTTCAGGGGATTCTTACCTAGCGGTGTTAAAAGACTTATTTGAAAAGATGAATGATCCCATGAAGCTTAAAATTTGTTTCAGACAACCCAATATGGATCATTCGAGTTCTGATAATTATTCATGTACGTCGTTCAAGGATGAAAGACATCATGATGATGGAATACTTACTTGTTTGGATTTACAACAGTTTTCAAGAATGGAATTTTCAGAGTTGATGTTTAGAGATCATACTAAAAGTGGTCGTCGCAGTACATTGAGAAATACTTTTAGAGAATTACATTTGTGTGATTTTGGTGATTATTTAAATCTCTCAGAGTGTCCAGGACTACCAAAATTAGCATTTTCCAGATTGAAGGACACAAACAATATTGATGAATCAACAATTTTACCAAAATATGTCTCCATTTTTAATGACACAGCACATCAGTTCCCATTCAGCTTAATATCTAGTCTGGATATAAAATATTTGGTACTGAGAAATAGAAATAGCTCTACTGGAAACATGGTATCAGGCATCAAGCTTCCAAGACTAAAGAAGCTTGAAATTCACAATACTGGTGATAACGAACTTATCCGAATTGGAAACATTGAAACAGAGTTACTTGAAGAATTAGAAATCAGGTCACCTCAGAACCTCCAAATTGAAAACATAATTACCCCGAGACTTAAAGTCTTTACTCTAGCTGCTCAATCTTGTTTATTCACTGGTGAGATACACATTCCAGCTGTAAAAAAGTTCAAGATATCATTGAGGAGTGATCCACTCACTAGACCGTCTTCTTCAACCAGCAAAAATCCACTTGGGTTCCTAGAGAATGCTCACCATGGTATTCTAAAAGGTGGATGTCATCATATCATTAATGGGTTAGATATGAAGGATTTGAGGTCCTTGAAGCTCAAAGGTGCGCCATATAAAGGTTATCCATTTGATACCAAATTTCCCGTACTGTATAGCTTAGAGATTGAATATGATGATAAGATGAAACATTTTCCAAAGCTGAAGTCACCTTCGTTGAAACGTTTAGTCTTACATCATTGCTTTAATTTGGAATCTGTTGAATGGCTATCTTCAGATGAAGAAATTTCCACTAGTTTAAAAGAAATAACAATCAGAGAATCATCTGAACCACTTAGATTGGAAAGTCTGAGATTGAAAAGCTTGGATAAACTGGTGATCCACTCGCATAAAGATATTAATTTATTGAATTGTGAATTTGATAGCCTATTAGACATATATATTCATCATTGGCCGGCTGCTTGTAAGACGTATGAGTCTACAGAAGTACTTGATGATCGCCCTCGAGTATTAAAATTTGATAAAATATCTGCACCAAAGTTGAAGAAGCTAACAATTGAATCACCGATCTTGAAATCAAGTGTTGGTTTGAATTTGGCGAAAGAATATCCACAGATTGAAGAACTTATCTTGCATACTTCAGAAGTTATACCACCTATTCTTGACATCAACCCTTGGGGTCGTTCCAATCTAAAGAGATCACGTATTAAACTTGGTGACTGGTCATGAATAGATTATATGGGAGGTACTGTATATAATTAAAACCGAGATACTCTATAAGGTTATTTATGAAAGCCCTTTAAGGGTTATTAGTTAAACAAAGGTATTATACCTGTAGTTATTAATTCAGTTTTACCGGCCTCTGTACTAGACTACAATGGTGAAATCACAGCATTGTTTTAATCTTGATATAGATCATAGATTTATAATATAATCTGTTTATGCATTCATATTTTCCAACTCTATAGGAACAGGTTCATAATTATTTTGTTTTGATGGTCTCCAAATATAACTCAAGATTGATAAACTAACAAGTATACAAAATTCAGGTATGATATTGAACAATAAAACAAATTTGTCCTGGAAATAAATATCATAAAACCCTGGAGATAATTTATGAACAATTAATATTGATAACCCTGTATTGAAAATGACAATTATGATAGGTACCGCTGTGAAGATCCCAAATGATTGGATTATTCTATAGTCATGGATTTGGAAAGTTTTCTGTAATGATTTGAATTCAAAAACTATAGCCACATAGACAAATACATATGGAATATATTTGATTAATAAAAGATAACGTCTTATAGAACTGAAATGTAAGTCATAAAATGGTAATAATGAATTATCAAAATACATTTCATTGAAAATTTTGATTGCAATGAATCCCAGAGTTAGATGATTTATTGTTGTTGTTGTTTTAGAAATCATTGATTCATCTTCCAAGATTCCATATCCTATTGAGTTTAGTAACAGATTATAAATAATCCAACCTAAAATCAAATTCCCACAAATGTTTTTGATGAATAAATGGAAAGCTTGAATTAATAAGTTATCACCGTCATATCTATGAATCAAACCTAGATCAAAGATGTCCAATACACGAATCAATGTAATCAACCCAACAAGCCATTTCAATTTAGTAGGATACTTCAATAATAATACCAAAACTAAAAGAATGAAATGGAAAGGAGCAAAAGCTAAATTAAGACCTAATCTGGTATAATTATCAACATCTAATCCACCAAAACTTGTTTCAAATTCAATTTCACCATGGAAATAAACATCTGTATTGAAATAAGCACAATAAAACCCCGGATTTGTGATATTATAAATCATCGAGCCATTAGTACCTGGTACTAAAGCACTATTAATCACAACATCATGTTTATCTGATTGAAATTCAATTTCATAACCTTGACCATCTTTACATAATTCTCCAGTATTATTTAAACATTGTACAGGGTTTTGGTATCCATGTTCTTTGAATTGAGGTATATTTGAAGTTGAATCATCTGCATCTTTATAGTGGAATATCAAGTAATTGATTCTATAATCTGGTTGTAATGGTTTGATATCTAATATGATTGATTTATTTGTATATGAACATATTTCTGATGTGTATTCATTTATTGAATATGAATGTGCTTGGATTAGTGAAAATAAGTGGAAAATTGTGAGGATTGTTTGTAGAAGCATATTTTGGAGGACGAAATTTGATTATATCATGGGAGCTCTGATTATAAATAACCTCTAGCGTATAGTTGCAATCTTATTGTTGATATTTTGATCAACTTTGATTGGTTTTAATTTGAATTTTGGCTATTGTTCGACATATTCGCGAAGGGAAATGTTTACAATTACATAAGCACTGCAACTTATATTACATAATATCATCATTTCATTAATTTAATTTAATCATAGTGTTGAAAAGGGTTAATTGATCATTTTAAAAGTGCGTTGCTTGTTCTCAAATGGTCTTGTTACCATCCAGATCACCCAGTTCCACTTCATTACTTGTTGGAATATAATCATCTTCTAATTTATCATCTTTCCAAATTTTATAAAGACCTATAGTGATTAATGGAATAATAAAATATGAAAGATTCTCGACAATTCCAAATATAAAACTATAATGAACTGAGTTTTCCAAGGCGTTGACAATAACAGATTCATTACTTTGAGATTTCTTCAATGAACGTGCAAAAGTATCAAAACTTGTAACAAATTGAATAAAAATTGATGTGAATATAAGGAAAACTGGTACTGAAATGACTAATTGTCTTGAATATTGGAATTTTCTTTTGGTCTTGGAATCAAAGGCATTTGTAATGGTTAAGCTTAAATCAAGTACTAATGAAATCCAAATCAATACAGTAATGATTTTTTCACCCCAATGGAAAATCCCTACCGAGGATAATAAATTTGAATTTGTAGCTTCTCTTGTTGGGAAAAGAGCAAAGAAACCTGAAAATATAACTTGTAGGCACATTAATCCTTTTAAGATAAAACCTGGGTTTGAAGGAGTTTTAACAATTTGACCCTGTGGAGATTCTGTCCAAAGATAGAAAAACCAATATATGGATAATTGAAAAAAAATGTTTCCAAAATTGACAATCATAAGCATCAAATTCCAAAACCAACTTTTATTATTCCAATCATATTTGTTTAATTGATATAATACTAAAGCTCTTGCAAAGACAAATGAATAATAACACCAAGTTATTTGAATTAAAGTATTCTCAATTGAATTAAATTTAACACCAATTTTCGTATTTTTCCACCATTTAATACCAATGATCAATAACATTATTAAAGTTATTGGTTGCATCAAGAAATTTAAGAAATCTAATTCTTGTCCCATAACTATAGATAAATTCCCATAAGGTTGTTTAATTTTATATTCAACACCTTGACCAGAACCACGATCTTGATGAGTATAAATACAATACATCCCTGTATCTGTAACATTATAACTTAATTTCTCACCTTTTTTAATCAATTTATTTATAATTTGTTCTCTTGGACCTCCATTTTCAGATCTTATAACAAATTCACCAATATGAGGACAATGACCATCTTTTTGTAAATCCGGAGTACATAGATAGAACCCATCTTCTGTATTCATTAAATCCATAGCATCATTAAAATATAGTGGGATATTTGTGTATTCTATATCTGTTATATGGAATACTAATAATGAAGTATCTTGAATTGCAGTTAAATTTATGGATGATAATTCACCTGGTTCATCCGGAGCCATAATCTTATGACATTGGCCCGTGTTGAGAGCCTTGGTTAATGTGAGTGATATGAGAAGGGTGATAGCCTTGAATATGAGCATATTGAAACTAGTGTTTATACGTTCTTAAGAGCTTAGATGATCAGGTGATAATGGATATGATTTTTGGATTAAAGAATGTTTAGATTTGATTGATTGTTTTTTTATATGAAATCAATTTTTCTGATAATCCGGAAAACGCGCCATTAAAAGTGAAGCATCGGCAAACCAGTTTAATAGATGATAATGGTTAGTATGAGTCTAATATATATAATTCGAACACCTTAATCGATATTTTTATGTCCTAATCAGCCATAATCTACTTTTAAACTAATCAATTCCAACAAAATCCAATGAATTTGATGAAAGTCTGATTGATTAGCTAATCTCTAGCACCTTACTTACATAATCCTTCGCGAATTCTTCCAATATAATAAAAAAATTCAGCCATAAACAAAGAAACATCAACAACAATTTTTGCAAAAGTTCAACTAGATTCAAAAGAAGTTGATAATAAAAAGATAGTCAATAATGTCACTAGAAATACCTGAAGATATCATCATTCCGCCACCGGCAATCAAGGAAATTGTTTTGAAAACTGCCAATTATGTTTATAGAAATGGTAAACAATTTGAAAATAAAATACGAGAAAATGAATCAAATAATAAAAATTTTACATTTGTTAATGAAAATGATCCATATAATCAATATTATCAATTTGTCTTGGAAAATATTGAAAGTTTTATTGAGGTTGATGATGCAAAGGGAGCTGATAATGATGAAAAAGTTCAGAATATTGAAGATCAATTTGAAAAACCATTAGATTTAGATTTTATTATTGAATTACCACCAATCACTGTTAAAGATTTAGAAATTATTAAATTAACTTCCCAATTCGTTGCTATTAATGGTGAGAGTTATATCACTTCAATAAGGAATAAATATAAAGATCAAACTGCACAATTTAGTTTCTTAAATAATGATCATAGTTTCCATCAATTATTCTTAAAATATTTGAAACAATATAGGAAATTGATTGATGAATCTGAATTATTGGACTTGGATCATGATGTTTTGGATGAATCTTACAAGAGAGCCAAATGGAATGAAGCTCATAAACAAAATAACCAAAAAATTAAAAAAGAATTAGAAGAAAAAAAATTAAAATTTGCCTCTATAGATTGGGATAATTTTATTATAGTTGAGACTATTGATATTACTGAAATTGATTCACATACTGAGTTCCCTCTTCCATTGACAATTGCAGACTTACAATATAGATCTCTTGAATCTAAATCTGAACAACTGGTACCAAATGTTAAACCAATTGACATAGATGAAACTAAATCCCTAACTAATTCAAATATGAAGATCAGATCATATGGTGAAACAAGATTACAAAGAGGGAAACAACATAGTAATAATGGTGAAAAATTAATTGAATGTCCAATCACAGGTAGATTAATCCCTGAATCTGGTTTTGAAAAACATATACAAATTTTATTAAGAGATCCAAAATATAAATTAGAGAAGGCGAATTATGAATCTAAAATTAAGAATTCAAACCTAACCACATCTGAAGTTGTTTCAAATATTAAAAATTTGTTTAAACCACCTAATAAAGAGACTGGTAATAAAAGACAAAAAGTTCAATGGGATGGTTATCAATCAAGTATAAATTATGTTAAACAACAAAATAAAAATGATGGTTTAAATAATGAAGAAATTGAAGAATTAAAACGTAAAAGAAATGATGAGTTGAATAAAATTGGTCCACAATTACCAAAATAAAACATTTATAAAAAGGTGTTTAAATAATGAATTAATGAATTACAAAAACATAGTATTAACGGCCAAAATCTTTATTTGAGTCAGTACCTCTTTTTCTTCATGATATTTCATGCTAAACTATGAGTATAAAATGATTATGATGATACTATGTTCTAGAGCCTCTAGATTGAGAGTTGAAACTTGAAATTTCAAATGAATTGTGGGTAAATCTCGAACCTCTTCCTTCAACAATAATGTGAGTCCTTGGAAACCAACATTAATGTAGCGCTTGTACTTCATGGGACTCAGATATGTATCAATATTGAGACGTCGACTGCTAGATTTCATTATTTTGTTGAGATATTCGTAAGCTCAATTCGAATTATTCTCACGATCCAGGCCATGAGAACATAAAATTAAAAAAAAAAAAACATTTAAAAAAAATAGACACAAAAGTGAAACAACTAGTTATATTATTAATTTACTGATAACCGCCTGAATTAACTGCAGCTGTTACAACTTACATACCATACCCTTCAATCGCAAATTTATCTATTAAAAGATGGATGCGCGGTTAGATCAAATAAGAAGGAATAACATCAAAAATGTTTGTGAAGTACGTGATCCTGTATTAAATCTTACTCATGATAAGGTCATTGGGGCGTATACTCTTATAGGTGAAGAATTTGAAGCTGATTATATTGAGCAAGTGAAAGATATAAAGGAATTATTTCAACTTCCTAAAGATATTAGAAAGGGTCTAGCTAGAAATACTTTGTCGTTGCCATATGATGATTCTTGGTTTAAGGGATATTCTTGGTTCACAATGTCAATGTGCCGCGTTGAAAAAAACTTTAATGTTGCATTAGATGTTGATAATAAGTTCATCAAAAACTTGATTGAAAAATCATTTACCAACGAAATTGACAAAACTAGATGCTACCAAGAACCAATCATAAAACAATTGATGAATCCTTTACAAACTTTCAACAGAAGCACGCTCATGCAACAACACAGAGATATTATAATAACCTGTTCAGAAGAAATACCGAATGATGAGATATCTCGTGAATGTAATGAGGTTATCAAAAGGATAAGTGAAGTTGAACATTCAGATGAAGAAATTATCAAAATGAATAAATTGGTTTCAAGGCTCTGGCAATCCCATTCTTACGAAGAAGAACATGACAAATTTAATGATATCATAAAGGAAATAAATCAAGCTACAATTGAGAATAAAGAATTTCAAGATAAAGATGCAGAAACAAAAAAAGAAATCATTTCTTTCCTTTGTCGCACCAAATTAAGTGTTGCCGATGAGCTTAAAAATATAACACCAAAAATTGTTGAGTTATTAGATTTGGTAAATCAAGCCATGGGGGTTGGTTTGCAAACAAACTTAATAGAGATTGTGGAAGAAAGCTCTATCAAGAATTCAAGATCATTGAGTAGCGATGATCCTTCAGAATACGGTAAGTCGGCTATAGACATTAGATTAAGAAGTTCAGAAAATCAAGAGATCATAGTCATAGAGCGTAAAAGGTTAAAGACTTTAAGATCCAAGTTCCTTGAGTTCTTAGCTGCATCAAAAGATCAACAAATAAAGAAGAAAGAGTTGAAGATAATTGGAAACATGGTAAAGCAGGCCTTAACCTATGTAAAGGAAGGTCTTGGTAAAACCACAGCGGTTCTTACAAACTTAAATACACTTATTATACTAGAAGCAGATATTTCCAAAAGTAATATTGTTAAGATTAAGAATAAATGCTTTTTTGACATCAAGTTAAGATACAAAATAATTGATTATGAGGCACAAAAGATATCATTTAGATACGGTATTCTATATTTGTTGAGTATAGTTAAAAAACCTTCAGATACCACAAAAGAAAAAAGAATGAAAGAATTTGAAAAATTCCAAATAAGTGATTCTGAAAAATTTGACAGTGAAAGTGAAACATTTTCAGAAAATGTCAGTGAAAAATCAAATGATGAATCTGAAAGTCAAACTTTAGAATCAAGTAAGCTATTACCCAACGGTACAAAAAATCATTCCATGCAATATGGTTACAGGTATAACTCGAATGTCTTTTCAATTAAATACCGCGATGTTTCTGAATCATTAGGTTATGAATTTGATGGTGTTGCATTAGAAGATGATTTAATTTTGAAGTTATATCAAAGTGATCTCTACCAATTTGACCCAATTGAAGATCAACTAAAATTCAGCAGTTATCTAAAAGAAATTCAAGCGCTTGAATATATCAATAAGTACAATTCAGAAATTTATCCAAAACAAGGAATCCATCATAGGGCCGAATCGGGAGTTTTGAATGTACCAAAGATTTATAAACATTTAATACTAAACTTAACTAATCCCATTACCGGACTTTCTGATCAACATGGTTATGCCATAATCATGTCAAAAATTGAAGGGAATATTATCAGTTCATTGGACCAAGGGTTAGCCAATGAGTCTATCAAAAAAAAGTTAGAGAAACAAACTTCAATAATGGAGAACATTGGAATTTCACATAATGATTTAGCTCCAAGAAATATCATACTTAATCCACAAAATCAACTCTTATACATTTTAGATTGGGGATGTTCAACAATAAAAGAATTAAACAGTAATAGATCTGTGGTTTCAATTGGTGATGATGCTTATTCCGCTTCAATCCCATCTTCAATGTCATCTTGTGATGTATCGCAGTCTCCATTATTTAGTGCCAACACTGGTCGTGGGCAATTTAGCATGACTTCAACAAGTTACAATGATGATGTTGTTGATGATGACAAGAATAATTAGTATGTCAATTCAAAATGCATGCATGGTAGATGAATACTGGAATAAATTGCTATATATATTATAAATATATCATAAACCACTATTAATTAGCTCACAACATTCACTTAAATAATTATATATATATATATATATAAAGGTGTATATTTATAATATTATTACAATTAATTAATCGATCAAGATGGAGAAACTTTTTTTTTAATGGCATCTTGCACAATATTTATCATGCTAATTACCCTTGCCAATTAAACTGAAATTGGAGGTTCTCTAGAACCCATAATAATATTACCGAATTAGTTGTAGCTATAGTAAGATAATTTAGACATCTAAACCTTGGATCAAGTAGTTCATTGCAGCACTTAAAGATTGTTACTTTGTTAGTACATTTAGTACAACTAATAGGAAATAATATATTAAATGAATGGATATATACTCAAATAATGGGTAGTTCTTGCTCCTTATATAAATTTCCAAAGAGTGGCTTAGATCTATTCACGTTCTCCCATGAATGACCATACATTGTAGTGAACCCAAGAGAAGTCTGTAATCCAACAACCAACGTTATACCATAATCAAGCCTAACCTTAAATCTTTACCTAAGCTTCAACTTCAACACTTTTTCAAATTGATGAGCTGTATAACTAACAACTTCTTCTTTTAAATACCTTAATAATAAGACTTCCGAAATCACATAACCATAATTTCAATACCTAATAAAAACCAGTACCCACAAACACAAATTCAAGTGATGATCGTAAATGAGAATTCTAACATTAATATAATGAAAACGTAATCACTATAACAACTCTCACCGCTGTATAGCCAAGCACCTTAATTCCAAAGATACTTTACAACTAGTATTTAAATCCCATAAATACCAATTATCCAAAACATATAGATCTCTAAACCCTGAAATCTATCTAGCAATCTTCACATGATCAACCCATGTTTTGGATCTTGCTCCATTAATCTTAATATCAATTCCTCATAACAACTACCAACCTTTAAATTCTAGTAGCAAGTATATCTAAAACAACCATATATTGTATAATCCAACAATTTAATGATTCACAACTTCCATTATCCAGCAATATAAAACATTGAACATAATAAAAATAACATACACCCGGTTTGACTAGCATAAAACACAATATTAATCAACCTTTCTAACTTCTTTCTTTCAATCTCTCTACCTTCTTTTTCTTCAATGGCTCTATCTCAATCCAGAGATCAACAATATACCTAACTGTGACCATTACAAGGTAACCCTAAGAACATAACAACAATTCTTATCTTCTTTTATTCTTTGATCACCAGCACAAATCAACAAACCTTCCCCGAACTCATGCTCTGGATCAATTTAATCATCAATATCAGATATTATTAAATCTGAACTTCTAACAATAATGGTAAAACTAACCATTCTGGTAACTTAAAATAGTCACTTCATATCTGAAACAATATTATACCTTTCCTAATTTTCAAATCTTCAATTCCCAGTAAACAAACAGAACATTAACATCATTTGCATCAACTTTTGATACAAAACCAAGTAATAATTAACTTTGAGTCCAAATTCAATGATGACGTAACCAAAAATATTACCACTTCTGACAATTTACTTCTGATTTTTCTTTTTAAGACTTTACCAAAATTGTAATAACTTATCACTGAAACTCTTATCAGCACATTCATAATTTCAATCTTTAAATAGCTCCTTTTCAACAATGAGTAGTTTTACCATATCCATGGACCATCATCACTATCTTTTTACTTCCTGGTACGTAAGTTCAAATAATATCTAATTTGATAACTCAAGTTTATTCACAGCATAACCATAACAAAAACAACAATAGCATAACTATCACACTACCTCTTTTGTGAATAAACTTGCCAGAGATCATCACCATTTTACTTCAATGCTCTCAGCACAAATCCTTGATAAGATCCAATACCTGAATTTTCTCCATGTGATCTAACATCACTAACAATAGTCTAGTTGGGAAAATACTAAACATTTTAAAAAAAACTTGTGTAACATTTCTTCCTATGGACTCATGAGAATAACAAAAATAAACGTCAACTTCAAAGTCAACTGCTATGACAGCATATAGCACTAATCCCTCATGATCCAATGATCATCATATGTTACATCAAT